TTCCGGTGAACTTGTGGTGACTTAGTTAAAAAAATTATGCTACACGGATTCATACAGTTTGCACACCGTTTTTTCGATACCTCAACGAACTGAAATAAATACACTGTCAATCCTTAAATGAACAAACAAAATTCTAATGTGCCCCACTGGGGGGGGGGGGGGGGGGGGGGTCTTGTTTCCATGGTAACAAACTAAGTTTTACTGGATTGAATTACATTAAACTAGTCAGGTGATTCAGTCCAATGGTGAAGGTTCGACAGTGTAAAAGCTCCTGTGGAGATTCCAGGTTGGAATTGGTCCTTGGCGTAAGAGGCGACTAGCGGGATCGGGTGGTCGGACTCGCTGACTGGGTTGATGTATGTCATCGTATCCCAGTTGCGTGGATTGATGGTCATGATGTCATTCACAGGATTATCTGGTCCAGACTCGAATACCTACAGACATGCCATCAGGCAGCTGAATATGGCCGAGTGTGGCATTAGGCAGCCAACAAACATGACTAGCATAGTCACTCATTGTCTATGTCAGTGAGAAAGTCCAATAAAATATTCAGAGCACGTTGCAGTTTCTGCTTCATGAATATGTCGAAGTATTGAGTAGAATAGCTTGATATTTCAAGGTAGAATAAATTTGGGAACAATGTTTTTTGTATTTGAATGACAGTGTTTAATAATCTAACAATGGAGCCCTTTTGAACTACAGCTGTATAGCAGAGATGAATAATTCAATGCTGATAAGAAGAAACAAGTTTCCAGTTCGTTGCAAAACTAAAACTAAATGTTGTAATATGCTGTGAGGCAAGTAATCTGTCTCGGACTCCCTGAACCTTATTATATTCCCTGCCACCCAACTCTGTAGCTGTAATGCTATTGCCAGATAGCCCTAAACGAAGCAAGTCTTGGATTTACCACAGTAGGCCCAGGCCAGTTAAACCAACGTCCTATTTGCTTTCACAAGCTATGCTTATAGTTTGTTTATTGTTTGATACTCGGCATTATTCCAGCTATATGATAGCGGTCTGTAAATAATCGTGTCTTGACAAGACAATCCAGTGATTGACATCATGATCACCGATCTACGCAATTGGGATTCTATGCCATGCACCAACTAGTCAGCGAGTCTGACCACCCAATCCTGTTACATTTGAGACAAGCAAAGTCGCCTTTTACGGCAAGCATGGGTTGGTGAAGACCTATTGTGGGTTTATAAAGGACTCCAGTTTGTTAGAGAGTTGAACTGCTGTAGGAAGAGATGGAGGTAGACACCTGGCCCTTTGTCCTTGCAACAAGCGTCTGGAAAGGACCTGTGAAGATCCGGGGTAGAATAGATCTTCAGCAACCCATTCTTGCAGTTAAAGATGACTATGCTTGTCATAAGAGGCAACTAATGGGATCGGGTGGTCAAGCTCGCTGACTTGGTTAATGCATGTCATCGATCCCAATTGCGTGGATCGATGCTCATGACACCAATCACTGGATTGTCTGGTCCAGACTTGATTATTTACTTACCGCCATCATATAGCTAGTTGTTATTAAACAACAAACAAAGCATCTGGAAAGAGGAGATATCCAGTTGATTCAATGTTGTAAATATTTGATGGTCGTATACCTGTGCCTGGATCAGAGGACATTACTGAGAGAACAGCAGGGTTTTTCGCAATGCACAAATGTAGGGAATGGAAGCAGTAAAAATATATGCTGCATCCCGAATGACACACAGTTGACCCTATTTTCAAGGTCACAGCAGGCAAATCTGCTTTTGGAGTTGGAAAACGGTGTTGCCGCGATATCTCAAGAACTAATCGCTGGATTGTCTTAATATTTGGTATTTTGGTGTATATACAGGCGGGGGACATTTCGTCACTTCTGTGACAAATACTTGTTTATCTTGCATCTTTCTTTCCAAGTTTATCATCTTGTTATTGACACTTGCTCCTCCTTCCTGCACTGTGTGTTTCTCCAAGGGCAAGAGCTAATTGGAGGTGGAGAGATAAGGGGTTAAATATTTAATTGTAGTTAGGGCCATGTTGACCAGAGCTGACTGTTGAGGATAGGGATGACTTGAACATGCACAAGATTGTGTTCGGGAGTTTGCACATGGACAAGATTGTGTTCAGGAGTTTGCACATGGACAAGATTGTGTTCAGGGGGTTGCACATGTAAAAGATTGTGTTCGGGAGTTTGCACATGGACAAGATTGTGTTCGGGGGTTTGCACATGGACAAAATTGTGTTCGGGGGTTTGCACAGGACAAGATAGTGTTTGGGAGTTTGCACATGGACAAGATTGTGTTCGGGAGTTTGCACAGGACAAAATAAGTGTTTGGGAGTTTGCACATGGATAAGATTGTGTTGGGCGTTTGCACATGGACAAGATTGTGTTTGGGAGTTTGCACATGGACAAGATTGTATTCAGGGGGTTCCACATGGACAAGATTGTGTTTGGGAGTTTGCACCTGCCAGGAGTCCATGTGACACTGTGTGGAAGGTGCTGTAGAGTCCGTGTGACACTGTGTGGAAGGTGCTGTAGAGTCCGTGTGACACTGTGTGGAAGGTGCTGTAGAGTCCGTGTGACACTGTGTGGAAGGTGCTGTAGAGTCCGTGTGACACTGTGTGGAAGGTGCTGTAGAGTCCGTGTGACACAGTGTGGAAGGTGCTGTAGAGTCCGTGTGACACTGTGTGGAAGGTGCTGTAGACTGTGGTGGTGTAAGACAGTGGCGGGACCTGGACACGTAGCTCACACGAGTCACTCTCACCTTGCACACATCTTCTTGCATGCTGTAGTAAAGTTGTTTCAGATTGAAAAGATTTCTTCTTATATCATCCAAAGAAAACTTGGACTTGCTCAGACATGTGAAATCTTTCTCCTGCTAATTAGACAGCCTGTTGGTGATAGAGGCCTGATGACTGACCTGTCCGGCACAAGGGCAAGCCTTGATGTGTTGTATCATGACCCTACTGTCACACTGATAGCCTGGATCCCTATCAGGACAGCTGAATGTTAATTATAGCTGCAAGTGGTGCCTATTAATTAGACAATGGAAAGACCAGTATCCTAATTGTGGGGATGTAACACGGTTATGTGGCTATGTATCACAATACATTTGTCTCATAATTTGTGGTAACATAGCCAGGTGCTGTGGCTATATTTCTTGATGATGTTCCATTATATATCATGGTGTTGTGGCGATGTATATCATGATGTGGCTATATATCACAGTGATGTGGCTACATACCAAGTCCTAAAAGTCTTACCATGCTTACTTGCAGATCACATAGTCAGTGGAGATATGCATGGATGTGTGTGTTGTTGATGTGTGTGAAGAATTGCTGACTCAGCTATTGTAAGCAACAGACAACTGGGATGGATTCTCTCTCTCCTTCCCCACACAAATTAGTGTCATCCCATATACCAGGCTCAGTAACCATGGCAACAGTTACATTATAGCTGCTTGTGTAGGATATGAAGTGTGAATACATCAGAGTTATGAAATGAGCCACTGTGCAAGTTTATTATCTGTGAACTAAATTATATTAACATTATTAGCTCGTTCAAACCTAAACCTGTCACTTTGTGGTCAGTCAAAAAGTATGATCCTATATAAGGAGTGTCATTTACAGGAAAGTTTAGTGTTGATATAGCATGTATAGTATATCAATATATCAATTAATAATAACATCAGTTGTTCTGTATGTGTACAGATAAAAGAATTCCTATGCAGTTGTAACAAATGTTATATTTGGGACAACACTTTCTTAGTAAAGTACAGATTCTCATACTTTTCCGGGATTCAAACCCACACTGCCAGAGTGAGCATGGGGAGGCACCTAATCGCCAGCACACAAAGTCAGCGATCTAACCCACTCAGTCACTGAGGCTTCTGACAAATAGTAGTCTAGATCACATACTTTGTGTACCCCTCTGACAAGTGCATATTGGCACGGCTCCCATGGCCGAAAGCTAAATGGCATTGTGTATTCATTGTGTATTCATCCTATGCAGTTAATCAATTTAATGATAAACATGAGCTAGGCTGTCCTTAAAGTGTTTAGAATTGAATTTTCTCCCTTCTCATCTTAACTATGGTACTCTGAATGTAGGTAGACATTTCTGTGGCAGTGGGGCAGTGAGTGAGTTGGGTTTAAAGCCGCTTTAAACAGTATTCCAGTTATATTACGGAGTGTCAGCTTAATGTGGGAGGAAAGCCCGAGGTGATGCAGGTCTCAGACGTTTACCACTTCGGTGAAACCCACGAGCACGGGTATGGTGCTGACAAACCTAGAAACTTAATCGGGGTGAACCAGGATTCGAACTCACAATCAGGTTTCTGGCGTGCCCAAGGGATGCAACTCTGCACAGCGAATCGCGGCGCCTTAGACTACTGGTCCACCCGTGCCCCCTGTGGGAGAGAATCAGGAATTTATTATTGATATTCATAAATTTGCATCAATATAGAACATGTAGAATAGACATTAAAAATTTACTGATATATAAATATCCTGCAAAATGATGACATACCGCATATTAAGTTTGAGGAGGTGGCATCATTTATTAGTATGGTAGAATACTTACTAGAGCTGAGTATCGCCTGGTATCTTGCGATACGATTTGTATCACGATACTGACTGACGATACTACTGGTATAACAATACCCCACATCAAATAGTAAGAAATGATAAAATCTCGGAAATACAGCTCTTAAACCTCTTTATTGAATGTAATAGTCGGTGCGTCCTCAGCCACCACGTTCTTGTAATCTGCCATGCCTACAGGTGGCGCTATGCTACTTCTGCCATATGGGAGGTAACTCTATTGGCTTCTGTTCTATTTATAGCATATCGTGATCTCACAAACTGACGATTCAAGTATAGTATATACCTGAGTATCAATGATATCGTATGTATCAGTGAATTGGAACAGCACTTAGTTGGTACTTACTTTGTTCTCACATCACAAGTGAACACCTGAGGGATGCTGACAATCTGTATTTCTGTGTTACAGAAAAAGTCCAATGGCGGCGAGCTGATGGAGCAGATCTTCTACTACCTGGACATCATAGAGAAGGACTACTTCGGGCTTCAGTACACCGACGTCCACAACGTCAATGTGAGTCCACCTTCTCTACATGGGCGCCTGATTTTCTTTATCCGTAAAAGCCGCACTCAGCAATATTCCAGCTTTTTGACAGCGGTCTGTAAATAATTGAGTCTGGACCAGACAATCCAGTGATTGACATCATGAGCATCGATTTGCGCACTTTGGATATGATAACATGCAGGGTTCACTCTAGGAATCTTCTTACTCTTTATGTGAAACTTTCATATATTCTGGAGGTACGCCCACACTTGCCCATACAGCACCATGTTAAATTGCCCCATTGTATTTGAAAATGGGGTCTTTATTAAGCACAAGGCCAAACCCTAGAATTAGCCCTGAACATGTATCAACCAAGTCAGTGAGCCTGACCACTTAAGTTGGTCACCTCTTCTGACAGCATGGGTTGCTGAAACGAAGTCTAACTCAGATCTTCAGGGGGGTATGTGTGGTAAGGGGAAAGGGTGTTGTTCATGCTGTCAACCACTGGTTTGTCTGATTTAGAATTCATTACAGGTTTTTGTGACATTGTGTGTCACAATTGATGACAATTTCCTCTGTGATGGTGTTTTATTGTGTGATTGTTGCTCATGGTATCAAGCACTGGTTTGTCTGGTCCAGACTAATCACACAGCCCGGGTGTAGCTGAACAAGTGCTGATCCACCCATGCATGTATGGAATGGTACCTGATGTATAGGGCTGGTTAAAAAGATCGATAATCAGAATTATCGTCAATGGGAAGAAATATTAACGGTTATTGATATGAAAATTGTGTCATCAGTAATATCCTACATAACCAGTAGTGATGAAATAAAGTTTAAATTTACCAAAACAGACTTGTTATTATCAATCGTCTTAATTGCCAAAGACAGAAAGCAACTGTTTTTGTTAAATGACCACAGTGTAATCCATGCATGAATGTGTCACCACTCACCAGTGGCATGAAGTGTGTTGATTTCTTTTGGACTTCTTTGCATATTTGCTCTAAGTTTCTTCTCTGATATTTATTGATAATTGATTGATATTTAATAACAGTTATCGAACTCTATGATCTGTATTGACAGCCAGCCCTTCTGATGTATGTTTTTTGTTAGACAGTAGCGGTGGGGTAGCCCAAGTGTTAAAGCGCTCGCTCGTCACACTGAAGGCCCTGGTTCTATTACCCACAGGGCGGTCGGGTAGCCTAGTGGTTAAAGCGTTCGCTCGTCTCGCCGAAGACCCGGGTTCGATTCCCGACATGGGTACAATGTGTGAAGCCCATTTCTGGTGTCCCCCGCCGTGATATTGCTGGAATATTGCTAAAAGCGGCGTAAAAACAAACTCACTCACTCTATTACCCACATTGGTGCGATGTGCGGACTGATTTCTGGTGTCCCCCGTTGTAATATTATTGTGCTAAAAGCTGTGCCATGTGACATGTTTTACTGTATGTTGTTGCAGCATTGGCTGGATCCCACCAAGCAGATCCGCAAACAAGTGAAGAGTGAGTATGTCCTTCTTGTTCAAACCAACATGGCCGTTGTCTCACGGGTGTCTGCGAACAAACGGGATGATGTCCTCAGTCATTCTCATCAAATTCAAAACTTCATTACTTTAGTAACTTTTTACCTCTTTGACAAATAAGAAAGTCAATGCAGCAGGGTTGTTTCTAAAATTGATGTCATCGGAAATTTTCAACAAGGTACCATTTTCTGTGAACTTTCAGACTTTGATGTGAAACCACATGGCAATCGCTTTTGAAATCCAGGGAGCGTAATGGGTTTCGGATAAATCAGTGATGTTAGGGGTTCAGTTCACCAGCACAAGCTAGATGACGAGGTATTTGTTTGTCAATTGGCAAAACAAACTTGGCTGGACTGCTGAAATTGACATTGTAAATTGACAGGAAGATTAGACAAATACGGAAGAAGTTGGGTCATGATTTCATCCCCCATGTTCCCCCATCTACTCCATCTGGAGCTCATCTGGTGGTTATTGATGGGCGCCACATGCTAGTTAGGTGTCTGGTTCCTCTGTCGTGTTGCAGAACTGTGTACTATATATCTGTATTGGGTAACGAAGGTCTTCTCACTCTTTGGTGCTAGTTTACTCCATACTTCTGTACTAAGTCAGATTTTGATCCTCTTGACAAATTGTGTGGATTCTCTGGGAGAGTTTGTAAATGTGCCATACCACTCAAAGAAGTTAAAGAACACCCGCTTCTTTCATATCACTGTAGGTAATCTGTCATGCTTATATGAAAGAATTGTGGTCCTTAACTTCTTTTGAGTAGTATAGAATCCCCATAAGTATGTTTTATCATGTAATAATTTGAAAACTGAAAATATTAAACAACCTCCCTTTGTAATCTTGCATTTCTCTTCCCACATAAGATCCACTGCAAGACACAAACAGGAGCCAATCTCTGACTGGGACATACTTTGTTTATTTGATGTGGAATATACAGCTTATCACCTTTTTATTATTTCGGCAGTAAAACATGTCGTTAGTCCCCTCCTTGACTCTATGAACAAATAAGTTGTAACCTTATCAAAATACTACCCATGTAGAATGAGATTAACCATGTCAACCAAGTTTGTTTGGGAAGGATGCAAGGTTCTCATGTTGGGTTTTACCCCTTCGGGAACTCAGGTGGTGTGGTCGCCGGTACCCCAAACTTGATTTAAGACAGGGCTACCCAGCTTCTAATAGCCGATGTAGACACAGTTTATATATAAAAACTTCATTGTGTTACTGTAATTAAGTTCAGTAGAAATCCTTGCCCTGCTTGACAATGGTATAAGGATCTGTACCAAAACGACGCTATTTGCAGTAAAGAAAGTAATAAGTTGTTTTCCATCGATTGTGTCTACTTGTCTTCCATCAACTTCTAAGAAATGCCTATCAAACATTGATTCTAGCCAACCTATAGGCTGATAGGTATTGGGCAAAGATGTGGCCTTCAGTTGCCTGCAGTAGATGTCAGGTGAGGTCTGGTGAGGTCAGGGTCCACACTTTCATCCTGTCCGTGTTGAAGATGCTTGAAACATTGAAACAAGACAACTGTCTGAAAATATCAGCAACCACCTTGTTAAGAAATGAGTTGCTATTTAAAGTAAATACTTTAATACACAAAAGTTTTTCCAGAAATTATTTCAAATATTGTCTATCCATATTTAACATTTTCTCTTTTGCACAGGTATTCAGATCGTTTTTTAACTTTGTTGTATATATTTAAAGTAAATTTACAGCACAGATTGTTTGTTATATGTGGACGTCTCCGGGTCCTGTTCTCATGCTTGCCTTGCAGATACAACTGTATTTCAGCATGCTCTTCTGTTACCTGTCCTCTGATTTGTTGATTCTGATTATTTACACAGATCCCTATTGGCTGGATACTGATGGCGATGCCAACGAGCCTGAGCAATCAGACACTTATTCAGAGTCATGTGTGTAATGGCGCAGTTTGCTGTTTGGTCATTTGTGGTGTTTTCTTCTCTAATATCTTTCAATTTCTGACAAATCTTCATTCTTTTTCTGCCTTATCTAGCTGTCACAGCTTTCAGTGTGGTATGGCTTTTTCACATCACGTCAATACTTTGTGAATGATCATACATCACCTAATATGAGCTCTTTAGCAATATGTGAGTCGGTATTAACAATATGGGCACCGAACAATCTAGCCATTCAGGATATATTAGCTGCAAGGATGAAAACTATCTGATCTGGCCATTCAGGATATATTAGCTGCAAGGATGAAAACTATCTGTCCAATTCCATCTGTCACTGTTACCTGAGTAATTAATTATCATTTTATCAGCTTCTCCTGTCGTGAAGAAATACCCATGAAGATGGGTACAATAGGTCTTCAGCAAGCCATGCTTGCCGTAAAAGGTGACTTTTCTTGTCGTAAGACTCGCTGATATGGTTAATGCATGTCATCGCATCCCAATTTGCATGGATCGATGCTCATGATGTCAATCACTGGATTGCTTGGTCCAGACTTGATTATTTACTGACCGTCATATAGCTGGAATATTGGTGAGTGAGGTGACAAACAAACCTTCTCTAATGCAAGAAGTTAGACTTGTTTGACAGAGGAGACGAATTGTGTACAGTGTTCAGTTGAAATCATTTCAGGCTTACCTGATCATAAATAAACCAATCATATAAACTGGTATCAGGGTCCGATAAATATGCAAATGAGTTGATCTAGCAGGAACTACTTTTAATAAAAATGTCCCGAAGTTTATCAGGGGTTCCTGGTGTGTTAGGAATTTTGCAGAAAAACATGCTGCACAACATTCGGCACTTTGTAACACATGGGAAGGTTTACTCATACATTGTATCCTTACGTTAGGTCTACAGGTATGTCATTCAATGAAAATATGGGGGGCACGGGTGGCCCAGTCGTCTAAGGCACTGCAATTCGCTGTGCAGAGTTGCGTCCCTTCGGCACGCCAGAAACCTATGATTGTGGGTTAGAATCCCGGTTTGCCCCGATTATGTTTCTAGGTTTGTCAGCACCATACCCGTGCTCGTGGGTTTCACCGAAGTGGTAAACGTCTGAGACCTGCATCTCTTGGGCCTTTCCTCCCACATTAAGCTGACACGCCGTGATATGACTGGAATACTGTTAAAAGGGGCGTTAAACCCAACTCACTCACTCACTCACTCACTGGATGAGAGTCGGGCTTGTCAGACAAGGACATAGTCCTGGCTTCTCTTCCACAACACAGACCTAGCATAATGCACGTCTTCGGATCATAATTGCCAGGATCCATGCTCGTGTTATCAATCACTGGATTGTCTGGTCAAGATTCAATTATTTACAGACCGTCATATGGAATATTGCGGAGTGTGGCATTAAACAACCAACAAGCAAACAGCTAGAATTAGTGGTTAGTTCCTGTGTAGACTGGGGCAGCGGTGGGGAGTAGGGCTAGCTAAAAACATTGATAATCGGAATTATTGTTGATGTGAAGAAATATTAACAATAATTTATATGAAAAATTGTGTCAACAATAATATCTTACTTAAACTATTGTGATGAAATAAAGAAAGTTACAGAAGGGGACTTGTATTTGTCCACTGCTTAAGACAAAAAGCAACTGATTTTGTGATGTCCACAAAGTAATCCATGCATAAATGTGTCACCCCTCACCAGTGACGTGAAATATTATGTTTTTGTCGATTTTGTATATTTGCTGCAAGTTACTTATCCTATATTTATTGATAATTGATCAATGTTTAGTTAACGGTTGTCGATCTCTAACATCTATATCGATAGCCAGGGCTAGCGGGGAGGCTCGGTTGTTACAGGCCTGGGTTCGATTCCTCACATGGGTGCAATGTGTGAAGCTCATTTCTGGTGCCCACCACCGAGTGTTGCTGTAATATTGCTGAAAGTCGTGTAAAACCCAATTCACTGACTCCTGTAGAATGGGAGCAGCGTCGCCCATTGGCTCATCATGCTGATGAACTGAGTTCAAATCCCCACATGGGTGAGGTGTGTGGTTTTCACTGTGATGTGGCATAAAACAGTGCTCCCTCCAGTGAAGAGAGAAGATTGTCAGTGGAGGAGCGGTAATGGCATGACAATGGCTGTTCACAGTGTTCAGAATTATGAAGTTCATGGTAATCTTGGTCCCTAAGGTTTATTGCCAGCCTGTTTTTTTTTAAAATAATTTTGCTTTAGTTTTTAGTCCCTTGATTTGTAATGTTTGACACTATAGCCAAGGGACCCTTGGTTTTCATCCATGATTTTGAACACTGTTCGTCTTGTGTCTTACTCAAACCTTGGCAACTGCTGATTGTGCCTTCATTTCCACGCTGGTGTCAGCGTTTTGCTTCACTTTGTGTGCTGAAAGTAAAACTGTTTTACATGAATGTTGAAAAGTTTACCTGGTGTTAAAAAATATGCCCTCAAAAATCCGGGTTAGAATTGGCTTTCAGCAACCCATTCTTGTCGTAAGAGGCGACCAACGGGATCGAGTAGCCCGAGTCGGTGACTTGGTTGATGCATGTCATCGTATCCCAATTGCATAGATCGATGCTCATGATGTCAATCACTAGCTTGTATGGTCCAGACTCAGATATTTACAGACCGCTTAAATATAGCTGGAATATTGCTGAGTGCGACATGATACAACCTGTTGTTAAAGCTCATGATACAAGAATGACAGCACCTTGACTGTAAGGCTTTGCTTGCAGAACACTGTTATTGTACGAATCAGTGTTGCAAGGGCAAATAAAAAAATGAGTTGAACCTTTTGACGGTATGCTTCATTGGTAATCGCACTGTACAGGCTTCTTGTAACAGGCAATGGGAAACACATCACAAATACCGCATTCGACGTAATAAGCGCCCATGGCGATATTTGCTAATATATTGGCTAGTGAACAATCCAAATTAGCACCCCTTCCGATTGATCAATGTACACAAGACCTATTTATTCGTGTATAGTACGCACTCATGTGTAATATTCACCCTCAATTATGGGCAATTAAATTCTGGAAAAATATATCTGTCGTATATAAACATTTAAGGCTGTCAGCATAAACCATGAAATTTATATTTCAACTCTGTTTTTTTCACCAAAATAATATTCTAATAAGAGCCCCATATTTTTAATTTTGAGAGCACCCTGGGCGCTTATTACGTCAAGTACGGTAAGTACAGAGATGTGGCCCATACAGAGCTGACTCGAATCATGTGGCAATGATAGAAGTTGGCACTAGTCAGTTAAGTCAGTTGCCAAACTGCCCAATAGTTAGATATAAGGACTTGTAGAAATTTTACCATTTTTAAGGATTTTGCTAAATGTTATCATTATAAGGACAAGTGGACTAAAATTGTTAGTTTCTATTGCTGTGTGGTTACAGTTTGTGTGAATGATTGTCTGTTAATCACAGGATTGTCTGATCCAGACTCAGTTATTTACAGGCCAAAGAGCAGTTGAAGATGGGTTTAAGTTTTGCTGATTTTGATTTTGCAAATAAGAAAACTATGATTGACAAATAATATCGTGTCAGAATTGATCCTATGTAACAGTAGTTTGATCAATGCAGACCTAGCTGAAGCGAAACTAGACAGTATATTTCTAGAGTCGCAATGGTTTTCCTGACTTCACTGGAGTGGTACACGTTGAGTGGCAGTGCAAGCATGCACGGTAATGTGTGACTCAGACAGATCACACCACACACATCAACACCACTCTGCTTACTAATGTTCAAGGGCGGTCGGGTAGCCTAGTGGTTAAAGCGTTCGCTCGTCACGTCTAAGACCTGGGTTCGATTCCCAACATGGGTACAATGTGTGAAGCCCATTTCTGGTGTCCCCCGCCGTGATATTGCTGGAATATTGCTAAAAGCGGCGTAAAACCGTACTCACTCACTCACTACTAATGTTCAACGTCTGGTCACATGAAATAATTCTCACCTTGCCCTTCAAAAGCAGTGCATTGATTAACACACCTTAATTGATGTGACAGTTGCCATGGAAACAGCTATACAAAAAAGGTTTATCACATGCAAACTTAAGATGTAAGTTATGCAGTTTGCCCAATTAAATTAGCTGTTTGTAGTATTTTTGTGTCTTGTTTATTTCATGTAAATTCTAATTTAGTGTTGTTTATAAAATATTAGATTTTTTCCATTTATCTGCTTATTATATTTTATATTTTTTTATCTTAAAATATTGATATGATTAAAACTGGATGTGGTCATAGATTTTCATTTTGTTTTAATCATTTTAGAGACCCAGCAACTACTCCAGGGACGAAATAATGATTTTGTCTTTCTTCATGAGACATGTTCAATATTAATTGAGTCTTTAATCTTTCTGAATATAATGTTTGTATTTTTCTACTTTCTACTCTTGATTTGCTCTTGGTCCAAACCCCTGGAGATTTAACAGGCTGAATAAGGTTAATAATTGCATGACCCCTACCCTTATTAATAATAATGTTGATGGTAATTTAGGACTGAATTATGAAATTGTGAATTATCAGTTCCTGTGTTGTTGATTGCCAGTTTAGCATGTTTGTGCATAGATTGTCAGTGCAAGCCGAGGGGTCACCAACACTAGTGTAGAATACATTCACATTTACTTCACCATCAACTCACCATTTTAAACTTTTTTTGATATTTTCATTCTGATATTATTTCTGAAAAGTGGTAATGGAACTTTCAATTGTCCATCTTCATTAAGCATGTTAAGTCGTAATTATTTCTTTGTTATTATTTCAATTTAATTTGATTATTATTTTCAATCATTATCATTATCACTTCTGTTTTTTCAAAGAAATTCATGGGGCGTATATTGTTATTAAAACTGAAATCGTCGACTCATCAGTGGATGGTTTGTTTGCAGTTGGCCCTCCCTATACATTCCGATTTCGAGTCAAGTTTTATTCATCTGAGCCAAATAACCTCCGGGAAGAATTAACAAGGTAAGTTCTGTGTGTTGGACTTATTGGTCGGGTATTAACGGGTTACTGTAGGGGTATTATGGGGGCACTGTAGGGGTATTATGGGGGCACTGTAGGGGTATTATGGGGGTACTGTAGGGGTATTATGGGGGTACTGTAGGGGTATTATGGGAGTACTGTAGGGGTATTATGGGAGTACTGTAGGGGTATTATGGGGGCACTGTAGGGGTATTATGGGGTTACTGTAGGGGTATTATGGGGGCACTGTAGGGGTATTATGGGGGCACTGTAGGGGTATTATGGGGGTACTGTAGGGGTATTATGGGGTTACTGTAGGGGTATTATGGGGGCACTGTAGGGGTATTATGGGGGCACTGTAGGGGTATTATGGGGGTACTGTAGGGGTATTATGGGGGTACTGTAGGGGTATTATGGGAGTACTGTAGGGGTATTATGGGAGTACTGTAGGGGTATTATGGGGGCACTGTAGGGGTATTTTGGGGTTACTGTAGGGGTATTATGGGAGTACTGTAGGGGTATTATGGGGTTACTGTAGGGGTATTATGGGGGCACTGTAGGGGTATTATGGGGGTATTATGGGGGTACTGTAGGGGTATTATGGGAGCACTGTAGGGGTATTATGGGAGTACTGTAGGGGTATTATGGGGGCACTGTAGGGGTACTGTGGGGGCACTGTAGGGGTATTATGGGAGTACTGTAGGGGTATTATGGGGTTACTGTAGGGGTATTATGGGAGTAATGTAGGGGTATTGTGGGGGTACTGTAGGGGTATTATGGGGGCAATGTAGGGGTATTATGGGAGTACTGTTGGGGTATTATGGGGTTACTGTAGGGGTATTATGGGGGCACTGTAGGGGTATTATGGGGGTACTGTTGGGGTATTATGGGGTTACTGTAGGGGTATTATGGGGGCACTGTAGGGGTATTATGGGGGCACTGTAGGGGTATTATGGGGGTACTGTAGGGGTATTATGGGAGTACTGTAGGGGTATTATGGGGGCACTGTAGGGGTATTATGGGAGTACTGTAGGGGTATTATGGGGTTACTGTAGGGGTATTATGGGAGTAATGTAGGGGTATTGTGGGGGTACTGTAGGGGTATTATGGGGGCAATGTAGGGGTATTATGGGAGTACTGTTGGGGTATTATGGGAGTACTGTGGGAGTATTATTGAGGTACTGAAGGTGTATTATGGGGGTACTGTGGGGGTATTGTAGGGGGGCACTGTAGGGGTATTATGGGGTTACTGTAGGGGTATTATGGGAGTACTGTAGGGGTATTGTGGGGGTACTGTAGGTGTATTATGGGGGCACTGTAGGGGTATTATGGGAGTACTGTTGGGGTATTATGGGAGTACTGTAGGGGTATTGTGGGGGCACTGTAGGGGTATTATGGGAGTACTGTTGGGGTATTATGGGAGTACTGTGGGAGTATTATTGAGGTACTGAAGGTGTATTATGGGGGCACTGTAGGGGTATTATGGGAGTACTGTTGGGGTATTATGGGAGTACTGTGGGGGTATTATTGAGGTACTGAAGGTGTATTATGGGGGTACTGTGGGGGTATTGTAGGGCTATTATGGGTTCCTGCCTTCGTTCAAAAATGCTAAATAACAAATATTATGCAGCTTTGAAAATGTACAGTGATTGTGTCTGTATTGTGGTTCAGATAATAAAGTTCAGCTGCCATGTTTACCAAAGGAGTCACGATATACTTGTTGTAAGAGGTGACTTTGCTTGTCGTAAATTGCAACTAACATGACCAGGTGGTCAGGCTCGCTGACTCAGTTGATTCAAGCCATCATCTCCCAGTTGCGTGGATCAATGATCATGTCAATCACTGGATTGTCTGGTCCAGATGCGAAAATTTACAGACCACTGTCATAGAGCTGGAATATTGTTGAGTGTGGTGTTAAACAACAAAGCAAACCAAGCCAAAAACTTAACATATCGATGCATATTGTGATACTTATTTTGTGCTGTTTGATGTGAAAGGGTTGCTATAAGCAAGTCAGATTTTTTTCAAAATTGGTAATGATATAGAGAAATGTCCCATCAAAGGTTGGTAAATCAGTCAAATGTCCTGATGCCAGTTATCTCTTGTAACATCATTGCCAAAAGAAACAACACTCCACAGACTCATGGGGATGGGTTTGTTTTGTGGGGGAGGTCGAAGGAGGTTCAAGGTTGATGTGCTCAGCAACAAGTGAGTGTCTCCTCTTTGTTTCAGGTATCAGTTCTTCCTTCAGTTGAAACAGGACATTTTCCACAACCGCTTGCCTCTGACTGAAGACACACTGATTGAACTCTGTGCTCTAGCATTACAATGTGAGTACACCCTGATTGAACCCTCCTCTAGCATTACAATGTGAGTACACTCTGATTGAACTATGTGATCTAGCATTACAATGTGAGTACACCCTGATTGAACTCTGTGATCTAGCATTACAATGTGAGTACACCCTGATTGAACTCTGTGATCTAGCATTAAAATGTGAGTACACCCTGATTGAACTCTGTGCTCTAGCATTTCAATGTGAGTACACCTTGATTGAACTATGTGATCTAGCATTACAATGTGAGTACACCCTGATTGAACTCTGTGCTCTAGCATTACAATGTGAGTACACCTTGATTGAACTCTGTGATCTAGCATTACAATTTGAGTACACCCTGATTGAACTCTGTGCTCTAGCATTTCAATGTGAGTACACCCTGATTGAACTCTGTGCTCTAGTATTTCAATGTGAGTACACCTTGATTGAACTATGTGATCTAGCATTACAATGTGAGTACACCCTGATTGAACTCTGTGCTCTAGCATTACAATGTGAGTACACCTTGATTGAACTCTGTGCTCTAGCATTTCAATGTGAGTACACCTTGATTGAACTCTGTGATCTAGCATTACAATGTGAGTACACCCTGATTGAACTCTGTGCTCTAGCATTACAATGTGAGAACACCTTGATTGAACTATGTGATCTAGCATTACAATGTGAGTACACCCTGATTGAACTCTGTGATCTAGCATTACAATGTGAGTACACCTTGATTGAACTCTGTGATCTAGCATTACAATCTGAGTACACCCTGATTGAACTCTGTGATCTAGCATTACAATGTGAGTACACCCTGATTGAACTCTGTGATCTAGCATTACAATGTGAGTACACCCTGATTGAACTCTGTGATCTAGCATTAAAATGTGAGTACACCCTGATTGAACTCTGTGCTCTAGCATTTCAATGTGAGTACACCTTGATTGAACTATGTGATCTAGCATTACAATGTGAGTACACCCTGATTGAACTCTGTGTTCTAGCATTTCAATGTTAGTACACCTTGATTGAACTATGTGATCTAGCATTACAATGTGAGTACACCCTGATTGAACTATGTGATCTAGCATTACAATGTGAGTACACCCTGATTGAACTCTGTGATCTAGCATTACAATGTGAGTACACCTTGATTGAACTATGTGATCTAGCATTACAATGTGAGTACACCCTGATTGAACTATGTGATCTCGCATTACAATGTGAGTACACCCTGATTGAACTCTGTGCTCTAGCATTACAATGTGAGTACACCCTGATTGAACTCTGTGATCTAGCATTACAATGTGAGTACACCCTGATTGAACTCTGTGATCTAGCATTACAATGTGAGTACACCCTGATTAAACTCTGTGCTCTAGCATTACAATGTGAGTACACCCTGATTAAACTCTGTGCTCTAGCATTACAATGTGAGTACACCCTGATTGAACCCTTCTCTAGCATTACAATGTGAGTACACCCTGATTGAACTCTGTGCTCTAGCATTACAATGTGAGTACACCCTGATTGAACCCTCCTCTAGCATTACAATGTGAGTACACCCTGATTGAACTCTGTGCTCTAGCATTCGATGTGAGTACACCCTGATTGAAACCTGCTCTAGCATTACAATGTAAGTACACCATGTTTGAACCCTGCTCTAGCATTACAATGTAAGTACACCCTGATTGAAACCTGCTCTAGCATTACAATGTAAGTACACCCTGATTGAACTCTGTGATCTAGCATTACAATGTAAGTACACCCTGATAGAACCCTCCTCTAGCATAACAATGTAAGTACACCCTGATAGAACCCTCCTCTAGCATAACAATGTAAGTACACCCTGATAGAACCCTCCTCTAGCATAACAATGTAAGTACACCCTGATAGAACCCTCCTCTAGCATTACAATGTAAGTACACCCTGATTGAACTCTGTACATTGTAAGTACACCCTGATTGAACTCTGTAGAATGTGAGTACACCCTGATTGAACTCTGTGCTCTAGCATTACAATGTGAGTACACCCTGATTGAACTCTGTGCATTGTAAGTACACCCTGATTGAACTCTGTAGAATGTGAGAACACCCTGATTGAACTCTGTGCTCTAGCATTACAATGTGAGTACAACCTGATTGAACTCTGTACATTGTAAGTACACCCTGATTGAACTCTGTACATTGTAAGTACACCCTGATTGAACTCTGTGCTCTAACATTACAGTGTGAGTACACCCTGATTGAACTCTGTACATTGTAAGTACACCCTGATTGAACTCTGTGCTCTAACATTACAGTGTGAGTACACTCTGATTGAACTCTGTACATTGTAAGTACACCCTGATTGAACTCTGTGCTCTAGCATTACAATGTGAGTACACCCTGATTGAACTCTGTACATTTTAAGTACACCCTGATTGAACTCTGTGCTCTAGCATTACAATGTGAGTACACCCTGACTGAACTCTGTACGTTGTAAGTACACCCTAAATGAACTCTGTAGAATGTGAGTACACCCTGAGAGTTATGATCTGGTATCCGTTGCACCCACCACCATGGTCCACCACTTTGAAGCTAGTTTGTAACAACCAATAACATGTAAATCACATGCTCTGTCAGACTCCAATGTACAGCCAGCCTGTCACCATCACAGCAGTCTGTCACATGCTGGACTGCTGTAAGGATCCAGGGTGTCACATGACGTCAACATGTTGTAACCACAGTACTGTGTTTCTTCCCAGTAGCAGTCTGTAACTCTACCCGCTAGTCCGAACACCCGTGAAGATCCGGGTAGAATAGGTCTTCACCAACCTATGTTTGCCATAAAAGGTGGCTATGCTTGTCGTAACGGCTGACTAACGGGATCGGGTGGTCAGACTCGCTGACTTGGTTGATTCATGTCATCGTATTCCAGTTTGGTGGATCAATGCTCTTGATGTGAATCATTGGATTGTCTGGTCCAGACTCGATTATTTACAGACCATTGTCATATAGCTGGAATATGGTTGAGTGCAGCGTTGAACAACAACAAACAAACAAAACGCTAGTCAAAGGCCGAGTCTGGTAAAAGTGTGTTCAGTCAGTGAACTCAGTAAATAATAGTCTATATGATAACACTAAAATCTCCAGACAATGATGCGGACAGCCATGTTCAGGCTAGTAGTGTAGGTTTTGGCACAGACTCCAGTAGCAGGCTTGAAATAGTCACATACAGGAAATATCTGTACAGCTTTTCTTAGGTCGTTAAATGTTAAATTTGGAACAGAATATTTACAGTGAGGTAATAGAATGTGCCAAAGAAATGTCCAAATACTTTGAAGTTCAAACTCTGGCAAATATATCGGTTATAAACAGTAATACAGAAACTATCTGTAGCAAATACATAAGTGGCTGATTCTGTGCACCTCTGGCCCCAGCATGGCGCCGGCGCCAGAATAATGGTATCTGCCTGCCTCGCGTCACATGCGTCTATCATACTGGGTGAGGATAACAGAGCCTGGCTGTACAACCCCAGTGCTATCTTGTGTGTAGTGACAGCAAGCACACTTTCATGGGCAAGGGAGCAGGGCTTGGTGACCTTTGGTGCCATCTCGTCCCTGGTGGCACTACTCTTGTAACCATGGCACTACTCTTGTAACCATTGATATCTCCTCCCAGGAACAAGCTCCATTGGGTGTGGTTTAGTGGTAATGGAAACCACCAACAGTCCTCTGTTGTCTCAGGGCTTGAGATCTAGGGCCTGTATTGTCTCACTGAACACTGCATGGGGAAGCAAGGGTTTTATCAGAAATTGTCCAGAATTAGTTTGTCTGTCAATCGATTTTTGAAATTAGGCGAAGTGAAATGGGGTTTAACGTCGTATTCAAGATTATTACGCTTATATAGCGACGTGCATGTGTGGCTGCTTGTGCTAGTCCGGACTAATTTCAATCTTATAGTGCTAGCCCACTGAAATACCATGCCAAAGTTTAACATGAATACCCCACTCAGACACAGTATACTGCCTCCGAGCCGACCAGTCCTTGTTGTATCCCCATAATGCTGAGCTCCAGGTAGGGTAACAAGAAGTACCATCTTTTGACGTCTTTTGGGATGACACAGCCAAGGATCGAAACCCGGACGTTCCTCTCTCCGGGCAGACGCTCTACCACTAGAACTTTGTCTTCAGATGGAGGTTTGACTCGTTGTAGAATTGGGGGATGGTTATGTCAGTGAATCAGAGAGAGAAAGATGTGTTTGGAAGCAGTTATCTCCTCTTGCCTCATGGCCAGTAATATCCATATCTAATATCCAGTGTGTCATCAGACCCCATAGGTTTGCCTAGTCGAGACTGTAGGGAAAAAAACCTCCCTCACTCACTCATCAATTCAAAGTACTTAGTCAGCTAGCGGGGGCACTGGTGGCCCAGTCATCTAAGGCGCCGCGATTCTCTGTGCAGAGTTGCGTCCCTTGGGCACGCCAGAAACATGATTGTGGGTTCAAATCCCGGTTCGCCCCAATTATGTTTCTAGGTTTGTCAGCACCATACCCGTGCTCGTGGGTTTCACCGAAGTGGTTTACGTCTGAGACCTGCATCACTTCGGGCTTTCCTCCCACATTAAGCTGATACGCCGTGATATAACTGGAATACTGTTAAAAGCGGCGCTAAACCCAACTCACTCACTCACTAGTCAGCTAGCTTGCACAGTGAGTCAGATCAAGTGAGGTAGATTCATCTACTGTTCTCATGTTCTCAGTTCCAGCATGCTGACTCCATGTGGCCCTGGTGGTATTGATCAGGCCTGTGTCGCAGCTGTTGTATTGATCTGTCACCGAACACTCCGTGTGATTGACATATTCCATCTGGATAAGAATCAACATCTGGTTTTAGAACTTTTGTTTATGTACCTGTACCGCATTAGAATACCATAGCAGGGACCGAGTGACCCCAGCTTAAATGCTTAAAAACACTGCTATATCAGAAAACCTCCAGAGACCACACGACCCCACCTTAAGTTCTGAAAGTGCTATATCAGAAAACCTCCAGACCACATGACCCCACCTTAATTTCTGAAAGTGCTTTATCAGAAAACCTCCAGACCACATGACCCCACCTTAATTTCTGAAGTGCTTTATCAGAAAACCTCCAAACCACACGACCCCACCTTATGTACCTCCAGACCACACGACCCCACCTTAAGTTCTGAAAGTGCTTTATCCGAAAACCTCCAGACCACACGACCCCACCTTAAGTTCTGAAAGTGCTTTATCAGAAAACCTCCAGACCATATGACCCCACCTTAAGTTCTGAAAGTGCTTTATCAGAAAACCTCCAGACCACATGACCCCACCTTAATTTGTGAAAGTGCTATATCAGAAAACCTCCAAACCCCACTAGCACTATTATATCAGAAACCTTCAGGTCCCCAGCACCCCTAAATTTCTGACACTGCTATTTCAAGAACATCTAAGATCCAAGATCCCTTATTTTCTGACAGTGCTTAAACATGTTACCATGGTAAGGTTCCATCATAATCACCATCAGCAGGAAGAGATGATTGATGTCATGACATCGAGTTGTTACCATGGTTAAGCATAGGTGTTCTCTTACTGATTTACCTAAGGGCCTGCACCATGTCAGAATATGTGTCCCAAAGTTGTTACCAGACAGACTTGATCAAAGAGAGCAGGTTTTGCTGTGGTGTAGTGTTGTGACTGTTTTATGAGACTGGTGTTACCTTGAGTGGGAGGACAGGAAGACTGGGTTGGAGTTTATCAGCTGTATGACATTGTAGTCATTGTCTTCCCCACTGAGTGAGGCTTGTTGTGACGTTGATGAATGGCAGTATTGGGGTAGTTCTGTGTGGGGACAATGTACACCACGGTTAGGAGGACACAGATCTACAGGGAAACACGGCTTGGAGGAAACACTCGGCCTGGAGGAAACACCCGTCTGAGGAAAATACTCTGTATAGTGGGGTTATTTTTATCTGTGTTGTGTACATGTCACAGGTGAATATATGCAGTTGCAAATATACAGAGGGTACAATACATAAGGCTGGTGTACCGATACAGAGGGTACAATACATTAGGCAGGTGTACTGTTGCAGATGGTACAATACATTAGGCAGGTGTACTGTTGCAGAAGGTACAATACATTAGGCAGGTGTACCGATACAGAGGGTACAATACATTAGGCAGGTGTACAGATACAGAGGGTACAATACTTGAGGCAGGTGTACCGATACAGTGGGTACAATACATAAGGCAGTGGTACCGATACAGTGGGTGCCATACATTAGGCAGGTGTACCGAAACAGAGGGTACAATACATTAGGCAGGTGTACCGATACAGAGGGTACAATACATTAGGCAGGTGTACCCATACAGTGGGTACAATACACTAGGCAGGTGTACCGATACAGAAGGTACAATACATTAGGCAGGTGTACCGATACAGAGGGTACAATGCACTAGGCAGGTGTACCGACACAGAGGGTACAATACATTAGGCAGGTGTACCGATACAGAGGGTACAATACATTAGGCAGGTGTACCGATACAGAGGGTACAATACATTAGGCAGGTGTACTGATACAGAGGGTACAATACATTAGGCAGGTGTACCGATACAGAGGGTACAATACATTAGGCAGGTGTACCAATACAGAGTGTACAATACATCAGGCAGGTGTACTGATTCAGAGGGTACAATACATAAGGCTGGTGTACCGATACAGAGGGTACAATACCTAAGGCTGGTGTAATGATACAGAGGGTACAATACATTAGGCAGGTGTACCGATACAGAGGGTACAATACATATGGCTGGTGTACCAATACAGAGGGTACAATACATAAGGCTGGTGTACCGATACAGAGGGTACAATACATTAGGCAGGTGTAATGATACAGAGAGTACAATACAATAGGCAGGTGTACCGATACAGAGGGTACAATACATTAGGCAGGTGTACTGTTGCAGAAGGTGCAATACATTAGGCAGGTGTACCGATACAGAGAGTACAATACACTAGGCAGGTGTACTGTTGCAGAAGGTGCAATACATTAGGCAGGTGTACCAATACAGAGGGTACAATACATTAGGCAGGTGTACCGATACAGAGGGTACAATACATTAGGCAGGGGAACCGATACAGAGGGTACAATACATTAGGCAGGTGTACCGATACAGAGGGTACAATACATTAGGCAGGTGTACCGATACAAAGAGTACAATACATTAGGCAGGTGTACCGATACAGAGTACAATACACTAGGCAGGTGTACCGATACAGAGGGTACAATACATTAGGCAGGTGTACCGATACAGAGGGTACAATACCTAAGGCTGGTGTAATGATACAGTGGGTACAATACATTAGGCAGGTGTACCGATACAGAGGGTACAATACATTAGGCAGGTGTACCGATGCAGAGGGTACAATACATTAGGCAGGTGTACCGATACAGAGGGTACAATACATTAGGCAGGTGTACCGATACAGAGAGTACAATACACTAGGCTGGTTTACCGATACAAAGAGTACAATACATTAGGCAGGTGTACCGATGCAGAAGTTACAATGCTGCTCTACACAAACTGGTACATTGTGTGATACAATACATATGGTGCATTTCTCAGCCAGAGGAGATTACCTACTTAACTGTTTGTTATTTCAGCTGAGCTGGGAGACTACGACCCAGAGGTCCACACCCCAGGGTACATCTCGGAGTTCCGGTTCGTCCCCAACCAGTCCGAGGACATGGAACTAGCCATCCATGAACATTTCAAGAAGTGCGGGTGAGTCGTTACACCGCTGGGTGAATGTCAATTTCACGTGTGATGCTGGCATTGAAAGGAAAACTGAATTACCGTAATATCATCTGTTGTGTCAGTGGACCTGTAATATCATCTGTTGTGTCAGTTGACCTGTAAGGTTCTGTGTGTTGTGTCAGCAGACCTGTAAGACCCTGTGTGTTGTATCAGCAAACCTGTAAGACCCTGTGTGTTGTGTCAGCAGACCCGTAAGACCCTGTGTGTTGTGTCAGGAGACCTTTAAGACCCTGTGTGTTGTGTCAGGAGACCCATAAGATCCTGTGTGTTGTGTCAGGAGACCTGTAAGACCCTGTGCATTGTATCAGGAGACCTGTAAGTTCCTGCGTTGTATCAGGAGACCCGTAAGATCCTGTGTGTTGTATCAGGAGACCTGTAAGACCCTGTGTGTTGTGTAAGGAGACCTGTAAGACCCTGTGCGTTGTATCAGGAGACCGTAAGATCCTGTGTGTTGTGTCAGGAGACCTGTAAGATCCTGTGTGTTGTGTCAGCAGACCTGTAAGATCCTGCCTTGTGTCAGAAGACCTGTAAGGTTCTTTGTTGTGTCAGCAGACCTGTAAGATCCTGTGTGTTTTTTCAGCAGACCTGTAAGACCCTGTGTGTTGTGTCAGTAGACCTGTAAGATCCTGTGTGTTGTGTCAGCAGACCTGTAAGATCCTGTGTGTTGTGTCAGGAGACCTGTAAGATCCTGTGTTGTGTCAGGAGACCCATAAGATCCTGTGTGTTGTGTCAGCAGACCTGTAAGACCCTGTGTGTTGTGTCAGGAGACCCATAAGATCCTGTGTGTTGTGTCAGTAGACCTGTAAAATCCTGTGTGTTGTGTCAGGAGACCCGTAAGACCCTGTGTGTAGTGTCAGTAGACCTGTAAGATCCTGTGTGTTGTGTCAGGAGACCCGTAAGATCCTGTGTGTTGTGTCAGGAGACCCGTAAGATCCTGTGTGTTGTGTCAGCAGACCTGTAAGATCCTGTGTGTTGTGTCAGGAGACCCGTAAGATCCTGTGTGTTGTGTCAGTATACCTGTAAGATCCTGTGTGTTGTGTCAGTAGACCTGTAAGATCCTGTGTGTTGTGTCAGGAGACCCGTAAGATCCTGTGTGTTGTGTCAGGAGACCCATAAGATCCTTTATGTTATGTCAGGAGACCTGTAAGATCCTGTGTGTTGTGTCAGGAGACCCATAAGATCCTGTGTGTTGTGTCAGGAGACCTGTAAGATCCTGTGTGTTGTATCAGGAGACCCGTAAGATCCTGTGTGTTGTGTCAGCAGACCTGTAAGATCCTGTGTTGTGTCAAGAGACCTGTAAGATCCTGTGTGTTGTGTCAGGAGACCTGTAAGATCCTGTGTGTTAGGTCAGGAGACCCGTAAGATCCTGTGTGGTGTGTCAGGAGACCTGTAAGATCCTGTGTTGTGTCAGGAGACCCGTAAGATCCTGTGTGGTGTGTCAGCAGACCTGTAAGATCCTGTGTGTTGTGCCAGGAGACCTGTAAGATCCTGTGTTGTGTCAGGAGACCTGTAAGACCCTGTGTGTTGTGTCAGGAGACCTGTAAGACCCTGTGTGTTGTATCAGGAGACCCGTAAGATCCTGTGTGTTGTGTCAGCAGACCTGTAAGACCCTGTGTGTTGTGTCAGGAGACCCGTAAGATCCTGTGTGTTGTGTCAGTATACCTGTAAGACCCTGTGTGTTGTGTCAGGAGACCCGTAAGATCCTGTGTTGTGTCAGGAGACCTGTAAGATCCTGTGTGTTGTGTCAGGAGACCTGTAAGACCCTGTGTGTTGTGTCAGGAGACCTGTAAGACCCTGTGCGTTGTATCAGGAGACCTGTAAGATCCTGTGTTGTGTCAGGAGACCTGTAAGTTCCTGTGTTGTGTCAGTAGACCTTTAAGATCCTGTGTTGTGTTGCAGGGGGATGACGCCGGCCCAGGCGGAGCTTGCCTACCTGAACAAGGCCAAGTGGCTGGAGATGTATGGCGTGGACATGCACATGGTCATGGTGGGTGTCGACCTTCTCAACCCCGGGGCAGACGTCTCCCTGTAATATGTTTGTTGTCACCGAGTTTCGCAGACAGGAACAGTGGACTGATTTCTCTCAGAGGACCCTGTCCAAACATCGAGTCTGGACCAGCAACAGTTCCAGTTTAAGTTTCGAGTTTCAATTAAATGACTTTGTGGGACAGAAGCAGAATGTATTGTTGGCTTACGTAGTATATCTTGCTCAAGACGTGTTGGTTAGCAGGGAATATCTGATTCCAGAGGTGTCAGTCTACAGAGACTATCTGGCTACTGTAGTATGTAAACTTACTGATTTTTGCTTGTTTTGTAGGGTCGAGATGGCAACGAGTACAGCCTGGGTCTGACTCCAACTGGAGTTCTGGTGTTCGAGGGCAAACAGAAAATTGGTCTCTTCTTCTGGTAAGAAGCAAACATTGAGGATACAAAGCTGTAGCCTATAGTAAAGAGGCGGTTCGTCTTTTACTAATTATATGGGATCTGTATGCAGGAATACTACTGATATGTTCCAGGAATACTTGGTTATTGTGACAGTACTGCTGGGTTATTGTGACAGTACTGCTGGGATATTGTGACAGTACTGCTGGGATATTGTGGGGATACTGCTGGGTTATTGTGACAGTACTGCTGGGATATTGTGGGAATACTGCTGGGTTATTGTGAGAATACTGCTGGGATATTGTGACAGTACTGCTGGGATATTGTGGGGATACTGCTGGGATATTGTGAGAATACTGCTGGGATATTGTGGGAATACTGCTGGGATATTGTGACAGTACTGCTTGGTTATTGTGGGGATATTGGTGGGATACTGTGACAATACTGCTGGGATATTGCGGGAATACTGCTGGGTTATTGCGACAATAATACTGCTGGGATATTGTGGGGATACTGCTGGGTTATTGCGACAGTACTGCTTGGTTATTGTGGGGATACTGGTGGGATACTGTGACAATACTACTGGGATATTTAGGGAATACTGCTGGGTTATTGCGACAATAATACTGCTGGGATATTGTGGGGATACTGCTGGGTTATTGTGACAGTACTGCTTGGTTATTTTGGGGATACTGGTGGCATACTGTGACAATACTGCTGGGATATTGCGGGAATACTGCTGGGTTATTGCGACAATAATACTGCTGGGATATTGTGGGGATACTGCTGGGTTATTGCGACAGTACTGCTTGGTTATTGTGGGGATACTGGTGGGATACTGTGACAATACTGCTGGGATATTGCGGGAATACTGCTGGGTTATTGCGACAATAATACTGCTGGGATATTGTGGGAATACTGCTTAGTTATTGTGACAGTACTGCTTGGTTATTGTGGGGATACTGGTGGGATACTGTGACAATACTGCTTGGTTATTGTGGGGATACTGTGACAATACTGCTTGGTTATTGTGGGGATACTGCTGGGATATTGTAACAGTACTGCTGGGATATTGTGGGGATACTGCTGGGATATTGTGACAATAATACTGCTGGGATATTGTGGGAATACTGATTGGATATTGCGGGAATACTGCAGGGTTATTGCGACAATAATACTGCTGGGATATTGTGACAATAATATTGCTGGGATATTGTGACAGTACTGCTGGTATATTGTGGGGATATTGTGACAATAATACTGCTTGGTGATTGTGACAATGCTGCTGGGATATTGTTGGAATACTGCTGGGTTATTGTGGGGATACTGCTGGGATATTGTGACAATAATACTGCTGGGTTATTGTGGGGATACTGCTTGGATATTGCGGGAATACTGCTGGGTTATTGTGACAATAATACTGCTGGGATATTGTGACAGTACTGCTGGGTTATTGTGGGGATACTGCTGGGATATTGTGACAATAATGACTGCTTGGTTATTGTGACAATGCTGCTAGGATATTGTTGGAATACTGCTGTGTTATTGTGGGGATACTGCTTGGATATTGCGGGAATACTGCTGGGTTTTTGTGACAATAATACTGCTTGGTTATTGTGACAATGCTGCTGGGATATTGTTGGAATACTGCTGGGTTATTGTGGGGATACTGCTTGGATATTGTGACAATAATACTGCTTGGTTATTGTGACAATGCTGCTAGGATATTGTTGGAATACTGCTGGGTTATTGTGGGGATACTGCTTGGATATTGCGGGAATACTGCTGGGTTTTTGTGACAATAATACTGCTGGGATATTGTGACAATACTGCTGGGATATTATGGGAATACTGCTGGGTTATTGTTACAATAATACTGCTGGGATATTGTGACAGTACTGCTGGGTTATTGTGGGGATACTGCTGGGATATAGTGACAATAATACTGCTTGGTTATTGTGACAATGCTGCTAGGATATTGTTGGAATACTGCTGGGATATTGTGGGAATACTGATTGGATATTTTGGGAATACTGCTTAGTTATTGTGACAATACTGCTGGGATATTGTGACAATACTGCTGGGATATTGTGGGAATACTGTTGGGTTATTGTGGGGATACTGCTTGGATATTGTCGGAATACTGCAGTGAGTTTGCTTCATCTAACGTCCTCTCCTCCAGGCCGAAGATGACCAAGCTGGACTTCAAGGGGAAGAAGCTGACACTGGTGGCTGTGGAAGACGATGAAACTGTGAGTGAGGGAGTCATATTTGTCATTAACAAAGTCATGAGATCAGGGTATAGGATAGTCTTGAATGGATCTGGATGTCATGTCCCTCTTTAATGACTAGACTCAGTGTCAGGGAAGGCCAGGTTGAGATGGATCTGTGGATGTGGTGTCCCTCTTTAATGACTAGACTCAGTGTCAGGGAAGGCCAGGTTGAGATGGATCTGTGGATGTCATGTCCCTCTTTAATGACTAGACTCAGTGTCAGGGAAGGCCAGGTTGAGATGGATCTGTGAATGTCATGTCCCTCTTTAATGACTAGACTCAGTGTCAGGGAAGGCCAGGTTGGGATGGATCTGTGGGTGTCATGTCCCTCTTTAATGACTAGACTCAGTGTCAGGGAAGGCCAGGTTGAGATGGATCTGTGGATGTCATGTCCCTCTTTAATGACTAGACTCAGTGTCAGGGAAGGCCAGGTTGAGATGGATCTGTGGATGTCATGTCCCTCTTTAATGACTAGACTCAGTGTCAGGGAAGGCCAGGTTGAGATGGATCTGTGGATGTCATGTCCCTCTTTAATGACTAGACTCAGTGTCAGGGAAGGCCAGGTTGAGATGGATCTGTGGATGTCATGTCCCTCTTTAATGACTAGACTCAGTGTCAGGGAAGGCCAGGTTGAGATGGATCTGTGGATGTCATGTCCCTCTTTAATGACTAGACTCATTGTCAGGGAAGGCCAGGTTGAGATGGATCTGTTGGTGTCATGTCCCTCTTTAATGACTAGACTCAGTGTCAGGGAAGGCCAGGTTGGGATGGACCTCTTTGATGGCTGTATAACGATCATGGACTGTTGCAGGGTGCAAGTCAGGACCATGTGTTCGTGTTCCGGCTGGCGAGCGACAAGGCATGCAAGCACCTGTGGAAGTGTGCAGTAGAACACCACGCTTTCTTCCGACTGAAGGGCCCTGTCAAGGAGGGCAACGCTAGACAGAATTTCTTCAGACTCGGGTCAAGGTTCAGATACAGGTGAGACTTGTTTTGTGTTTGGATGAAGTCAGGAGACTCATATTGTCACGATCATCAAATAAAACCTGACGCGAGACTGATAAGACAACATGTACCCGAGTCATTCTGCAACAACAAATTCATCTTGCCAACATGTTTCAATCTGCCATTGTAAAAGAATTTGAAAATTGATAGATAGCTGTTAGATTGACCCGAGGTTAACTTGTGATGTGTCAGGTGACTTTCATTGACTCTTAAACAATGGGCAGCTCCTTGCTTATGAGGCGTTATAGAAGCTTTAGTTCTGGTGATATTGAATGAACAACTGTGACTGGAATAAGGACCTACAACATAATTCCGATAAACCAATCGAGGGTGTGTTGAAGGTCAAGGTTGTTGGACAAGAGGTGTTTAACTTTATTCATTAATAAGAGTTAAATTTGTTTTACATGTCTATTCTGTGTTTGCACTGCCAGGCTGAAGGAAGAGAGTATCTCTGCCACGTTTGGATGTGATGGTTCGGCTGACCGAAATCTATGGGGATAGTTTGTATGTGTGTCAAGAGTTCTCCATCAGTGTTTCAAGGTCACTTTTCCTTTCAGTGGTCGAACGGAGTACCAGACAGCCACTGTGAGTCGAGCTCGCCGCAGCGTCCGATTCGAACGTAAACCTAGTCACCGCTACTCCCGCAGGGCAACTTTCGAGCGAGCAGAACGGGAAGAGAAGATGAAACTGGCTCAAGAGAGAGCCGACAGGAAGAAAGCAGCGCAACAAAGCCGGGAAGCTATCCGGGGGGAGAAGAAGGAAACAACAATCGATGAACCCAAAGTAACAACAGCGGTGCTGTCTCCTGCTGCTGCTGCTGCACCGACTGTGACAGTCGACGTTGCCGACGGCCCGGCCAACACCTCAGCTCTCGACAGATTAGACACCTTGATCAAAGGAACGGCAGCAGACACTTCAATGAACTCTCTCAACAGGAAACCTAAATCTCCACGACCATCAACCAGTTCTTCAGCGGGCAATAATGTTTCCATACAAGGTTTGTTCAATTTGGGAATATTAACACTAGCAATGTCCTCAGGCAAGACCCAGGCTTAAGGTCAGTTTAATGTTAATATAGTATGTGGTCTTGATTTGCAGACAAGCCTGACTTTCCCACTAGTTTTTGTAATTATTGCAAATACCCTACCTCTATTCATCAGTCCTGTATTTTGGCCTTCATCACACTATAAAAGTCTTCAGAGATTCAACAGAAGTACTCTTCACAGTCAACCATCCATAATATGTTGTGCAAGTAATAGTATCTCATCACCTGCACCTAATGCACATGCACGAGGCAGGAAAACCTCCCTTTCCAGTGTGTCAACAACAAACACAATTACCAACTTCACAGAGAACATTACTTTGGGAGTCATGCTATAATTAAGATCTTCGGGTCAGTTTGATGTCAATATCCAATGTCATTCTGATTCATAGACATGCTGGACTTCCCCATCAATGTTATGTTGAGGATTTCATTGTAAGATCTGCCACAGATAAGATTATGCTGTACATCTGAGAATATATTTTCTGGGAATCCTGGCAAGGTCCATCTGTACAAACATGGATGCCAAGCTCATGTTGATGTGAATCTGTTACAGAGGCATCTGAGTTCGCGATGGCACGGATGAAGGTGTTGGACGATACGGCGCCGGTGGTGCACAAACCGAAGCCAGATGTGAACACATTTAAGAACAACCAGGTCAAGTTTGCAGGAAGCAGCACAGCCACCATCCCCCCCGACCAGATGAAGTGCAACATCTTCAAGGCAAGGATGGAAGAAGACTTGAAGAAAGGTGGGAGGAGATTAGGAGTGTCTTAGATGTGATTGTCAGCTGGGAGGAGTGGCTTAGATCTGATTGTCAGCTGGGAGGAGTGGCTTAGATCGGATTGTCAGCTGGGAGGAGCGGCTTAGATCTGATTGTCAGCTGGGAGGAGTGGCTTAGATGTGATTGTCAGCTGGGAAGAGTGGCTTAGATCTGATTGTCAGCTGGGAGGAGTGGCTTAGATGTGATTGTCAGCTGGGAGGAGTGTCTTAGATCGGATTGTCAGCTGGGAGGAGTGGCTTAGATCTGATTGTCAGCTGGGAGGAGTGGCTTAGATGTGATTGTCAACTGGGAGGAGTGGCTTAGATGTGATTGTAAGCTGGGAGGAGTGGCTTAGATGTGATTGTCAGCTGGGAGGAGTGGCTTAGATCTGATTGTCAGCTGGGAGGAGTGGCTTAGATCTGATTGTCAGCTGGGAGGAGTGGCTTAGATCTGATTGTCAGCTGGGAGGAGTGGCTTAGATCTGATTGTCAGCTTGGAGGAGTGACTGTCTGATTGTCAGCTGGGAGGAGTGACTTAGATCTGATTGTCAGCTGGGAGGAGTGACTTAGATCTGATTGTCAGCTGGGAGGAGTGGCTTAGATCTGATTGTCAGCTGGGAGGAGTGACTGTCTGATTGTCAGCTTGGAGGAGAGTCTTTGATTTGATTGTAAGGTGGGAAGAGTGGCTTAGATCTGATTGTCAGCTGGAAGGAGAGTCTTTGATTTGATTGTCAGCTTGGAGGAGTGGCTTAGATCTGATTGTCAGCTGGGAGGAGTGACTGTCTGATTGTCAGCTGGGAGGAGTGTCTTAGATCTGATTGTCAGCTGGGAGGAGTGACTTAGATCTGATTGTCAGCTGGGAGGAGTGGCTTAGATCTGATTGTCAGCTGGGAGGAGTGACTGTCTGATTGTCAGCTGGGAGGAGTGACTTAGATCTGATTGTCAGCTGGGAGGAGTGACTTAGATCTGATTGTCAGCTGGGAGGAGTGACTGTCTGATTGTCAGCTGGGAGGAGTGGCTTAGATCTGATTGTCAGCTGGGAGGAGTGACTGTCTGATTGTCAGCTGGGAGGAGTGACTTAGATCTGATTGTCAGCTGGGAGGAGTGGCTTAGATCCGATTGTCAGCTGGGAGGAGTGGCTTAGATCTGATTGTCAGCTGGAAGGAGTGACTTAGATCTGATTGTCAGCTGGAAGGAGTGACTTAGATCTGATTGTCAACTGGGAGGAGAGTCTTTGATTTGATTTTGATTGAAACACACAGGATTAGGTAATGATCATAAAAGGCAATACAGAGTAATAACATGTGGCAGCAGCAGCAGAAGGTAACAGGCCCTTTTACACAAGTCAGGCCAAACTTTGTCACAGTCGAATGTCTTGAATCAGGCATATGCTCCATTTTGAATCCCTTAAACAGTGTTGGAAGCAGGCAGAATAGTCAGTGATTTCAGATAGGTATCCTGTCCGCATTGTGCAAGTGGATAAGTCGCACGTCAGATTGTAGAAGGCCTCGAATTACCATCTTATGAAGATGCAACCAGCCTTCTAGAAACTGTCACCTCATGAAGCAGCTCTAATGAGGTGGTCAGTGCCAGAAGTGAATTGACTACTGTAAACAAGCTCCTCACATTGAGCTGTCTATTATGGGAGGGTGACAAAGGTGTCAAGCACTGGGATGGAGCTTTGACTGTAAACAACTAAGGGAGGTCACTCTATTTTACGAGCAACTCAATTAGCTGCCACTAATAATCAGCAGAAATATACTTATAATATACTCCACCACAAAACAGTATGTGTACTTTAATAGTTTATGCAAGTACCTGTTATTTACATTTTCAGACAACGAAGTGGTTGCGTTGCCGCCGCTGCCAGTGAAGGTTGTGTCTGAGGACGAGGAGGAGGACGAGAAGGAGAGGTATGGCTGGTCTTCTCGCCTGTGTTTTCTCTCATGTCGTATGTTGTATTGTACAAGTTGTAACTGCATGGTAGACATCTTTCATACTGAATGTGTATCTAGTACCACTAGTAGTATCATTTGTATTGTTTGTAGATGTAACTTCATTAATATCATAAGGAAGAGATTTCATGGATGTCAACTCCTTTATTATGTATGTAGCAGGGGGCATGGAGTCATCCCACAGATGACATCCTTACCTTGTGAGCTTGCTGACGGGGTTAACCTCTTTGGTCATGTGGACAAGGCGCCCAACCTCGGATCAGAAGGACCGTGGTTCGAATCCCATCACGGGACTCGGAAATTTTATGGCCGCTACATTGGCGCCCAACGTGGGGCCTTGTCCACATGACCAAAGAGGTTAACCCCGTCAGCAAGCTCACATGGTAAGGATGTCATCTGTGGGATGACTCCACGCCCCCTGCTACATGAGGAACACAAAATTTTGGAGTACGTATTCGACGTAATAAGCGCCCGGGCGCTCTCAAAATTACAAATAGGGGCTCTTATTAGAATATTATTTTGGTGGAAAAAACAGAGTTGAAAGATAAATTTCGTGGTTTATGCTGACAGCCTGAATTGTTTATGTACGACAGATATATTTTTCCAGAATTTAATTGCCCATAATTAAGGGTGCATATAACACACGATTGCATATTATACGCGAATATAAAAGTCTTGTGTACATTGATCAATCGGAAGGGGTGCTAATTGGGATTGTTCACTAGCTAATATGTTAGCAGTTATCGCCATGGGCGCTTATTAGAGCGGGGCGCTTATTACGTCGAATACGGTATATGCTTACTCCTTCATCCGGTGAATGACTAAGGAGTAAGCATATACTCCGAAACGTTGTGTTCCTCATAATAAAGAAGTTGACGTCCATGAATTCTCTTCCTTTTGCGTATCACTTCTAAATGCCTTTCAAAGACTTCATTAATATCATGCATCACATACGAGGTGTGTTTAACATTGGTACACATGCTGCCTGGAGGGTTTCAAGAGCTTCACAAGATTTGTTTATCTGCTGAGAATATTGGTACTTGTAGGAGTTATGATGGCTTTCAAAGGAAATCGTGTTGCCTGCCAGTGTATGACGATCAAGCATCGGTTGATTGCAGTAATGGCTATATACTACTAAAAAGATCTTAAGGAACACCCAATGCCATGACAAGATTAATTATAGTAATATGAAAGAAGCGGGTGTTCTGTAACTTCTTTTGAATCGTAAACAATTGCACTTGTTCAACAAAAAATCTGTTTTGATTTAAATCAGTTTTGTTATAGTTCTTGGGCACATGGGAGGGAAATTATGGTGACGGCAACAAGAACACTATTTACCGGAAACCTTAAAGAGATTTATCGTTTTCATTCTAGTTTTTTAGTTGTTATGTTTGACTGCTTCATATGAAATAAATGTTTCTGTTTTGTATTTCATTTGTTTGTAGATTAATAATGAGATTTCCAGTACCTAGACTCTCCTCACAGTTGCTGACTGCAGCAAAAGTAGATGTAATAGTAATGATATTATTAATAGTCCATGTATAATGCTTACCTCCATGCATGATGACGAAAGCTGTCGTCAATTAGAAATTGCTGTAATTTTTCTGACTGCAGCATAAAATAGCTGTAATTGTGCGGCTTTGCAAGTATCAAAGTATGTCACAATATTCATTCGTTCATCATATATAGACTTTCTGTAAAAGATTTTCTCATCATTTTTCTATTCCCTTAACATTTTGAGGGCTAGATAACTAGTTCTACGTTTATGCCTGGCTTATTTTGCCTGTTTGTAACAATGATGAGAACTTGCCTACTTGAGACACACCCTACAGAATATAGAACACGATCATGTTGTCATGTTATTGAGTAACTTTCTGGTACTTGATTCCGACTTACTGTGTTTTGAGTCATGCCTGCGCCTTCTCAAATACTAGTTTACCAATCAATTCAAGACATCCAAATGTATTATACATAATCATACAGTAAACTACGGTTATAACGAACTCAAAGGGACCACTCATTTTAGTTTGTTATATCCGCAGTTCATTATAAGAATATATACAGCAAATGGACGGGACTAAAAAGCAGTTCATTATATCCGTCAGTTTGTTATAAGCGTGTTCATTATAAACGAAGTTTACTGTATTTAGTTTTGGAAATGGCTGACAGGATCAGTAAACTAGAACAGTTCAAAGAGGCCTCCCATGAAGCTGACATGCAATGATAAGACTAAACTACTGTTCATGGAGGCTTCATCCTTGACTCTCTTCATCAATTTAGCCTGTCAGGAGGTGATCCGCACAGCTTGAATAAGGAAATAATACAGTGCTACTTTCATTTGTAGATTATGTTGTGCTCAAAAGAAGTTAAAGGACACCCGACTTTTTCATTGGACTACAGTTAATCCATGTCATGACATATGAACAATAGTCATATGAGAAAATTGGGTGTTCTTTAACTTTTTTTGGTAGTGTATGTTAGAGATAAACATTTTTCATGCTACTTTGACAGTTTAAGCTTTCTCTTGATGTGTTCTTTGTGTGTTGGTAACTTCCAGTTAACTTTGTGAGAGGGTAGTAGCCTCACACACACAGGATGTCAACTGTATCAAGCGTTTCTTGCATTTGTCAGAATTGGCTTATTTGAATATTTGCTTATATAGTGCTTATATATTGCATTTTGATTTGTGTAGGAAGTTGTTATTTTGTTGTAATTTTTCAAAGTATTTGTTTACAAGAAATAACTTAACACTCAGAAATTATTTGTAGCATTTGTGTACCTGTTGTTTGTTTTTCATTGATGTTGTCTCCTGCGTAATATCGTTCTGCTATCAGTACCTTTTCAGCAATGTTTTTTGTTGCGATTATGTCCTTACTTGTGTCATCAGTGTATGTAACGTTTGTCATGTGAACATTTAAGGAACTGACATTTGTAAGAGGCAGGATTTTCAAAATGATAGTTTGTAGAACAAGACTTGCCCAAGCTGTGCTGGATTGTCTCCCTTACAGCAGACTCAAGTCCCAAATTTGCCAAACTCAGAATCCTTGGGTTGTCAGCACCATGGCCATGATGGCTGTGCTTTAAGAAAGTGGTACAAGTCTGCTTCAGGCTTACCTCCCTTGGCAAGCCAGTATGACTGGGAGACAGTTTAAGGCTTACCTCCCTTGGCAAGCTGACACCCAGTATGACTGGAATAGTTTAACTCTTTCAACACCGTAGGCCGGTTATCCGGCCAAGAAGCATCGAGTCCCCAGACACCGCAGGCCGGTTATCCGGCCAAGCCGTAGTCACGTCAAAATAGTACTATATTTTTATGGACCTACCTGTAATATCATTCATTTATTAAATCTATCACATTTCACAATGTCTGAAATACATATTCCATTTCAATTTAACATTTTTTATCGTTAAATTAAAAAATTATTCACTATTTCCCGCGATGTTATTGAAAATAAAATTCTCGGACACACATTTCGACAACCGGTCCACATCGAACACGTCAAAGAGGAAAATAAAGACGTTTTAAACAAATCTTTAAATATATTATACAAAGTAATATATAAAATCAACAAAAATATATCTAAAAGTAATCAAACTTACATCTAAGTTATTATTTTCATCTTTTCGTGCGATCGCGAGTAATGTAAGTCAAATGACATCTCGGCTTTCGTCGCCTTGATTTCTCGGCTCGGACACGATGTTTAATGCAAAAATATATGCATGAAAAATCTTTGTCACAGCTCGTAACCTAGCACCATACATTCACGAAGTTCCATATTTTTAATATATATCGTGATTTCCTGCTCAAAACGTTCAGAATAACACGATTTAACAAAATTCTTTCGCAAACTTCTGTAATTTATCGAACACGAGCTTGGTATCACAGGTGTAATTTGATTGGCTGCCTTAGGTCACGTGCTCAAAATTGACCAATCACGAAACTTGTAGCAGATTTCAGCAAGAAAGCGTCATTAGAAACCAATTTTAATCCAATGAAATCGCTTGTTATAACTACGGAAAAAAACCAGTCGATGTTACGAGCGTGTAGATGAAGGAATAAGCTTTCCAGCGATGTGTCATATGCCATTCTTCGACGAACGTGTTATTCATACGAAACCTCGTAAACGGGGGTATTTCTTCATTTTACTGAGAGGACAGTCGCTGTTATCGGGAAATGGGTGATGACAGAGACTATTTATAATTCTTTTTAAAATGATTTTCCAATAACGTAAACAATGAAAATAAAATAGAAATAGGTACGTGGATATTATGAAATCATATATTTGCCGAAAATCGTCAAGTTTTCGCTTCCTTGGCCCTTAATCTGGATGTTAACAACGTGTTAGCGTACATTTTTTATTTACAACGAATTTAATTAAGTTGTAAATGCATTATTTTAAATAATGTGAAAAACATAACTTTCATATTTATAAACCATAGGATCAGACCTTTCAAATGGTGTATAACATGTAGTAGCAAATATATTTTACAAGCAGGTATTTTCTTTGATAAATGTTGGCTTCATCTATCACACAAGAGCCTCTGGGAACTCGGTGTCCCAGCAGTAAACACTTCTGGTTGACTGGTGTTGAAAGAGTTAAGGCTTACCTTCCTTGACAAGCTGACATCCAGTATGACTGGGATACAGTTTAGGCTTACCTCCCTTGGCAAGCTGACACCCAGTATGACTGGGATACAGTTTAAGGCTTACCTCCCTTGGCAAGCCGACACCCAGTATGACTGGGATACAGTTTAGGCTTACCTCCCTTGGCAAGCTGACACCCAGTATGACTGGGATACAGTTTAAGGCTTACCTCCCTTGGCAAGCCGACACCCAGTATGACTGGGATACAGTTTAAGACAGTGTTGAGCCCTACTCACCAATTGGCCACTTTTACGTTAGCTTCTTAAAGATGTTTTAATTTGCGGTAATGTTTTATGTGATAAGGACATTGTGACTTGTGATTTGATTTTTTGTATGAGTTTCTATCAATGAAACAGAATCACTGTGAGTTTCTTGTAAATTGTGAGAAGTCCAGTGTCTCGGACACCTATGGTAAAACTGTTCTGTTGCAGCCTTTCAAATTGACTCAGACAAGAAGCCACTGTTGGCAGCCCTTCGGAGTGTCTGCCATTCCACGAGGATCTAGTGGTTGCAAATAGTGATCTGACTGATTGTGGGTCATAACATGACCTGAATGACGTCACAGCCACCACAGTACTGGCTGGAATACTGCTGACTGCTGTGTAAACAATATGCACTCACTCACTGAGACCCAAAGTAAACAGGCAATTTTTTTGTAAATCTTTTCAGCAATGGATTTATTTTTTTCTAGATATATTTGAAATGCTGCAATGTTACATTGTCTCCCTGCCTATTGCTCTGGATTTCTGAAGCTCAGTTTAAATTCTGACACTCTTGAAATATATACCTACCTTTTAATAACATCTTGTGTTGTCCAAAGCTCAAACAAATATATTGCTTGGTGTGTTAACATTAACACCATCATTCTATCCAGCTGTCAACTCTGCTTTCTAGAGGAGGTTTATTTAACACACATGAGATCTCCACTGAGCGTCGGCATAGGCACTGAGCTGTGTAAGGCAGTTTTACCATAGGTAACACATCAACTGCATGTTTCCATGGCAACTGACCCTGCATGCTGTCCTTGCTTCCAGTGATAAGAACAGTGAAAGTGATGCCGATGAAAATGAGGACGTAGATTCGGAGAGTGAGGAAGAAGAAAGGTACAAGGTCACACTGGTGTTCTAACCTGTAAACACAGAACTACAGCATGGGAATAACTACTAACAAGCATGTTCTATTAACTAACAACTTTAGTAACCAGGAGTTGTCTCCCTTGGCTGAATTATCTCCCCTGATTGTGTCGCAGGCCTCAAGAGTATTTGACTTCTGTGTCCATTAAACCAGCTAGTTGTTGATGGGTATTCTGACTTTAAATTTAATTATTGTGGGAAATAGGTTTATAAATGCTTTGAAGTAGCAACTGATTGGGAGAGTGTGTTTCAAACACTGCCTTTTCGGCAATGTACAAAGATGTGTTTTGTCTTACTCAGTCTTTCACAGTGACTTAATACATGTTCATAATTCAGTCAAGGGGAGACAACTCATGGGACTCTAACCTTACAGTATTTTGATGCAGATATTTCTGACATCACAGCATTTATTCTCTAAGACAACTCTCATTTCAGCATAACATCTTTGTGATCTTCAAACAGTCTTGTTTGCTCTCTGTATTTCATGATCTTGAGTCATTTCACATGTACAGAATTGCTGATATGTAAACGTCTATTCTACATCCATTAAAATCACATCTTTCCACAATTTCCATCAACACTTTCACAATTCTACACTGATCTGTAATCATTAGTGTCATTTTTCATGTAAATGTATTCATATTATAAAGAGATGATTTCTTTTCAAATGGTACAGTCTCTATGAGGACTTCAAGGTGTTATGTATAACTAAAATTAACCAGTTTATGTCCAGGATATTTGACTTGATGTTGTTCTAAGGGTTTATTGACAATATTAAATAATCTCACCCATGTGTCTTTTGATGTCAGATATATCAACAGAAGCTGATAAAGTTATAGTATTAAAACTTAAGAACTTCGAGGTTTGCGAGGAGTTTTAAACTTTTCTTGTGTTGATATGTTTGATTTCACAAGACACAAAGGTAAGATTGTATTTATCATCCAAAAATCAATCCTTTAACTTTTTTAGTTTGTAGACAGTAATAAGCAGTGTCTTGAGTGTAAAAAGCTAACAAGCTTCAGTGTCAGATAGATTAGTGATGTCATTTGATTGTGACATCATGGTTAACTAATGACATCACAATGGTCTGCAAAGCGTTGTGATGTAAGGAGATATGGCTTGATTTCACCCAAGCCATATGTCCTGTGTAAGCCAGTTTTGGATGATAAATCAAGAGTGTCTGACATGTTTTAGTCTTTGAAGTCGAGATATTTGGTAAGCATTTGGTGAACTCTTTTAAGGAAACCCTGAAACCCTTGTAGATAAATGTCCTGCATGGTTGGACTAATTAACAAGAATGACCCATTGTAGCTTAATACATTAACACAGGAGGAGATTGTTGTGTGTTGGGGAAGACTAGATTGGTTTATTTGGCAAATTGGATGAAATGATTGCTCCCTTAAAGCATGCGTATACCTGATTTGTATCAGTAAGACTTGTATCGTCATGTGTAAGGTGTAACTTGCATGGTGCGCATCATAGCAGCATTTTAAACATTTGTATTTCAGAGTTGTGTTACCATGGTTACTATATACCTGTTGGGGCAAGTGATGCAGTGCTGGTCAGGGCATTTATGATGCAAAATCATACTCACGGTTTATCGTATATCACACATTAATCATCAGAATCATTATATTCATATTTCATGTCATTGTGAATAGCTGGGCTTATGGCAGATTTTTTTTAAATATTCGTAAAATGTGTCTGCCTTGGCAAGAGAATCTTTATTCCATGTCATATTATGACCATACTCGTTTCTTCATGACTGGGTGTAATTTGTGTTGGTACAAAGACTATCTGTTAACATCATGACAGGTATTGAATAACGATTGTGGTAGAAGTCCAGTAAGACATTGACTTACAATGGTTGTGGAACTCCAGTAAGGTGTTGACTTACGATGGTGGTAGCACTCCAGTAAGGTGCTGACTTACGATGGTGGTAGAACTCCAGTAAGGTTTTGACTTACGATGGTGGTAGCACTCCAGTAAGGTGCTGACTTACAATGGTGGTAGCACTCCAGTAAAATGCGGACTTACGATGGTGGTAGAAGTCAGGTAAGACATTGACTTACGATGGTGGTGGCACTCCAGTAAGATGCTGACTTCTGATGGTGATAGAACTCCTGTAAGACATATGATGGTGGTAGAATTCCAGTAAGGCATTGACTTACGATGGTGGTAGAACTCTAGTAAGGTGTTGACTTACGATGGTGGTAGAACTCCAGTAAGACATTGACTTACAATGGTGGTAGAACTCAAGTAAGGTGTTGACTTACGATGGTGGTAGAACTCCAGTAAAGTGTTGACTTACGATGGTGGTAGAACTTCAGTAAGACATTGACTTACAATGGTGGTAGAACTCCAGTAAGGTGTTGACTTACGATGGTGATAGAACTCCTGTAAGACATATGATGGTTGTAGAATTCCAGTAAGGCATTGACTTACGATGGTGGTAGAACTCTAGTAAGGTGTTGACTTACGATGGTGGTAGAACTCCAGTAAGACATTGACTTACGATGGTGGTAGAACTCCAGTAAGGTGTTGACTTACGATGGTGGTAGAACTCTAGTAAGGTGTTGACTTACGATGGTGGTAGAACTCCAGTAAGGTGTTGACTTACGATGGTGGTAGAACTTCAGTAAGACATTGACTTACAATGGTGGTAGAACTCCAGTAAGGTGTTGACTTACGATGGTGGTAGAAGTCAGGTAAGACATTGACTTACGATGGTGGTAGCACTCCAGTAAGATGCTTACTTACGATGGTGGTAGAACTCCTGTAAGACATATGATGGTTGTAGAATTCCAGTAAGGCATTGACTTACGATGGTGGTAGAACTCTAGTAAGGTATTGACTCACGATGGTCATAGTCGTAGAACTCCAGTAAGGTATTGATTTGATGGTGGTAGAACTCTAGTAAGGTATTGACTTACGATGGTCGTAGAACTCCAGTAAGGTATTGATTTGATGGTGGTAGAACTCTAGTAAGGTATTGACTTACGATGGTCGTAGAACTACAGTAAGGTATTGACTTACGATGGTTGTAGAACTCCAGTAAGGCATTGACTTACGATGGTTGTAGAACTCCAGTAAGGTGTGGATTTGATGGTCGTAGAACTTCAGTAAGGCATTGTCTTCCGATGGTCGTAGAACTCTAGTAAGGTGTTTATTTAGGATGGTCGTAGAAATCCAATATCATGTTAACTGAGGACAGTCGTAGAAGTCAAGTAAGGAAGTGACTTGCAATGGTGGTAGCACTGACATCACTTTTTAGAAGTGACGTTTCTTCATGATTTCAAGGACTGAGAGTAAAATGTTAAAAATAGCAACTACGCACTTCTGGGGACAGGAGTGCGGCAATCTTTGCTTGATGTTGATGTCCATGAGTTCACTGTGCTTCGTTTCAGTCCTTCGTTGAATGCCTCACTCAATGCGTCCAGTGTCGCACCTGACGATTTATTGCACTTGGTGAAGCCTGTCAAGATAGCTCCAGCTCCACCCACCATCACCATGCCTGTTGTGCAGAACGGGTGAGTCAGTCTCTCATGTCATGTGACCATACTTTGGCTACAGTATTGGGAAATGAAGCACCAAGGTCCAATATTCTGGGTCCGTGAGGCACTAAGGTCCAGTATTCAGGGTCCTTGAGGCACTTAGGTCCAGTATTCAGGGTCCTACAAGGTCCAGTATTCAGGGCCCTTAAGGCACTAAGGTCCAGTATTCAGGGTCCTACAAGGTCCAGTATTCAGGTGCCCATGAGGCACAAAGGCCCAGTATTCATGATCCTTGAGGCACCAAGGTTCACTGACTGACTTATCCCATGTTGTGAGACATGTTCAGCTGACGTTGTGTTTGTGTGTTTCAGCTACAGCAGCATGGAGAGACGCAGTAAGCCGAGCACATCAAGCACCTCCTCTCACACGTCACACACCTCACACAATCGCACTCTCAGTCAGACAAGTGACACCACGGAGAAGAATCGCAAACTAAGTCAGAATAGTGACGTTTTTGTCAGCATCAGTCCAAACAGCGTTATTGGTGTACCACAGGTAATCCACTTCCTAGCATAGCACTTTGGAGGATTGAAGTGCAGGTTCTTCTGTGTAGGGGTGAATGGTCTTCTATGTAGGGGTGGAGGGTGTCCTGTATGAATGGTGAGTGTCCAGTGCAGGTGGAGGGTGTCCACTGCTGGTGGAGGGTGTCCAGTGTAGGTCCAGGGTGTCCAGTGTAGGTAGAGGGTGTCTAGTGTAGATGGAGGGTGTCCAGTGTAGGTGGAGGGGGTCCAGTCAAGGTGGAGGGGTCATACCTAGTGTAAGTGGAGGGGTGTTCTGCATAGGTGGAGGGTTTCCTGTATAGGAACAGGGGTGTGCTTTGAGGTTTGACATGTCCTTTGGCTAGTGATGTCCTGTGTTAGTGGAAGGTGTCCAATACAGATGGTGTGCTGTGTAGGTTAAGGGTGTCCTGTGCAGATGGAAGGTGTCCTGTATGAATGATGGGTGTCCTGTGCAGATGGAAGGTGTCCTGTATGAATGATGGGTGTCCTGTGCAGATGGAAGGTGTCCTGTATGAATGATGGGTGTCCTGTGCAGATGGAAGGTGTCCTGTATGAATGATGGGTGTCCTGTGCAGATGGAAGGTGTCCTGTATGAATGATGGGTGTCCTGTGCAGATGGAAGGTGTCCTGTATGAATGATGGGTGTCCTGTGCAGATGGAAGGTGTCCTGTATGAATGATGGGTGTCCTGTGCAGATGGAAGGTGTCCTGTATGAATGATGGGTGTCCTGTGCAGATAATGTTCTGATGAGGGTGTCATGTCAAGGTGGAGGGTGTCATGTATAATTGTGAGTGTCCTGTTCCTATCTACACAGGGTTGTTCTTACATCAGTAATTAAATATTGTGCTTGTCTTAAAACGCTTGACTGTCAAGCTTATGTATATCCATCTAGATTGTTAGGGCTTTGGTATGTGTATGTGTATGTTAAGTGTAGGAGGAGTACTCTGTTTTAGGTTTGTGTTGTAAGTGCTTTATGTGTGGAAGCCCTGAACCCTGATTCACACAGCAATCTGAGCACTCTGTCTGTGTTGTAATTACAACAGTCGTAGAGCTGAGACCACGTTGTGGAAAGGGGACCAGGGCCTTATTCTGTCATCTTTGTAAGTTTGTTGTTGTTTTCTGTAACTTTCATTTCCATGTGTACTGCCAGAATGGTTGTTTTTTATCAGTTGTCTTAACATCTCTCGTTTCATTTTGATCCTTTCATCAGCCTCCAGAGAAAGCCAAAGCTAAGCAGCCTCCTCCAGTTCCTGCTAGACCCAAAGTTCCCCTAAAGGTGCTTCTTCCCCAGCCCCAATCAGACCCCTCCCAGGAGGAGGGGGATGAGGGCATGTGTGCTCCTCCAGAGCTAACCCAGCTATATCCTCCGCTAACCTGTGGGTCCGAGGGGGACAGGGACGAGATACTCATTGACTTCCCTGCCACTACTCCTACATCCCAGACCCCCTCCAATCCAGCCCCATCACCCACCAACACCCCGTCCACCACCCCCTCCAACCACAAACCCAACCCATCGTCTCCCTCCAACCCCACCTCCGAACTTGCCTCCAATCCCACCTCCACCAATGCCTCAAACCCCACCACATCACCTCCCTACAATCCCACTCCATCATCTTCCTCCACCCCATCTGCCCCCTCCACTGTCACAACATCAGCTCCCGCGCCACATCCACCTAGTGCTGTCCAAGCATCTCCCACCTCCCATGCTGGTTCTGCGTTCTCTGCCACTGAAGCTGGTGTTTCGCTGAATCCCCTCCTGGATTCTACTTCCATGCAGCCTAACAAGCCCACTTCTCACATCAAGTTAACGCATGCTCCTGACACCAGAGCTGCCAGGACTGAATCCCGGAGACTGTCCGGCCCCGGAGTGATTCCCGCTATCACTCTCACCAGTCCAACATCAGAGTCCGAGTGTGTAATAAGCCCTGCAGCTGAACATAGGGCCATTCCAGCAGTTCCACCACACGCGACTGGAGGTGGTGGAGAAACAACGAAACCATTCCAGATAACTGCCAGTGCCACACCGCTGAGAGAGACGAGGGACAATCCGTTCCCGGTTCCAGACGGTGAAGGTGATGCTCACTGCAAGGTTGGCAGGACAAAGCATACAAGTGGGGGGGTTGCGGAGTCCTCTGACAGTTTCGATGACGATTTGGACATGCCTGTGGACGACAAGGACACCAAACCATTCCCACTTGACCTGAACGCTGCAATAGCTGCTGTAGAGAAGGAGGCCGCCATGGCAATTGATCCAGCAATATTCCAACCTGTCTCCCCCGTTTCCAACTCCGTGGCTCCAAGGCCCTTTCCATTAGACATTGAGTCCATCACCCCCAAGCCTGAGTCCCCCGGTAGAGTCCCGCCCAGTAACCCAGTCCCTGCTCATCCCCATCAATCACTTCCTGCATATAGAGTTATCTCCCCTGCCCCATCCAAGATGGCTGCTGCTGATGTCTGCACAGACAGCTATGTGGGAGAAGGGCCGCCTGTCTTCATTGTAAGTTTTCTCAACACTATTCAGGTCCCTGCACTCGTTGAACAAACAAGATTTGCGAACTTTTCCTTGTGGAACGTGTTCTTTCAAATTTGCATTTTAGAATCTCACTAACCATGCATGGTAAGTAGGCATGACACAGTTTGAAAACTTCCAACCCTGTTGAAGATTGTCTGAATTTGACTTGAAACATTGACGTGTTTGTTCCCTGACTAACAATATGTTGTGTTGCCTCTGATCAGAGTTTGCTGGCTTTCAGCTGCACATAGACACATGCAGGTAATGTTCAAAGCACAAGTAAGATTAACATTGATGGATATTGATTCATTGCCAATGTCTGAGATCCGCTCTCTGTCTCAGCTCTCTGCGTTTGATCTCAGTTTAGTCTGAGAATTGATAGAATCAGTGGTCGGGGCCATTATCTTAGGCACCGCTCTATGCTGTGCGGAGTTGCATCCCTTAGGCATAACAGAATCCTGTGGTGATTGGTTTGAATCCCACATTCGCCTCTTGATTATGTTACTAGGTTTGTCAGCACCATACCTGCACTTGTTGGTCTAAAAGAGACCTTCATCACTTTGATCTTTCCTCCTGGGATATAACTGATATACTTCACGTAATGTCAAACTCACTGATAGTCAGTGAAGTCCAATTTTAAGTAGACTTGGCACATTACTGAAATTAAGTACAGGACAGTAGAATGATCACAGATGTTATCAATGCATACAGATGAAGAAAAACAACTTTGAAAAATATCGAGATTTATTGCTAGGGGTGGGGTTTGGGCAGCTGTTGAAGAAACTGAATTTATAAATCCCTAACAGTATCGTTTGTTAAACATTCATCCAGATTATCCTATGGCTTTGCAAACTCTGATCAGAAACTCAAGTTTTTCAACCTCAATTTTATCACTGTTCGAAATTCCTGTGGACCTGAATAGATTTAGCATGAGAAAATTTGCATCATGTTATGATAATCCTCATTATTTCATTGACTAACATTTCATGAAACCATTGTGTGTGCAGTTGTTGTGTGGACCAGGTGCTTGTTGATTGTGATTTATAGCATGTGTATCTGTCTCCATGCCAACACTACCAGCTTGACAGGAACAGAGGGATGATAGGAAGGGTAGTGTCAGGATACTGGGAGAGTTTTGTGATCGCTTCAGTTAGTGATCCGTTGGAATAGTTTCTAAAATGTTTGTTTTGTTTGTTAGATGTTTAAAGCCGCACTTAGCAATATTCCAGCTTTATGATGGCGGTCTGTAATTAATCGAGTCTGGACCAGACAATCCAGTGATTGACATCATGAGCAGCGATCTACTCAATTGGGATACAAAGACATGCATCAACGTAGTCAGCGAGCCTGACCACCCGATCCCGTTAGTCGCCTCTTACGACAAGCATAGTCGACTTTTACGGCAAGCATGGGTTGCTGAAGACCTATTGTACCCCGGATCTTCACAGGTCTTCTTGAATGTGAACTTACACACATCTCATCCCTGTAATCATTGTTTGGGATATCTCTGAAGATCGGTGGTAAAAGGTAGTGGTGGGACGATACATCGATGGATCACAGTTTTCTTGATGCATGCATCGATCACAGTCACAAATTAAGTTAAAAATATCAATTCATACCTTAAATGTTTGCTATAATATAAGTTACGTCAAGCTCTAATTTTTGTTTTAGTGAAAACATAAATATGTTTATCCATTGCACCATATTTGATACTGCCAACTGTAAGTCATCAGTGTGCAAGGTATTTTGCTATCCTGTGTTTGAAAATGACTGCTTACACACCACAGATAAGAGCACATTGAAGGGTGTGCTGATATGTATTGGATCGTGAGCAATGTCTTGTGACACGTATCAGATCGCTCAGCACAGTGGGTGTATCGTCCCGGGCCTAGTAAAAGGTGTCCCCTGGCACATTGTGTGCTCATGCTGTCATCCACTGGTTTGTCTGTCCCATTATACAGAATATTGTATTTGTAACTTAAAACAACATTCACTCCTTCACTCAAAGATTTAGTATGGCCAAGAAAGGTTATCATTGCATTTGAGAGTTAAGTCCCTTTGATACAGAGTGGTAATTGCATGACGTGAACATTGATGTAGCTGAGAGTTGAAGGAAGTGTGGGAAGGGAGTGCACCAGGGAACTGGGACTTCATGCACCGGGGCACTGGAACCCAGATATGGTGGAAGTTAGCCTGCATGTACATGTTATTGAATAGATACTAGATAGATCCGAGGTTTGCTTGAAAGCACTCTCATCCCAGATGTTTCCCTGAGATACGATACCCCGATCTGTGGACAGCTCCGGGGCAGGGCAGGGCAGGGCAGGGCGGGGAAGCGAGAGGGGGGGCAGGCGAACACTGAGTGAACTGACTGCCAACTTTCACGGGTATATCATGTTCCAGGGGTTTGGTTTTCCTAAGATCACCATTACGAATCGAGGTCTTAAGGTCATGAAGCTGAATCATTTTAGAAAGCTGACTTCTGGCTCAAGAACTAATGGATCTTCATTTAGCTGGAGATGTCCACAGATCTTAGGGGACATTGTAGCAGAGTAAAAGATTGGACTTGAATGAGATTTGCATGGAAGAGCATGAGGCCTGAATGGTTGAAGGACTGGTTTGATATATCTCAGTTTAAACACATATGTTACCACCTCATTTCAAGTTGCAAATACTAAGCTTGTATATTCTGTGATAATGTTTAACTCTGTCGACTAAAGATGAAGCGTTTGGCTGCTCTACCTCTCTACTGTATCTCCAATGTACCAGCTTATGCTAATAATGTTTTCTCTGTATTTAACTCTTCTTGTGATATTCAGATTTCCAGGAGGCCCCCAATATTGGCAGTACAATATTCCACCTGTGTATTCCTTCACCTGTAGTCTGTATAGCATGATCAGGAAGTGCATGTGTATATATATTGTCAAATGATGATAATGAATTGTTTGTTCCAGCTTTTTGGTGACAACATATTTCTATAGATTGGAGTCTTTTGTTTCTAAATTAAGTGACTCTCTTTAAATTGTACCTAGCTTATTCTTATTTCGTTGACAGTTTTAAAATGAAAGAAACAGGTTTGTAAGTAATCTACATTAATATGAAGATAAAATTCAACTCTCCACATGAAAATTAGCACTATATTTTAAGTTTGGGAGTTCCTGTTGATGAACATTTGAGACCCTTTCTGCGAAGAAAAGTGGTTTGAAAACTGCAGCAGTTATGACTTTATCATAATCATTTCAGGAAACATCTTTTACCGGAACAAAAGCAGTGAACCGCAAGAATCCGTCTTCTTCAAGTGCTAAGACCACAGTGAGTCATGTGATTACTGTGAACAAAAGACCTGCATCGGAGTCCAACGCTTCTCATGCCAATGGCAACGACCTTTCACCTTGGCAGGTAGCGCCACCTGAGAAGAAAGTGGAAAGGAAGATAACTCTAACTACGGAATTGTGAAGTGCAATGGGACCTATATGAATCGACTGATTGAGAAAGAGACTCCAAAAGAAAGTGTTATTAGAAAAGAGATGTGACGATGTGGACAAATTCTTCCTGGAAGAGACTTAAATTTGCCAGAATGAGCATCTGTGGGTATATTGTGTGTAGATCTACAATGTAGCACACTGTGGTATATTGTGTACAGATCTACAGTGTAGCACACTGTGGTATATTGTGTACAGATCTACAGTGTAGCACACTGTGGTATATTGTGTGTAGATCTACAATGTAGCACACTGTGATATATTGTGTACAGATCTACAGTGTAGCACACTGTGGTATATTGTGTGTAGATCTACAGTGTAGCACACTGCGGTATATTGTGTGTAGATCTACAGTGTAGCACACTGTGGTATATTGTGTACAGATCTACAGTCCAGCACACAGAGAGACCTGCAGTGGAAGAAGGGTAGAGAAGAGTTGTTTTGGAAAAGGAACCTACATTGAAGAGATTGTTTCAAGAGGAGGTGTTTTAGAGAATGGAGCAAATGATTTTATGGCATATTTTATTCCCTCATAATTATCGCCCTGGATGGGACTGGTGTTTTGTGATGTCCTCTGGCTGTCTGATCACATACTCTCACCAACTACAGGAATGGAGTCGTAATACCTCTGTTTCTCTGTCATCAGCTTTCAGAAAATACTGACCATTTTCGCCCGTGGCATCTCACTTTTCAAATTGTGCTTACTCAGCAAATTTATATAAAAAAAATATGGTGATAACTTTTGTATGATTAAATATCAGTTTATCCTGGAATGTTTCCGTGTAAAAATAGATGATTTTGAATCGCACTCTTCTCATAATTTTATGAGTTAAAGGACTATTTCTTCATGTATCCTAGGCGTCATAGCAAAAGGAGCCACAGAAACAAATTTGTAATTAGATCGGAATTGTGTAAAAAACAGAATCTGGAAGCAAGAAATCTGCTTTGTGTGCATGTGAAGATGATGTGTCTATAGTTGTAATGTTTTGCTCTTGATATGACCATGTTCCCCCGACACGAGTTGAGTTTGACATGAATAAACTTTTGTAACGGTTCAGGGCCGGTTGATGATATCTTGAGCCCCAGACCTGTATATTGGAGACTGCTGTTGCCCATTTCGACATTTGGGGTCTTGATCAACATGGGAAGTTGAAACTGCAAGAAACTTCTGATATGGAGATTTTCCGGAGCTGATTCCGTTTGGGTGCTTGCAGTTTAGGAACGTCTTCAGGAGGGGCCATGCCAAGAACTCTTTTTCCACTTTCTGACTTGCCGATTGTTTTCTTGCTTCAAAATGCAGTGATAGGAATGGCTTATATCTCTTTGAAAATAGCCTGTGTAGTGTTGACATGGTCCCTCTTTTCTACAAGGTGGCCATAATATACAGTATGTGTGTAAATGATGCTTCTATTGTACATGGGTGTTGTACAGGTGTTGCTTCTAGCCCTCGTTCTGTGTAACTCGGTGGGTAGGGGAGCTGTTCACAGGCTTCCACGTCAAGTCAGTAGCACCAGACAAGCCAGTGATTCCAAGGTTGGCACACATAGCTACCAATTGCTGATGCAGGCTTCCGAAAAATGTTGTAAGTTTTTTGTTGATAATCCCAAATTGAGTTGAGCTCAAAAAAGAAAACAAATATTTTAAAAATTGTTCTTTGTCGTGAGTTTTTGGAATGGAATTTTAAAATATTACTTGTGACCTGGAAATAGAGTCTGGGTCATTACAGGTTTTTTTTTTAAATTCTGTGCTTTGTTTCCTGCTTGTGTGCTTTTGTGACAATATTAAGCTTATCGTCCGTGGTCATTCCTAACGTCAATTTGGAAATTTATCTGGCTGTCCTGTTGTCAGTATTGTATTGAGCCGGTTCTGTATATTTTGTGGATGTCATCACTGTGCATGTTATTTAAAGGAACACTAACTAGCATCATGTACTTGTTTATACACATTGTAAATGACATGTATTATGTAGTTCTTGCCACAATGTACTGATTGGTTCGAATCTTAGCCTATGCATGTTCGCTATTCCGATAATAGACATATCTCAAGCATGCCTTATTTCTTGAAGACATATCAACTCTATTCCTACAACACGTCCAGGTGATCGGATTCCGTCGATTCAAGACACGTGGGCCTTATGCTTTTTTTAGACTTTGTATGTTATTCACCAGAAAGGGTCTTACAAATATGTTTTGGTATTTTATGTTGCCTATCTACATGCAAGAACTGTTCAGTCGAAGGCTGTCACGTCCCGGTACACAGATAGCACATTGATGCATCAGATGTGGTGTTGTATTCAACAGATTTGAACCGACCCTGAATTCAGGCATAACATTTCATGTATTCTGCACGCAGCATTCTAAAGGAACGTCAGCCATTGATGTAGACAGGCATATGGCTGAATGGTTGGCGAGGAAGCTGCCTCCATGAAGAGTTGTTTCGTGATTTCCTCATATTGTACAATAGATGTGTTGGGATATTTGGTTGCCAAGACAACCAATGTCACATGTTTGAAAAAAAATGAGTTGTCCAACCCCTTTGTTTTCGATTAAATGTTTCTTGTGAAGACCTCGGGTAGAATAGGTCTTCAGCAACCCATGCTTGCTGTTAAAGGCAACTATGCTTGTCTCCTGTGAAGATCCGGGTTAGAACAGGTCTACAGCAACCCATGCTTGTCATAAGAGGCGACTAAATGGGATCTGATGGTCAGGCTAACTGACTTGATTGATGCATGTCATCGTATCTCAATTGCATAGATCAATGCTCATGATATCAATCACTGGATTGTCTGGTCCAAACTCTAAAATATTTACAGACCGCCGTCCTATAGCTGGAATATTGCTGATTGCGGTGGTAAACACAAAGCCTTCAGTTGAATTAGATTCAGTCTGTTTGTTGGGGTAAGTAGGCCAGGGGCTTCGGTTGTTGACAGTTTTATTTGTTACTTGTTACAATTTTTTTATAACTTTTACGTGAACGGTTTTAAGTAGCTGGCATTAAGAAGGGTTGTGATTTCTCTACATTTACTTTTGAATTTGAATTTGGTGGTCATCGCACATCCAATAAAACATATTTGAGTTAACGAATGCTTCAGAGTAGTTTGATAGAAGAAGAAATAATGACGTCTTTACACGATAAACAGTGTTTTCTTTATTAGGAGATGAGTTATTTTCAATTTTAACAAGCTGTACACAAGCTTAACCTCGACATTCACTGGCAATCATGGACATTCCTGATTGTCATCGTGGTTGTCATTGTGGTTTTCACCGTATTTGTCACCCAGGCTGTCAGGGGAAAGAATTTGCTGTTGTAGCTTCGAGCCATGCTACCAGGTAATGGCCGATCTCCCCATCTGCCATTCCATTGTGAAATAGTTCACAAATGTTTGTGTCGAAGTATCTCGGTGGGGTGAAAGAGTAGGAAATGTGCTATTTATAGATGTTGTATTGTGTAGGTATTTACTAACGTGTACAAATGAACAAGTAATTTCAGTCATTTCAAACACACAGTTCTTTCTGACAGTTTTCACGCAATATTTTTATACCCGTATTTTGAATCCTTCCCACTGTTTCAGTAATGGCGAAGGAACGTTTCAATATTGTTACGATGCTTCAGTTCTTGCAGCTTCCACATGTCTGTCATCGTCGCCATCTTCATCTGCCATCTTCTCATTCATACACTCTGTCCATGTTTCTATTGTCCTGTGTACCTTAATGACAATAATATTTAAATATAAAATTACCCAATTATACAATTTATTAATAATTATGACTTGCTGGTTAAACAGATTTACTGTTTTCCAGTGTGAAAGTACAAACAAAACAGCCCTGCTCATTGTCCAGCTCAAGGTTATTCAGCCAACCTTGCTTTTACAAATGTGTAATTTCACCAAACGGGTGATTCCTTTCTCCATCCTTGTGTCAGCAAATGCAAATATTGGATAACTTGTAAGCCACTCTAATGCAATGTGGATCTTGCGCAGATGCTGCCTGCCACTTTGGGAAAATTCTGACCTAAGTCTGGTTTTGAAATGACTCAACTCTCACAAACTTGCTCAAATCAACCTGGAGATTGTGCAAGGAACAATTGAATATTTATATATCTCTTATGAGAGGAGGATTTGTTTAAAACTTCTTTCTCTCCCAGCAGGTGGATGTATTCTTTAGCATTTCTGGAAGAAAAGATGTCTGTCGAAATGATATTTATCAAATTTTTACCTCTGACTATTTTGTATTCATTTCTTTGGAATAATTTCGTCCATGTTTGGTGCTGATTTAGAAACTTGTGCCTTTCACTCTATCAGACATTTCACTCCGATTGTGGATCTGTGGGTTGTATTTTCATTGAAATTACATCGGATGAGATGTCACTGGGTAACATTCAATTTGAACAGTGGATTTTTCTCTTTAACATCAACTTATTTTATACGAGATGGTTTTTTATCATTCACAAGGTTATTTGTAGTTGATCAAATTTAAAAAGAAAGTAACCATTACATGAAATGGATCACTTGTCAGTCATAAGTTGTGAGGGAGGTGCTGAAGAGAATGTAAGAATTTCAAAGTGCATTTTGACATGTTTGAGATCTAATGGTCGTTTATGACAAATAAATGTCAGTTTTATTATTTCATTGCTCATGAAATGTGTTAAAGTGTCATTCACCTTTACATCCTGTACTTTAAACTTCTACATTAATTTAACAAAGAGGTTGATATGTGTCTATGGTTTACAATGACGTCGACTTGTATTATTGGCCACAGCAAGCTTGTGTCCACCGTCAATGTTGATGTTCAGTCAGCACTCCTCTTCAAGATGAGAACTCCAAATAGCCTGTTTACTTTCCTTTAATGTAAGACAAGAAGTTCATTCATATTTGGACATCCCTGGATGATCAGATGGGATAAATCAGTTATATAACAGTACATCCTGCCAAGCATTGGCAAATGTGTTTTTCAGTCAATATATGGCATTATATCCCTTGTGTGACATGCTGGTTATTGCTGGCTCATGTTGAAGAGGGATGCTGGACTCCCAGTTTCCTGCTCTGTCTGTATATTTTGTCTGTACATAACTCTATGATCTGTCTGTTGGTGACACCCTGGCGCTGTCATGGTAACAACTGGGGTTGACAGAGTTGTCTTCCCTTTAAGACAATAAAGGTATTTCAACATGAACTGTGAGTTTGGTTTTCTTGAATTATGGCCAGGGGCAGCATTGCAGCATTTAGACAGTATTTAGACATTTAGACAGTATTTTTAGCATTTAGTCACCATCACAGCAATGCAACATTTAGACAGCATTACAGCACTGCTTGATATGTGTTTTTTAGAAGTTAACCGATGGTGAAGTAGACACATTTATGGACTACTTCTTTATTTTACTGTTTTGCTTGCTTGACAATGATAAGGATCAACACCATTACAGTAAAATAAAGAAGTTGTTATCCATAAATTGTGTCTACTTTAGAGCATTTTCAGCCTGTAGACAGTCTGTAGTCAGCCTGTCATGGATCAGGAAGATGAAACCTTGGAAGCCATGCATCAGGGCAATGTTTGGCAGACCTGAAAGGGTCATTATTAAATTGATTTCACTCATGGCTATATGGCTGCAATAATATTTATGCGACCTTCAATTTTAACTCGCTCACTAATTTCATATCAGTCCGTGACCTGGAACATTTAAGCAGTATATATTGATAGGTGCGGTGACAAGTGTTGAAAGAAAGACGTTGATGCAAGTTTGGCTTGATTCTGTTTCAAGGGAAGGGTTCATTTCATGTCTGGCAATCTCTAACCGCCTCCCTCTGTAATACAGTGCCCTGTATTTGGGGTGAGAGCTGGTCCCAAGAGGTGACTTAATGGGTGAGTGAGTGAATCTTGATGACTTGGTTGATAGTGTCTTTGTACCCGACAGCATGGATCGTTCCTCATAATATCAGTCACTGGCTCATCTGGTCCAGATTCCTTCAGTTAGACTGCTGTCATACAGCTGGAATATTGGTGAGTGAGGTGTTTCACAAGAAACAAACTAGATGGTATGGTTCAAACCAAGGGAGAATCAATCTTGACAGCTTCCTTCAGTTACAGCAACATGGAAGCATCATCTAAACTAAACAAAGAAAAATGTCAGGGAGACCTTCCTGATCACTCTGACTTTCAGAGACATAAAGGAAGCTTTATTGGAATGGAGCTGCTTCCCTTAGGTGTGCCAGAAACCTATAAATTCAAATCCCAGTTGACCGCCTCCGTGGTATAGTGCCGCCTAGAGAGCAGAAGATCAAACCGTGAGTGCCCCATACCAAAAGACTTTAAAAGATGCGACGTTTCGCCCTGTCTGGCGCTCGGCATTAAGGGGCTAAAACAAGGACTGGTAGGCTCGGAGTCAGTATACTGTGTCTGAGTGGGCCATTCCAGTTTAACTGCGGCATGGTATCTCAGTGGGATGACACTATAAACTTTGCATTTGTCTGTACAAGTCCAAGCAGCCACACGCACACGCACACGCACACGCACATGCATGCACACATGTACACACCAATGTTGCTATATAAGTGCAACACTCTTGGACACGACGTTCAACCCCATTTCACTTCCCCTCATATCCAAGTTTGGCCTGATTCTGTTTCTAGGCTTGTCAGCACCATATCACATGCTGATGTGTTTCAGCAAAGTGCTACAAGATCTACAGGTGTTAAAAAAATACCTGGTCGAGATTGTTTGACTTAATCAATGACAACAAAAACTACTTTGTTTGATTCTGACATTGTTCAACCAGCAAATGTAATGACTGAGCTCCTTGACCAGAAACTAGATCAAACTAAGGCTAGTGAATAAAAGCAAGAACTCTCTCCATTGACATAAGGAATCTCTGCCAAAACAGAGTTGATTGTACGATTCCGACTATATATTGAGCATGTGTTTATGAATTACTATCAAATGGTGATGATACCAGGTCGTCGCAAAAATGTGAGCATATCCTTCCCGACCAGTGGCATCTGTCACAAACACATGCAATGGCAAATCAATTGTTCACCTGAAAAAAACACGAACATGTGATAGAAGTAAAAATAGGGAATTGCGTTGGACTTCATATTTTTGTCACTGATGCTTCAAGTTTGAAAATGTTCACATGTCTGCCATAAAACGTTTTGGAAGCTCTACTGAGGCCTTAAATATGGTAACCATGATCAAACAACTTCTGGTCAAGAGGTGTACGGCGCTTTTTACAATCTTGGTAGAAAGAGCATGCTCGATTGTATCTCAGAAGTTGATAACTGAAGACAAGGGCTGGAGCTGCAGGAATATTGCTCCACAACGGGAAAGTCATCCCTATTATCATACAGTCTTGTGGAGAGTGTGTTGTCACCCTGAATCTTTATGCACAGGTCTAAATATACAAACAGATGAAGCGATCTCACTGGTCTCTTTTGTGTCTAGTTCAGGGTCCCGTTCCACAAAGCGATCGTCGCGCGACTGTCGTAGGCCTATGTTAAAGTATGGGAGTTACGAACATCTTAGCGCTACGACTGTCGTAAGCCTATGTTAAAGTATGGGAGTTATGCGAGTACTGGCACCACGTTAGAATGTCACGGTGACAGGACGCTGGCCTACTGGTAGTCCAGATGCTTAGGTCAAATTAGAAGACCGAGTTCAACGTGCAGTATTTATAACACTATAACCACCAAAACATACATCATACTATTCTGTCATGAACCTTTTCTATACACCTGGAGAGGAATCTAAAGGTCACTGTTAGTTCTAACACAGACACATTTATCCAGGTGAGGTGAGGTGAAATGGGGTTTTATGCCGAGTCCTAGATTATTTCACTTATATAACGACGCGTGAGCGTTGGTGTTTGTGTGTGGCTGCTTGTATTAGCCCCGACTGATTTTAGTGCTAGTCCACTGAGATACCATGCCGCAGTTTAACATAAATACCCCACTCAGACATTATACTGACCCCAAACAGGCCATTCCTTGTTTTAGCCCCTTAATGACGAGCGCCAGGCAGGGTAACAAGAAGTACCATCTTTTAACGTCTTTTGGTATGACGCGGCCGGGCAATTTATCCAGATGGGATTTGTTGGTTGGTTTGTTGTTTAACGCCGCACTCAGCAATATTCCAGCTATATGACGGCGGTCTGTAAATAATCGAGTCTGGACCAGACAATCTAGTGATTGATGTCATGAGCATCGATCCACTCAATTGGGATCGATGACCGTGCACCAATCAAGTCAGGGGGCCTGACCACCCGATCCCGTTAGTCGGTTGCTGAAGACCTATTCTATCCCGGATCTTCACGGGTCAGATGGGATTTGTCCTGATGCCGTGTTGCTTTTCGCCAAGAGTTTAAATGATGCAAACACAGCTCTGAGTGATCCCAATGTCCAAGACCCCTGGCCAGACAAGTAGCAAACTAGAAGTAACATCATCATTACCCACGTGGTGAAGATACAGGTGGTAAGATACTAAATCCGTACGTCACACGTGTGTCGTACAAGGTTGACCTTGTTTCATTCGTTTTGATTGGATAACCGTGACCTCTGTCACACCGGGACTACTTTTTTCATTCATGAAAAAATCGCGAGACGTCATTCATTTTGCAACTACAAGGCAGAACTGAAACAATCTCATGTGAGCGAGGGATATTAACAAACACTTTATTAAACCAAACAAGATAGTCACACGCATCAAATTCGGTTTGCATCCTATATAAGTTATGCATTGAGCTTCCACAGACATTATATAATATTTGGGCAGATATCAATATTCATGCGCAACCAGATTTTGCAACCGGTTTCAGTTTGGTCTGTCAACGGACAAAAGTTGCTATGTATTTACACTTAAATATATATTTAACGTGGGTAATAAATAAAATACCACACTCATTCTCGTTAGATACCATTTTTACGTAACTCGTGAACTTTTAGAAAGTCCACTCGTTTCGTAAAAAATGGTATCTAACGAGAATGAGTGTAGTATTCTCTATGTACAGAGAGTGTACTTTTTGTTGGGATTGTAGGGACGTCCCAGACTCTTTCTGCCCTTGGGAAGTGAGGGGAGTAAGGTTTTACACCGCTAGTAGCATTATTCTAGCAATATATAGCGCGGAACACCAAAAATGGACTTCACACATTGTTCCTATGTGAGGAATCGAACCCGGGTCTTCAGCGTGACAAGCGAACGCTTTAACCACTAGGCCTAGGTCTTCAGCAACCCATGCTTCTCATAAGAGGCGACCAACAGGATCGTGTGGTCATCGTATCCCAACTACGTGGATCGATGCTCATGATTTAAATCACTGGATTGTCTGGTCCAGACTCGATTATTTACAGACCGCCGCCATATAGCTGGAATATTGCTGAGTGCGGCGTCAAACAACAAATAAACAAAAAGTATTTTACTGGACCATTTGACAATACCATGTGGTTGGACAACTAAATGTATATAGACGTGAGAAGACGATTATTCTTGTTTACTGAAACACAATCTGTCTGTGTACAATCATGTTTTCCATCTGTCTAGCGTCACTGCCCACTTGATACGAGCCCTCTAAATATCCGGGTTAGAATGGGTCTTTACAACCCATGCTTGCCAAGAGGCGAATCACGGGATAGGGTGATGAGGCCGCCGTCATATGGCTGGAATGTTGCTAAGGGCGGCGTTAAACAAAATACATACAAAATTTGAGACCTGCTCCTATGTAATCAAATGTGTTAAGACGAAAAGATGAAATTATCGTAAACAGATTTGAGTTACATCAAGATTGCGGTAAATTTCCATGTTTGCCAATCTTTGTCTCGATGACAAGTTTGTTTGTTTGTTTGTTTGTTTGTTTGTTTACCTTTGCATAAAACATTTATATGAACCATTAAGTGTCACCAACATTCGAACCCACGATCATAGGTGGATGGGGTGACCAAGGGACGTAACTCTGCACAGCGAACACATGATGTCATAGTGATTCATAGATCCCGGTTGGAACTGGTCTTCAGCAACCCATGCTTGTCGTAGGAGGCAACTAACGTGATCGGGTGGTCAGGCTCGCTGACTATAGGTTGATCAATATTATCGTATCCCAATTGCGTAGATCGATGCTCACAATGTCAGTCACTGGATTGTCTGGTCCAGACTCGATTCGTTACAGACAATCATCATAAGGCTGGAATATAGCTGAATGTGGTGCGCACCCCCCCCCCCCCCCCCCCCCCCTTTTTATTTCGAAAAAAATCTTTATTTCTGTATACATTACCACCAAAGACAATAAATAGATCTTAATTGTGCACCCACCCCCCACCCCCCACCCCCCCCCCCCCCCCCCCCCACCCCCCTTTTTTTTTAAAAAAGCTATATCCGCCCATGATATGAATAGATATATTCCACGAAACTAATCTGTAAACTGTCAGTAGAAACTACAATTTGGCTTTTGTATGAAAACTATTCTGTGTCAGTCCCTGACTTAAGAGGCGACTAACGGGATCGGTTGGTCATGCAGGCTCGCTGACTTAGTTGATGTATGTCATCGTATCCCAATTGCGTGGGTCGATGCTCATGATGTCAATCACTGGATTGTCTGGTCCAAACTCATTTTTTTTACAGCCAGCGGCCGTCTTATAGCTGGTATATTGCTGTTTCGCTATAGAAAAACAAGCCAATAGGCGGACATACAAATCCTTTTGTTGAAAAGGGTTGGTTTAAACATATTTATTTTCACACAAAATATTTTCACGTGAAAATGGATTCGTAAACAAGCGAAGCGCTTATGTTAATAATGATATGTTGGTAAGGGTTGACCTGCATTGATCGACCAATCGACATAAACAATAAAAACATGATAACGAATAACTGAAAATGTAACAGAAAAAACAAACGTTCCATAATACATAAAAAAATAATCGTTGGCTAATTTGCCAGTACTATTTCTGAATAAACCAGCTGTGTCCTGGTCTGTTGAAAGAACGCTTCTCTTGTAGGCTGATATGAAAAGCCTTGTGTTGTTAGAAAGCCTGGCTTTGGTTGGTCGATATATGGTTAGTGTTTAGTGTTTATTTAACGTGTCTTGACAAGCAGACGACAGACTATCGCGGACAGGTTTGAACTCGTCTTGACTCGCTAGACGCCGGCACCTATATAAACTCCGATCTAGTTTTGCACACGCCACATCGTGTGGAACTGAGACAAGCGTCGTGCAGTAGGAGTGTCGATAGGGTCACATTCGTACATATTTCTGGATATAATTCTCCTGATTTGATTAAACAGAATATAAAGCTTTATAGTCCAAAGTAAGTATTGCATTTACACAATTTACCTGATATTATGTTATTATATCTGTCGCAATATTCACCGGTTCGTTGTCCAGACTACCAGATTGCCTATATTTAACTATACCTATATAACCTATATTTATAACGCGACGTGTATGCGTTATGCGGCTAAATGCAGGCGTGTTCACGACCGACATTGCTTGAAAGTGTTCTTATTTAATTGATACATGTGCTGAGAAGATCATGTGAAAGTGACATCCTCAATGTCGAGTTACCCGACCGGGAAATTAATCAATGAAGGCCCGCCACAAAACAAGGAAATGGGCGTTTTTCAGGTCATCGATGCCAGTTATCTCTTTGTTGTCGATTTGAATTTTGTATGTCAGAGATTCAAATCGATAAAAATATATATATATATATTTGACAATGAATTCCCATGCATTTCATAATTTAGTTTCTTTGTAAGCTAATCGATATAACATATATAAGTATATATATATATATATATATTCAACTTTTTTATCTCCTTTGTGGAGCTCTTCATAGTTATTTTATGACGCTTCACATATTATGTAGATGTTACCGTTATTCATACGACCTTTGTTCTTACACGAACGTAATGGTGAGTCTATTCACTCATATATACAGAGATTTTAATAAGTTTCTTCTACAGTACATATATGAAACCTAGAATCATATGTTTTCTCATGAGTGAAAACAACATAAAAGATAACTGTATTTGTTGCGTTGTAAGTTCATCACATACCAAGGCCGTAGCTTAGTCCACAAATAATAAAATTATCCGTCCTTGCAAATTACAAATGACAGCATAAATATATAAGTGATGAAAATAAGGCTTGCTGAATAAAATACTAATGAATCTATGGACCTCAATGACATGAACAAAACATAAATACCTTCGTATTATTGAAATACATAATGTACATATGTACGTCCAACGTTTGAGCCAAACTAGACCCTGGTCACCCTTTCCCAACTGATTTAAAAGTTTGCAACTTGTTCCTCACAACCCTACCCTCGAACTCCCACACTACACCCACACTACACCCACACTACATCCGCACTACACCCACACTACATCCACACCACACCCACACTACATCAACACTACACCCACACTACACCCACACTACATCCACACCACACCCACACTACATCCACACTACACCCACACTGTACCCACACTACATCCACACTACACCCACACTACATCCACACTACATCCACACTGTACCCACACTACATCCACACTACACCCACACTACATCCACACTACATCCACACCACACCCACACTACATCCACACTACACCCACACTGTACCCACACTACATCCACACTACATCCACACCACACCCACACTACATCCACACTACACCCACACTGTACCCACACTACATCCACACTACATCCACACCACACCCACACTACATCCACACTACATCCACACTGTACCCACACTACATCCACACTACACCCACACTACATCCACACTACATCCACACCACACCCACACTACATCCACACTACACCCACACTATACCCACACTACACCCACACTACATCCACACCACACCCACACTACATCCACACTACACCCACACTGTACCCACACTACATCCACACTACACCCACACCACACCCACACTACATCCACACTGTACCCACACTACATCCACACTACACCCACACTACATCCACACTACACCCACACTGTACCCACACTACACCCACACTACACCCACACCGCACCCACACTACATCCACACTGTACCCACACTAGACCCACACTACACCCACACTGTACCCACACTACATCCACACTACACCCACACTGTACCCACACTACATCCGCACTACACCCACACTGTACCCACACTACACCCACACTACACCCATACCACACCCACACTATATCCACACTACACCCACACTACACCCACACTATACCCACACTACATCCACACTACACCCACACTACACCCACACTGTACCCACACTACATCCACACTGTACCCACACTACACCCACACTACACCCATACCACACCCACACTACATCCACACTACACCCACACTGTACCCACACTACACCCACACTGTACCCACACTACACCCACACTGTACCCACACCACACCCACACTACATCCACACCACACCCACACTACATCCACACTACACCCACACTGTACCCACACCACATCCACACTACACCCACACTGTACCCACACTACATCCGCACTACACCCACACTGTACCCACACTACACCCACACTACACCAACACTGTACCCACACTACATCCACACTACACCCACACTGTACCTACACTACACCCACACTACACCCATACCACACCCACACTACATCCACACTACACCCACACTACACCCACACTACACCCACACTGTACCCACACTACACCCACACTGTACCCACACTACATCCACACTGTACCCACACTACACCCACACTACACCCATACCACACCCACACTACATCCACACTACACCCACACTGTACCCACACTACACCCACACTGTACCCACACTACACCCACACTGTACCCACACTGTACCCACACTACACCCACACTACATCCACACCACACCCACACTACATCCACACCACACCCACACTGTACCAACACTACATCCACACTACACCCACACTGTACCCACACTGTACCCACACTACACCCACACTGTACCCACACTACACCCACACCACACCCACACTACATCCACACTACACCCACACTGTACCCACACTACATCCACACTACACCCACACTGTACCCACATTGTACCCACACTACACCCACACTACACCCACACTGTACCCACACTACACCCACACTACACCCACACTGTACCCACACTACATCCACACTGTACCCACACTACACCCACACCACACCAACACTACATCCACACTATACCCACACTACATCCACACCACACCCACACTGTACCCACATTGTACCCACACTACACCCACACTACACCCACACTGTACCCACACTACACCCACACTACACCCACACTGTACCCACACTACATCCACACTGTACCCACACTACACCCACACCACACCCACACTACATCCACACTATACCCACACTACATCCACACCACACCCACACTGTACCCACACTGTACCCACACTACACCCACACTGTACCCACACTACACCCACACCACACCCACACTACATCCACACTACACCCACACTGTACCCACACTACATCCACACTACACCCACACTGTACCCACATTGTACCCACACTACACCCACACTACACCCACACTGTACCCACACTACACCCACACTACACCCACACTGTACCCACACTACATCCACACTGTACCCACACTACACCCACACCACACCCACACTACATCCACACCACATCCACACTACACCCACACCACACCCACACTGTACCCACACTACATCCATACCACATCCACACTACACCCACACTATGCCCACACTGTACCTACACTACATCCACACTACATCCACACTATACCCACACCAAACTTACACTATACCCACACTACACCCACACTACATCCACACTACACCCACACTACACCCACACTACACCCACACTACATCCACACTACACCCACACTACACCCACACTACACCCACACTACATCCACACTACACCCACACTACATCCACACTACACCCACACTACATCCACACTACACCCACACTACATCCACACTACACCCACACTACATCCACACTGTACCCACACTACATCCACACTACACCCACACTACACCCACACTACATCCACACTACACCCACACTGTACCCACACTACATCCACACCACACCCACACTACATCCACACTACACCCACACTACATCCACACTATACCCACACTACATCCACACTACACCCACACTACATCCACACTACATCCACACTACACCCACACTACATCCACACTACACCCACACTGTACCCACACTACATCCACACTACATCCACACTACACCCACACTACACCCACACTACATCCACACTACACCCACACTATACCCACACTACATCCACACTACACCCACACTACATCCACACTACACCCACACTACACCCACACTACACCCACACTACATCCACACCACACCCACACTGTACCCACACTACATCCACACCCACACTGTACCCACACTGTACCAACACTACATCCACACCCACACTGTACCCACACTACACCCACAACACACCCACACTACATCCACACTACACCCACACTGTACCCACACTACACCCACACTGTACCCACACTACACCCACACTACACCCACACTGTACCCACACTACACCCACAACACACCCACACTACATCCACACTACACCCACACTGTACCCACACTACACCCACACTGTACCCACACTACATCCATACCACATCCACACTATACTCACACTATACCAACACTACACCCACACTACATCCACACTATACCCACACCAAACTTACACTATACCCACACTACACCCACACTACATCCACTCTACATCAACACCACATCCACACTATACCTACACTACAACCGAGCCAAGTAATTCCAGCCTAGTTTGGCAAGGGTGGAAACTGGACTTTTAAAGTCAGTTAACTCTCTAGCCTTGGGAAGATGGTCAAGAACTTGCCAAGTATCAAATAGTTATTGACATTTTTGTGACAGTTCTCATGTTTGTTTCAGTTTTGCCCAAATCTTCAAGATGTTCGCAGATGCAGTGAGAAAGCGGTCAATGCGTCGGCTGATGTTCGACCAGGAGGAGCTCAACCAAAACCCTGTTGAGAATGTTTCAGCAGCCCCGCTAGATGAAGACATGTTCGAGTGGCACTGCAACATTAAACAGGACGACATTATCTATCACCTGCTCCTTTTCTTCCCTAAAAACTACCCCTACGACTCCCCAAGTGCTGAGTTTGTGCCTTCAGGCTTCCAGTACAACAGTGGAGCAACCAAACCAGGCAAACGCGGCACAAAGATCTGTCTGAACATTTTCAGTGACTTTGCTGACATTCATACCGAATGGGCAGATCAGAAGGCATTGGGCTGGTCCCCTGGATATACCATTCAGACCGTTCTGATGAACGTCATCTCCTTTCTGGCGGAGACGCAGCAATCGACCTGGGCCTGGATGAAAGATGCGAACGACAACAACCTCAAACTGTCCAAGAGCTTCAGCTGTAAAGAATGCGGCCACACCTACAAGAAGCCCTATCCTTCATTAGAAACGAAACCAGCTGCCAAAGCACCAAAGGTCAAAGATGATGGAAAACCGGAAATTATCGACTACATCTCTAAGGATCGATTTAAAGTTGCAAAGCCCAAATCTCGGGATGATTTGTACGGTTATGGCTTGGTTGTGTCGGGACCCCCCAGCAGACCCTCCCTGACAACGCCCTGCGAGTTCCTGACGGGGGAGTCCTACTACGGGATGCACAAGTCCATGGGCAAGGTCCAGAGTGTGATGAAGGAAGACCTGAAGTACTTCCTCCCACTCTACATCCACCCGTTGCATGGCAACGAGATCCAGCCCACGTTTGAAGCCACGATGAAGGAGCTGGCCCAACTGTTGCCGAGCTGCAAGAGGAAGACCGTTGCCGAGATGGTTCTCAAGGTCATCCCCAACCTCATGAGCGCCACCGTCGTGGAATTCTCCAAAGGAACCCAACACACAAGTGAGAACAGTCTCAATGGTTACTTTGCTCTACATCGACTGCTCCTGTGGGCGATGGAGATATACACTGAACTGCAGGACATCGTAGAGGAGAGGCTGAAGGTGAGATTGGATTATGTGCCCTTGGGTCAAGGTACTTTTTAAAGATCATTCTGTGTGGGTTTTTGGGTTTCACATCCCATCTGGTGCATGCAGTAAAACTCCCTCTGTATTTGCCTTGCTTCTGCATCATTGTTGGACTGGATTCTGGTAACTCTGAATTCTGGTAACTCGGAAACATTGTCACATCTGTAACCTTGCTGTTAGTCCGGGTTTTCTATTCCCAAACATGGATCCATTCTTGGTGCTTCTGCAACAACGGTGCAGCAGTATATGATCATTGCTAAAAGCAATGCAGCACTCAGTTCTTTTTCAGCTATATGATGGCGGTCTTTAGAAAATCGAGTCTGACCATCCATCCGTTAGTCGCCTTTCACAACAAGCATAGTCGCTTTTTACGGCAAACATGGGATGCTGAAGGCCAATTCTTCCTGTGTATCATTGCTGAAAGTCTCCATATTCTCCAACATATTCACATCCAAACCACACAATGTTCTTGTGCTGGATAAAGCCTATGTCTGCTTCATTATTAACATGCAATAGTTTAACTGTCTTGTTGTATTTTCTGCAGAAATTCATCGATTCGGAGGATAATCGAACAAAGAAAGCCTGTCCTCATATCGGTGAATGGCTGCTTCTGCTGACGGCCTCCAGCAAGTACAGGTATGGTCCAGACACTGTCCCTGAAGAACATTATCATCACTTAATCCATAGTTTGTGATGCGATATACCAATCAGATAAAGATGGTACCATGACCTGGTAGATATGCAAATGAGGTCACCTGGCAGGAGCAACTTCCAATAAGCTCCCATGGTTCAGTCTAGGATTTTTCTGACATGGGCCCTTTAAGTGAAAATTTGTTAAAATGTGTTAAAATGCCCAAAGGTATTTGAAATTTGTGGGCCTTTTTTCAAATTTTAATAGGGTCTAAACACACAAGGCCCCACCCTAGAATTATCCCTGAGCTTCATACTGTTGTATAATGGATTAAGGAAATGTAGAACAAGGGTTTTAATTCACACAGAGCACATGGCATTCATGCAGGCAGACATCTTGGAAGTCCCCCCTTTCTTACTCCCTAACTGAAGAGTACATTTTATAACATAAGCTGTCTGGAGTTATCTCCCCTAGACCATACCATGAACACATTAAGCCGTCCGGAGTTATCTCCCATGGACCACTACATTGAGAGTACATACAGACATAACACATACATCGATGCAATGACTACTTGCTTGAAAATTTGTTGCCTAAGTTCCCAAACTTTTATAGATGTTTCCCTGTGTGAGTGCTTATTTAAACAAACATGGATGCAATTCCTTGGCACTGTAAATACATGGGGAGTCACATCATTGTATTCCTGCTCAGTGTCTAACACTTCTTCAGTGAGTGAAATAATGGCTTGGACCTTAAATGAATTATTGTAAGAATGACATCATCAGATGAAGCGATTGTTATCCTTGTGTGCTTTTGTATTATAAAATTTATTTTCTGAGCCTTAACAAGGAGCTTTTAACATTAATTAACAAGGGACAAATAATCCACAACTCTGAGTTGCGAGTCTTTCTTCTGAGAAAATGTAGACCAATGTGGGTTTCCTGACCTCAAATGGAGACATCAGCTCAGTGGGAACAATGACGCATTATACTGTTGGAAGCGTCATGAACAATGGATGACGCCATCAATCATTTGCAACAAAATTAATTCACTCAGAACAGGCCATTCCTCACAGCTCATACGGTATTCTCTAAGAATACAATCTTTGTTCCTTGAAGATACAAATACACACTTGGCTAAACTCTCAATATATCTGAATAACATTTATATGTTGAAATAAAATTGAGGATAAGCACATGCTTCTGACGGCGATCTGTAAAAAATAGATTGAGTGAGTGAGTGAGTATGGTTTTACGCCGCTTTTAGCAATATTCCAGCAATATCACGGTGGGGGACACCAGAAATGGGCTTCACACATTGTACCCATGTCGGGAATCGAACCCGGGTCTTCGGTGTGACGAGCGAACGCTTTAACCACTAGGCTACCCGACCGCCCCGTAAAAAATCGAGTCTGGACCAGAGCATAGTTGCTTTTTTCAACAAGCATGGGTTGCTGAAGACCTATTCTACCCTGCAACTTCACGGGTCAGCACTAGTATTAGTTTTAGTAGTATTACTAGTAGTATTTTCATCATTGTTCTGTAACTATGTGTGTTGACAGGTGGCAGGAGGCAGCCAACGCCTATCTCTCCGAGTCGTTCAAGCGGAACGTGATGTGGTACGTGAAGGATGACGAGAAGCTGGGGTACGTGGACACCGACATGGACTACCGCCTGACCAACACCCTCACGCGCACTGCGGTCAGCAGGAAACTACTCGCCTTCCAGGTAAACAAGGGACATGGTCACATCTTGTATCTTCCCCAGGCAAGAGAGTTAACTGACTTTAAAAGTCCAGTTTCCACCCTTGCCGAACTAGGCTGGAATTCCTGGGCACGATCGTAGCGCCACCAGTGGCTATTATGAGTTATGTCCTTTCTATGCCTCTCCTATTGACCAATCAGATTCAACCTCTTGTATTACTAGCATTTGCTTCAAACAAAACGGTGGTGCCCAGTCAAGACGATCTGATCGATAATCAATATCTATATTGTGATCAAACAAGTCTTACATCGCGAAATGCATCAAATCACGTGAGCACCTTGATTAAAAATATGAAAAGATATAGAAAATATTTGTTGGCAACGAGTTAGCGGTGCACATGCTTTGCAAATCCTGCAGTCGACCGAACTATGCATGACACTTTACGAACCGGATTTCGATCTCGGTGCGCGATTTTGATTGGACTATGCATAGACTCGTTAGTCCAGCCAAAATGTAACTCCATAATACCAGCCTAGTTCGGCAAGGGTGGAAACTGGACTTTTATAGTCAGTTAACTCTCTTGCCTCGGGAAGATGACATCTTGGAGCAGCACTAAAACCATGCCCTTATTTCTATGGTGTCTCACTCACCTGACTGAAAGTCCCTGCTTGTCTGTCAATGTAAACCTATGTCATGGCCTGCTTGTCCTTCAGTGTAAACCTATGTCACGGCCTGCTTGTCTGCCAAGTAAGCCTATGTCATGGCCTGCTTGTCTGTCATTGTAAACCTATGTCACGGCCTGCTTGTCTGCCAAGTAAGCCTATGTCATGGCCTGCTTGTCTGCCAAGTAAACCTATGTCATGGCCTGCTTGTCTGTCATTGTAAACCTATGTCACGGCCTGCTTGTCTGCCAAGTAAACCTATGTCATGGCCTGCTTGTCTGCCAAGTAAACCTATGTCATGGCCTGCTTGTCCTTCAGTGTAAACCTATGTCACGGCCTGCTTGTCTGCCAAGTAAACCTATGTCATGGCCTGCTTGTCCTTCAGTGTAAACCTATGTCACGGCCTGCTTGTCTGCCAAGTAAACCTATGTCATGGCCTGCTTGTTTGTCATTGTAAACCTATGTCATGGCCTGCTTGTCCTTCAGTGTAAACCAATGTCATGGCCTGCTTGTCTGCCAAGTAAGCCTATGTCATGGCCTGCTTGTCCTTCAGTGTAAACCTATGTCACGGCCTGCTTGTCTGCCAAGTAAACCTATGTCACGGCCTGCTTGTCTGTCAGTGTAAACCTATGTCATGGCCTGCTTGTCCTTCAGTGTAAACCTATGTCACGGCCTGCTTGTCTGTCAGTGTAAACCTATGTCATGGCCTGCTTGTCCTTCAGTGTAAACCAATGTCATGGCCTGCTTGTCCTTCAGTGTAAACCAATGTCATGGCCTGCTTGTCCTTCAGTGTAAACCTATGTCATGGCCTGCTTGTCTGTCATTGGTGGACATTAGTTTGGTCAACATATCCTCCAACTGTTGGATCAATGAAGCTGTAACGTCACATTAGTTCCCACCTTAACATGACACCTGAAATTGTCCGAGTGGTTTGAACCAATTTCATTATTGTTATTTTTTTATGTACTATTTTTTTAACAAAGAAATGTACTAAATTTGGTAGTTGGACTCCATTTTTGTAGTAAATGTTGACCTTGTGGTGACAATGCTCTTAAAATCTCTCCAAGTGCATTTTTTGGCTCTGTAAACCTCTCCTCTGAAATTGCCAAACCGAGGAAGATGAATGTAGCGTGTGTGGTTCTCCTCATGACAAATTCAGGGTTTGTTCAAATCAGGGTTTTACTGTGTTTTACTATTTGAATATCAAGATTAGGTTGAAATGTCATAACTTTATTTCTTCAGGTGAGCTACAGAACCTTGTCTCTCAGTTTTTTTTGTTACATTCCTTCCAAAACGTATTTAGATCAGAAAGTTCTTCACATGCGACCACCGATGGAGGTGTCACCAGATAGCTTTTCTTAAGTGTTGACGTTGTTGACAAGTGTTGATTACATATTCAGGTGAACGACACTCACTTCTCAGACTCAGTCTGGATGTTTGTACAAAATAAGGTTGAAATGTCATATCATTATTTCTACCTAAGTCTGGTGAGCTACAAAACCTTGTGCATCTATTTTCTTAAAAACTAATCTAGCTCATGCAAAATGTGGACAATCACTTGGGAGGGCCAGAAAAAAAAGTCATTTGGAGAGTGTAAATTTTTGTAAACTTGTGGTTGGAATATGACCACAAATAGTCATGAATATGTTCTCATTTCCAGGTGTTGTTCCTGGATATTGCAATGCCTGCTGGGAAATCCCGGAAGGACCTCCTGAAACGCTATGATGACAACCAGGGATTTCCCTCGCCAGAGATGGTGAAGCAGATGAAGGCAGCTGTGAAACAGATCGTTGACTTGAAGACTTACGATGACTGGTACAAGGTGAGATTTACCATGACCGGTAAAAGGTAGGACTTACGATGACTGTTACAAGGTGAGATTTACAATGACCAGTACAAGGTGAGACTTACGATGACTGGTACAAGGTAAGATTTACAATGACCAGTACAAGGTGAGACTTACGATGACTGGTACAAGGTGAGATTTACAATGACCAGTACAAGGTGAGACTTACGATGACTGGTACAAGGTAAGATTTACAATGACCAGTACAAGGTGAGACTTACGATGACTGGTACAAGGTAAGATTTACAATGACCAGTACAAGGTGAGACTTATGATGACTGGTACAAGGTGAGATTTACAATGACCGGTACAAGGTGAGATTTACAATGACCGGTACAAGGTAGGACTTACGTTGACTGGTACAAGGTGAGATTTACAATGACCGGTACAAGGTAAGACTTATGATGACTGGTACAAGGTGAGATTTACAATGACCAGTACAAGGTGAGACTTACGATGACTGGTACAAGGTGAGATTTACAATGACCGGTACAAGGTAAGACTTATGATGACTGGTACAAGGTGAGATTTACAATGACTGGTACAAGGTGAGATTTACAAAGACCAGTACAAGGTAGGACTTACGTTGACTGGTACAAGGTGAGATTTACAATGACCAGTTCAAGGTAGGACTTATGTTGACTGGTACAAAGTAACACTTAGGATGACCGGTACAAGGTAGGACTTACTATGACTGGAACAAGGTAGGACTTACGATGATCGGTACAAGGTAAGACTTACACTAATGTGACTAGGTAAGACTTGAATGACTGGTACAAGGTAAGACTTACGATGACTGGTACAAAGTAGGACTTATGATGACCAGTAAAATAGGCCTATGACAGTCGTAGTGCCACAATCACTTTGTAGAAGTGTCCTGGACTATCCAATACCTTAAAATAGGCCTACGACAGTCGTAGTGCTATGATCTCTTTGTGGAACAGGGCCCAGGTTTGTAAAGCTTAGTAAGGTCATCTTACTGAAAACCTTTTTGTCATCTTTCAGCTTCTGAAGCTGAAGCCCCCAACAAAGAAGGAACTGTTCGACCGACTTGTCAAGGCTGTCAAGTTCTCCATCCAAACCGATGGCTACAAGTGGACATTTTGGAAGTCTGCAGGAGGTTGGAACCAGGTCCTCAAGCGTTATCCTGGTGGAAAGATTCCAGGGGAACCAGATCCTCCTAAGAAAGAACCAAAAGGAAAAGGAAAGAAGGTAGAAGAGGAGGAAGTGAAGAAACCAAAGGGGAAGGGGAAGGGGCCAGCTCGGGGGAAGGCAGCAGCAGCTGAAGAAGAAGAGGAAGAGGAGGAAGTGAAGAAACCGAAGGGAAAGGGGAAGGGGCCAGCTCGGGGGAAGGCAGCAGCAGCTGAAGAAGAAGAGGAAGAGGAGGAAGTGAAGAAACCGAAGGGGCGAGGCAAGGGTAAAGGTGCGGCTAGAGGGAAGGCTGCAGCAGTTGTTGAAGAAGAAGAAGAGGAAGAGGAGGAAGTGAAGAAACCAAAGGGGCGAGGCAAGGGTAAAGGTGCGGCTAGAGGGAAGGCTGCAGCAGTTGTTGAAGAAGAAGAAGAGGAAGAGGAGGAGGAGGAGGAAGTGAAGAAACCGAAGGGGCGAGGCAAGGGTAAAGGTGCGGCTAGAGGGAAGGCTGCAGCAGTTGTTGAAGAAGAAGAAGAGGAGGAGGAGGAGGAAGTGAAGAAACCGAGGGGGAAGGGGAAAGGTCCTGCGAAGGGGAAGGCAGTCGTCAAGGGGAAGAAGGGGGAAAAAGTGGAGGAGTCGGAGGAGGAGGATATGGAAGTGGTGAAGCCGACCAGAGGACGAGCGAGAGGGGTCAAGAGGACAGCTGAGGAGGCGAAGGTCGGGGGGAGAGGAAGAGGGGGGGCAAAGAAGAGGCGATAGTCTTGATGGAGGAACAACTTGCAGGGGAATCGAGCAAGAGAAGAGGATGGATCAAGTGTGCTGTTTTTATTTGATCGTAGTACTGTCATCTACGACATATTAAGTACTGTGTGAATGTTTTGTGCTGAATATCAGTTGAAGGAAAGGCATTGAAAACATGAGCTGAAGCTCTGTACGGAAGCTTTAAAGGGTTGTCATGAACTCTGAGATCTCTGTACAGAAGTGTCAGGAACAGTCAATTTCTGTGTGATAAAGTGTGAAAGAGGATTGCATCAAGAATATTTAGATATCGACTTCACATGTTTTGTATTGTTTCGCACAATATTCATGACATTCATCTTATCAAGAAAAGGGCGATCAACGCTTGTCTTAACAGTAGATAAATGTACATCTGTCTGTAACTTGTGAGGTGATTCACAGCAAGATATTGGGTATCAACTGAACCACTGCCATGTATCATAGGGGCCTTACCTTCACGTTGGAGAATAAGATTTCAACACATCAAATCAAACAAGAGATTGCTCAACAAAAATGATTCTTTCATTCTTAATATCCTGAATTCAACTTGTCCCTTGTAACTCGGTTAGTATCTCATTTTATCATCCAAACTGGCTCCCACAGGAGATATGGCTTGGGTGCGATGAAGCAATATCTTAATTGTAGATATCGCTGCAATGAAATTGCATCACAGTACTTTGTAGACCATTGTGAGGTCATTAGTTACCATGACATACAATCAAATGACATCACTAATGGCTCTGCTACTGAAGCTGTTGGCAGTACTTTTTACACTTAAGACACTGCTTATTACTGTCTACAAACTGAAAAAGTTGAAAGAATCGGCAAGCCTCGGAGTTTTTTCACTTTTATCAACTCTTGATGATATATTTGATATCAAAAGACACTCGGGTGAGATTCTCTATCAATACCATCCAGTAACTCCGTCTCCAAAGTTCTGTGGAAATATCACCACGACAAAGTTCGGGAATGCTGAAGGGTTTGGAAAAGACATTAATATAATGCCAAGTTTTCTATTATTTTACAATTGAGGACAATGTATTTTTTCCCTAGGTGTAAACAAGGAACTATTTCTTTGGACCCATCAAAAAATTTATTCATTCTCACTATTAACACAAATGTTTTTTACGTAAAAACTTGGGTATTTGCCACAATACAAACTATTAATCTTTTTTACCACTGTCGACAAACTATTCAATTTGGGCATAATTTTAACTAACTTTTCATTTAAAACATCTTCTTCATCACCCCCCAAATCAAATGGATGCTCCCTAGGAGACGATACTGAATGATGCATAATAATTGTCAGTCCATATTATCATTTTGTTTAGTTTTCCGCATTCATCATTACCATTTTTAAGAAATAAAATGTAAAACATTAATGTTTTTCAGGGTTTTTATTTTAAAATATGTGATCTCAGGAAGCTTTTTATGCCCAGGGAGTCCTGCAGCATCACTATTTTCTGACAAGATAGGATTGATAATTAACTGTCTGTTTTAAAGTTATCAACAGGCAGCTGGGGTTGGATCTCCCCAGGGAGCTGAGAATGGAGTCTGCCTCTGTGGTGTAGTGGACAGAGCATCTGCCCGGAGAGGTTTAGGTTGGTGGTTCAATCCCTGGTGACGTCATTCAAAAGATGTTAAAAGATGTTACCTGTCATTACCGTGTCTGGCACTCGGGATTTGGGGCTCAAACAAGGACTGGCCGGCTCGGAGTCGGTATACTGTGTCTGTGGGGCATGCAATAATCTTAAACCTGACCTCAATGTCATATGGAGATATTTCCAAAACATACATACAGATGAATGAAGATGGGGTGGTAGTTAACTTCTTCTAGGGGTAAATAAACAGGTGTCTTGAGTGATGTGATAACAATGGGTGAACAATTCATGCCACAGACCTCGAGACACACTGGTATTATTATATATACTACTCCAAAGAAGATGAACAACACCCAATTCTTTCATATGACTTCTTAGTCTGTCATGGCTGCTGGGTATTGCAACACACAGCCTTCCTCTTGTAGGTGTTCTTTAACTTGTTGTCAGTAGTATTTATTCATATTTAGTGAAAACCAGGGCTGGGACGGGTACCCTTAGGACTACCTGGACCTGTGGTTAGTCACGTGATATATTGTTTAATGACAGTTATCCAGTTGGTGAGTGAGTGAGTATGGTTTTACGCCGCTTTTAGCAATATTCCAGCAATATCACGGCGGGGGACACCAGAAATGGGCTTCACACATTGTACCCATGTTGGGAATCGAACCCGTGTCTTCGGCGTAACGAACGAACGCTTTAACCACTAGGCTACCCGACCGTGCCTACAATTATCCAGAACTCTGCGGTTACACTACAAGTCACTAATGTTCACATTTCTTTCCGACTTTGTATCTCTTGAGACCTACAATGGCTACCCGGGTAGGGTCAGGTAATAGGGGGTAGGGTACCCGGGTAGTAAATTTGGACTCGTCCCAGCACGACTGCAAACACAATCCTGAACAGCAATACATAACGATAGATTCTGATTTCTTAACTTAAAAAGTTTTTAATTCGGCGATATAAACAAAATGTTGAGGTTTTCCTCACGTGGATGAAGATGATGAAGATCATATTTGTTTGAAAACAGATTCCTACGATAAAGTATGCAATGATGATCAAGACCTAAATAACAGGACAGTTCACATTCACGACTCTCAAGCTCTTGTACCATGTATCATGCAATAACAATACAACAGACACTCACTAAAATTCCCTGATCTACCTCTCCTATGCTTAATCCTGTGGAGTCCGCTTCAGTGAAATCTGCAGATGAGAATATTTTCTCTACTGCTCAAACTGGTGTCGGTGAAAATGGTTCTTGTGTATGCCAGCTTCAGGGTTGCAAGTTACCCGTGGGGATTCCGGGTGAGATAAGGTCCCTAGCAACTGTTGCTGATCATAAAAGGCGCTTAATGGATCATGTGGTCAGGTTCAGTGACTTGGTTGATTGTGTGTCATCGTACCTGACGGCGTGGATCGTTTCTCATAATATCAATCACTGGATTGTCTGGGATCCGTTTCACAAAGCAATTACAGCGCTACGACACTCATAGGTCTATGTAAAAGTAGACGAGTTACGATCACCTTAGCGCTACGGCACTACAGTAAGTCTATGTAAAAGTAGACGAGTTACGATCACCTTAGCTCTATGGCACTACAGTAAGTCTATGTAAAAGTAGACGAGTTACGATCACCTTAGCGCTATGGCACTACAGTAAGTCTATGTTAAAATATGGGAGTTACGATCACCTTAGCTCTATGGCACTACAGTAAGTCTATGTAAAAGTATGGGAGTTACAATCACCTTAGCGCTACGGCACTACAGTAAGTCTATGTAAAAGTAGGGGAGTTACGATCACCTTAGCGCTATGGCACTACAGTAAGTCTATGTTAAAATATGGGAGTTACGATCACCTTAGCTCTATGGCACTACAGTAAGTCTATGTAAAAGTATGGGAGTTACGATCACCTTAGCGTTACGGCACTACAGTAAGTCTATGTAAAAGTAGGGGAGTTACGATCACTTTAGCGCTACGGCACTACAGTAAGTCTATGTTAAAATATGGGAGTTACGATCACCTTAGCTCTATGGCACTACAGTAAGTCTATGTTAAAATATGGGAGTTACGATCACCTTAGCGCTACAGCACTACAGTAAGTCTATGTTAAAGTATGGGAGTTACGATCACATTAGCGCTACGCCACTACAGTAAGCCTATGTTATAGTATGGGAGTTACGATCACATTAGCGCTACGCCACTACAGTAAGTCTATGTTAAAGTATGGGAGTTACGATCATATTAGCGCTACGCCACTACAGTAAGTCTATGTTAAAGTAGGGGAGTTACGATCACATTAGCGCTACGCCACTACAGTAAGCCTATGTTAAAGTAGGGGAGTTACGATCACATTAGCGCTACGCCACTACAGTAAGGCTATGTTAAAGTATGGGAGTTACAATCACCGTAGCACTACAATCGCTTCGTGGAACAGGGCCACTGTCAAGACTTGAATTTTTACAGGTCTCTATCAGAGGACTGAAATATTGCTGTGTGCAGCATTCAACAACAAACAAAAACAACTCAAAGTTCTACACACAATATTTTCATTAGAGATTAACTCAATGATAACAAAACTGACATGAGACAACAAAGCCCTGAATCTGCTTATTGACCAGTTCGTGGAGTGGTATATAAATATATTGTCTTTGGAAGGCTCTGGTTAATATAACAAAATATCACAGAATTAGATGTTGCTTCTTTGAACTTCACATTTTGGACTGTGTCAACCAGAAGAACTCCTGAAAGAAAGGGCAAAAAACATGTTAGTCAGAATACTTTTTCTTTTTTTTATATAATTTTTTATTTTTTCAATCATTTTACATTTATTTGATAAAATGTGACATTCCAGTACATAGTTGATTAATCATCTAAATAGATGATGGCATGTTGACCAAAATTTATAGAATAGGCCAATGTCACACTCAATAATCGCTGCACATTTAGTAAGGTTGTAGTAGTTTCTTATTTCGTTCTGAAAGACTTGAAATGACGGGAGTCTCTTATTCAACTTACTTTTAAATATAAGGTCTTTTGTTATCAAGAAGATGATATTTAGAGGGCCATTGCGCTTTTCTGGAAAGCCAATCAATACATGTTTCTTTGTAATTTCGATTTGGATGTAAGCCTTTTGAAGTAGCCAAACTTCAAGTTGAAGCCAGATTTGCTGAACCATATTACAGGCCCAGAAAAGATGGATTGGGGTCTGAATACTTTCGTTAATGATTAACTGTATTGGAATAGGATGTTGACATTCTCGCAACAAGCTGCATCTTCCCTAGAATGTGGAACGTTTATATACTGAACCAAAAATGAAGGAAACAAGAATATTTTTGGTCATAAGTTTTTGTAGTGAAGACAGCACACCATTTCAAAGAAATATCCCCAAATATAATCATGATCCCTAACTTGCTTGTTCTGTATATGTCAATTATCTGCTTAGACAATCAGTGCCGCGGTTCAACCAGCTAAATCTATTTAGTACAAGTTTACCTTTAAAGAATTCCACATGTTCCCTGACATGAGGGTGAAACTATTGCACATTATTTTGTTCTAAAACATATTCAACCATCTTTCCCCAAATTGTTCTTTTCAGAAAACCTATCTAAATGAACTATGACCCCCAAATTACACTGCATCTTTTCTTCTGGCTTGACCAATCATATTCCTTGTTGGCTTTACCAATCATATTCCTTGTTTAACTGTGTCATATATAGCCAAACTGTAGCATTGGAGCACATCAATAAAATTCAAATAGAGAACCATTTACTGTTTTCAATGCTTGTCTCCCTGTTCCTTTTTTGTTACATTAGTTTCAGTTATTACTACAAAATGTGTTTGCAAATCCAAAAAACAATAATAGCAAATTAAAGCCTGGAAAGATAATGATTTCATGCATATTTTTATTCGCTGTTGAGTTTTGGCAGGAAAAAATTGTTTCCATGGAAGCACAAGAAATTAAAAAATTCAAGTAAAAAAATATGAAAAGCCAATAGCTGAGCACATGGTCATTGCTCAACATGGAAACATTACAAAATAAAATTTATAAAAATTTCAAAATAGCAAAAGGCTGGTGAGCAATGCATATGCCAAGTTTCGTTGAAATATAATGAAAGGTTTTCAAGTTATTGCATGGAAACAAACCCTCCCCTTATTTGAGAGAAAGTCAAAATTGTTTAAAACGTAAGAAAAAATATTTTAGAAAAATGTCAAAATAACAAAAGGCAGTAGTAAAGCTGATGAACAATGCACATACCAAGTTTCACTGAAAAACTTTGAATGGTTTTCAAGGTATGGTTCAGAATAGGATGGGAGCGCCCACACTGATGCCGACGGCAACCAAGCCATAAACAATATGTCTCCCTCTCACCAAGAATTAAACCACAGAATTGTTTAACTTGTGCGATAGGCATGTTTCCCATCAGCATGCACATCATCAAAACGGGTTATAGCGAAAACGTCACCTCAGCAAAACGTCACCGGGCGAAAATGGCACCGATTGGCGAAAACAGCACCTCGACTGATGGGGTGCAGGCTAAAACGGCACCTCAGCAAAACGTCGCCAATTTCTCTGGCGAAAACGGCACCGCATTTGGCGAAAACGGCTACTATTGCCTGGCGAAAACGGCACCTTATTTTTTTTTTACCTTGGTCAAAAAAGTGCTATTAAACTTATATGGTAACTTGCAAACACCAATATAATTGTGAAATGCCCGTTTTCCCCCGACACATAGTAGCCGTTTTCGCCAAATGCGGTGCCGTTTTCGCCAGAGAAATTGGCGACGTTTTGCTGAGGTGCCGTTTTAGCCTGCACCCCATCAAAACCATGCCTCATTCCTCTTCATTACAGTACAAGACAAGACTACATACTGAGGCTGACCTTGCCATAACTTTGTGTTTCATTGTCTTCCAATGTCCACTTTGTAAAGACTCCTATTTCTGTGGTTGTGTAGTCAAAGGTTTCATGTACCTGAGTTTTCCTCTGAGCCAAGGGGTTGATCATGACGTTAATGATGGACGACCTTGACCTGTCCTCTAGGGCTGCCCTCATGGATTGGTCAACTTCCTCGGCAGTTGTGGCAAAATATCCTTTACCTCCAAACGCCTCGATCAATTTCTCATAGCGAGTGTTTGGCACTAACCCTGATGGTGGAGCACTAAAATAATAAATAAACCCAAACATATTTCATGAGAAATAATCATGATAATTAGGACAATAAAGTCTTGCAGCTCACCTTTATTTAGAGTCCCCATCATTAAAGCTTTGATTTGATTAAATCAGCTGACGTTCTTGTTAATAATGCTGTTGCCAAAATCATCTTGGAGAAGTTTAACAAATACATCACTAAGAGCAAAGCAAAAATTTATAAAACAAATACATATTTCATTATGTCTAAAACGATTGTATCATAACAGCTGAAGCCTATAGAGTTTTAGTTTTAAGTTTAGTTTTAACAGACAAATCTTAGTTAAGTTGATCAAACTTTATAAACTTGTTTCCATATTATGTCTAAGCCAGCATATATTCCTCCATTGCATAAAATTATAAGTGAGTGAGTGAGAGTGAGTGAGTTGGATTTTACGCCCCTTTCAGCAATATTCCAGCAAAATCACAGTGGGGGACACGAAAAATGAGTTTCACACATTGTATCCATATGGGGAATCGAACCCGGGCCTTCAGCGTGATGAGCGAACGCTTTGTCCACTAGGCTACCCAATCGCCCCCATAAAATTATTAAATAGACACCTGAAATGTATAAAATATACTTCTTTAGAAGTTAAAGAACACTTGATTCTTTCATATTACCATAGTTAATCTGTCAACCCATGACATGAGGTGAGGTGAAATGGGGTTTAACATAGCCTTCAAGATTATTGCATATAGCAACACGAGCATGCGTGGGAGCGCGCTCTCCAGGCGGATGCTCTACCACTAGATCATGTAGGCGATCGTTATCTGAAAGAATCGGGTGTTCTTTAACTTCTTTTGAGCAGGATATATACCAACAGCTTTGGAAAGAGGGACTACACTCAGACAAACTGGCAGCCCAGCTTGTTTAACTTCAGTGATTACAAATCAAGTTTGTCGATGTAAATCAAAGTTACTGGTTACCCTTAACACACAACACTAACCCCAAAGTACAGAATTGACAGGGTGTGTCCCTCAGACCGGCAGAGAGTAGTCTCCCTTTAATTCATTAACGCCATGGTCTTTATATCTGTCTTCTTGTCTATAAATGTCTGACAAATGTGCTGGTAAACGAATGAACTAGGCATCAAAAGTCAGTTATGCAAAGGTCTTAAGAGTCAATACAAAATATTTAAAAAAAAGAAAAAAGAGTCAATACAAAATGAAGCGGAGTGAGTGAGTGAGTGAGTGAGTATGGTTTTACGCCGCTTTTAGCAATATTCCAGCAATATCACGGCGGGGGACACCAGAAATGGGCTTCACATATTGTACCCATGTCGGGAATCGAACCCGGGTCTTCGGCATGACGAGCGAACGCTTTAACCACTAGGCTACCCGACCGACCCACAAAATGAAGCGGAGGGAAGATAATGTATTAAATTTAAAAAATGTCTCCCCAGTTGAACAGTTCATGACACTGAGCTGAAGACGTATTGTTTGACATTTCTCACTTGAGTGTGAGGTCTCCCTCTGCAGCCGACTGCCAAGTATCCTCCGTGATGCCAAAGGAGATGCCGTTGTTGTTGATGATGACGATGATCACAGGCAGATTGTATCTGAAGCGAAAACAGGTGAGTTGAGATGAGGCTAGGCGAGGCTAGGTGAGGTGAGGTGTGGTGTGGTGTGGTGTAGGGGTGAGGTAAGGTGGGGGTGAGGCATGTGTGGTGGGGTGGGGTGAGGTTTGGTGAAGTGTGGTGAGGTTTCGTGAGGTGTGAGGTGGGGGTGTGGTGAGTTGAGGCATGTGAAGGAGGGAGGAATTGTGGGAAGCATCTGTTTAAGCAATGTCCCATCAACATCACAGTAAGAAACAAAGAAATAGGTTCACACATAACCATCTTGGGAATCAAACCTGGTCCTTCACTTTTAACATTAGGGTACCCCACCACCCGTGTTGGAACTGGATGTCATTGCATCATCAAAATGACAAAAACAATTATGTTCACAGCAGTATATGAAGGTCAAATCTTTTAGCTGTCTTGAATGAGTGAGTATGGTTTTATGCCACTTTTAGCAATATTCCAGCAATATCACGGTTGTACCCATGTTGGGAATCGAACCTGGGTATTTCAGCACAAGGCTACCCCCTACTAGTGGCTGATAGCATGAGCAACGTTTAGCTGTCATGACTGTCACAATACACAGTTAAATAGAAACTGTATAATTGGACATCTTCAGGCCTATGAAAGTGCAGCCACGCTAGATTTATTTGAAGTACCTAGGTCATAGCAGGATGGAACATCATGGATAAAAATTCTGTGATCGCATTCAGAGACACCATAGTTGGGATCATTCATGTTTCAGCTCCTTAGGCCCTGTCAGGGATGTGCACAATGCAGTGACAATGTAAACAACCACACTTTCAGTACGGCATCTTAAAGAACCCTCACCTCTGTAGAGTCTCGATCTCCATGCCCGAGAAACCGAAAGCACTGTCTCCTTCCACACACACCACACGTTTGTCTGGTGCATGATCTCGACACCAGATGGCAGCAGCAACAGCAAAGCCGATCCCGAGCCCCATCGTGCCAAATGTCCCTGCATCAAGTCTGGAGTAGACACAACCAGAACATGTCACATCATTAACACATTCAAGAGAGTCCATCATACAAAACAACCTTAATGCTACGACTGTCGTAAGTCTATGTTAAGGTATGGGAGTTACGATCACCTATGCGCTAAGATCGTGTTGTACAACGGCACCCAGAACAATATCTACCTCAGGATAAATAAAGTGTAAGCTAGGGCAGAGCTGAGATGACGTGGTGAGGGAGTTCCAGTTATTTGGCTTACTGTTCCAATTTTGTGCACTATGATGTCCGAAAACCTATGCTGCTGAAAGCTCTGATTGAAAACAGGACAATCCAGGACGGTTGGACGGTTTTCAATCATATTTTTCGGAGTGTTCTTTTTAAATCTTTGATTATATCAAAACGAGGAAGATGATTTTTTCCAAGCACTACTGTTTTAAAAAACGTGATTTTCCGAGGTTCACATCCCTGGTTATTACATAGTCACCAGATGTTATTACATAGTCTCCAGATGTTATTACGTAGTCTCGAGAGTTTATGACATATTGTCCAGATGCTATCATTTTTTACACAATTAAAGTGACCAGGGAAAATTACACCTCTTTCAAATTCATTCAATACAGGGATTGTTGTTAGTGCACACCATCAATGATGCAGAGGAGGAGTTAGCATGAGACCCACCTGTGTCGGGGCAGGAAGTTGGGCAGCATGGTCCTCCCAATGTCCATCGTGTTGGAGCCCTCGTTCACAATCATACAGTTTCTGGGAAGGAGCTTGGTAATCTGCAACACATCCAACATCCAATCTCAGAAACAACTACACACAGTAAACTTTTGTCTTGTGTGTGAGTGAAAGTGCTTCACACCTTAGCAAGTTGACACACAATCAGCCAAGCAAACCAATGGTTAACTGCACGAGCAAGTTGACAATCAATCAGCCAAGCAAACCAATGGTTGACAGCACGAGCAAGTTAACACTCAATCAGTCAAGGAAACCAATGGTTGACAGCATGAGCAAGTGTTAAAGAACGTAAAAGAAAAATGTCCATAAATAGTCAACTGTCATTTAGTTTTTGAAGAGAAGATACACAACACACAACACACAACGGACAACGGACAACGGATGACACATGACAGATGCCATACAAACAGGCCATGACGTAAGTCCACTTGACTTTCAGTCAGGTGAGCTAAATGAAATTGAAAACACAAGTGATGAGTGAGAAACACTTTCCACCAAGACATCAACAAACAACTGGACACACACTGGACTCAGCTCTTCCATACAAGTCAGTTGTCATGCATGGATAACAGCATCTGCTTCATATCATTTCCTTTTTTGACTGGCAGCAACAACTCCCGACACACAGGACTTAAAGGGATGTGCCGATGTCTGAGAAACATTGCCTTTTTTTAAGCTTTATGATCATTCCAGTCTAGTTCGGCATGGGTGGGAACTGGACTTTTGTAGTCAGTTAATGCCCTTGCATCAGAAAGATGATGATGATGATGATGATGATGATGATGATGATGATGATGATGATAGTCCTGGATGGGATCCTGAGTATCACACAAGCCTGAGACAAATAGACACTGGAGATGGTGAGGTGAGGCTGGCGTGAGTGAGTGTGGATTAATGTCGCCTGGAGCAGTACTTCAGTTATATGATGGGGTGTCAGTGGGAGGACAGCCCGAGGTGAGGCAGGTCTTAGAGTCGAACAACTTTGGTGAAACCCATGAGCACCAATATGGTGCTGACAGGTGCTTGTGGTGCTTATGGTGCATACAGACATATAAGAGGGCGAATCTGGGATTGCAACCCATAGTTCTGGCACAACTAAGGGATGCAACTCTGAACAACACAACTGAGGGAGACAACTCTGCACCACACAACTAAGGGATGCAACTCTGAACACAACTAAGGGAGACAACTCTGCACCACACAACTAAGGGAGACAACTCTGCACCACACAACTAAGGGAGACAACTCTGCACCACACAACTAAGGGAGACAACTCTGCACCACACAACTAAGGTATGCACCACAACTGTTGGCACGTTAAGCAAGTCGTGACGGTGGAACTCAGATACACACTCACCGGCCAGTAGGCAGCGTAGTAGTTGAGGGGGACACTTACATCATCACACATCACCTGCAACATCAGCAACAACATAACAGGACATCAGTAATGAAGAGATAATCAAAGATTGCATATTATTGTTCTCGTGGATGAGATTAATTTGTATACCTAAATGAAAAAAAAAAAACAGTAAAAATTGTTGTTTGAATTGAACTTTTAGAACACACTTGAACAACTTTTATATAATACAAGTTCCAGATCAGAACAAATCCCAAATATACATCAGAATTCTTCCTGGATTCTCTATGGTGTCATGCTCCTATACCAGGACTGACCTGTACGACCTTGTGGTTGTCTTCGATCTTAGCTGTCAGAGTCTTCCACCAGGGGGAGCTGGAGTTGAACCTAAACTGACCCGGGCTTCGGCCCATCTCCTCCGAGATCTGTCAGCGTAACAGGTGAGTCAGTCAGTGGGGAAGTGGGTGTTTGAGATGGGTGAATGAGGGAGGGATGTTGGAGGATTGGATTAATCTATAATGTCAATTTATTGTTCAAAGGCACCATTATTTTTCAGACAATTTAATTAACTCTTCCAACACAATTCAGTTAGACATCTGAATTAAAACACATCTGTGACATCATTCTATTGTTTAAACACTCCATTATTTTAAGGAATGGAGAGTTGTTTGTCAATTATACATTATATTGAACCAACATTTAAATTAATTTCCACTTGGAATAGACGGATCTATTGTTTACATTTGTTGACAAGTGAATAATTTCACCTTTTTTTAACGATAACATGTGTCGCCAGCGGGGTTTGAACACAAATCGTTTGATTTGAGGATGTGTAATTGTCAATCTTACATGAAGGTAAGGTGTGAAATTAACTATTAAATATTTCCATAATTTTGCATAATGCTTAAAAGCTAAAGATAACATGTTTATAATATTTTGTGCAAGAGCAGGTTACCTACAACAATGGTTATTTTTACAGCAATTAGATAAACCTTTGACGAGAAAAAATAAATCAGGTAATATGTATATCCTTGTTCAGGGCTCTATATTTCCTATTATTCCTGTCAGCATGTATTATATTACACTGTGCAAGGGATTAATAAATTTTAGTTAAGGACCCAACGAAATTATGAAGATTTTTATGTACATGCATTGTAAATGTCAGCAAGTGACAGAGCCTGGTGCAGTAAGTAGGGGAATATCCTAGTAACTCTCCTGCCGGGGCTTTGGCTCCATTATTTTCGGACATTATCCTCTATATATTATCGTTTGACTCTTTCAGGTTAATCACCCACTAGACAGCATCGTATCTTACCTGGGTGACAACACTGTGTATATCTCCCACCAGACAGTATCACATCTTACCTGGGTGACAACACTGTGTATATCTCCCACCAGACAGTATCACATCTCACCTGGGTGACAACACTGTGTATATCTCCCACCAGACAGTATCACATCTCACCTGGGTGACAACACTGTGTATATCTCCCACCAGACAGTATCACATCTCACCTGGGTGACAACACTGTGTATATCTCCCACCAGACAGTATCACATCTCACCTGGGTGACAACACTGTGTATATCTCCCACCAGACAGTATCACATCTCACCTGGGTGACAACACTGTGTATATCTCCCACCAGACAGTATCACATCTCACCTGGGTGACAACACTGTGTATATCTCCCACCAGACAGTATCACATCTCACCTGGGTGACAACACTGTGTATATCTCCCACCAGACAGTATCACATCTCACCTGGGTGACAACACTGTGTATATCTCCCACCAGACAGCATCACATCTCACCTGGGTGACCACACTGTGTATATCTCCCACCAGACAGTATCACATCTCACCTGGGTGACAACACTGTGTATATCTCCCACCAGACAGTATCACATCTTACCTGGGTGACAACACTGTGTATATCTCCCACCAGACAGTATCACATCTCACCTGGGTGACAACACTGTGTATATCTCCCACCAGACAGTATCACATCTTACCTGGGTGACAACACTGTGTATATCTCCCACCAGACAGTATCACATCTCACCTGGATGACCACACTGTGTATATCTCCCACCAGACAGTATCACATCTCACCTGGGTGACAACACTGTGTATATCTCCCACCAGACAGTATCACATCTCACCTGGGTGACAACACTGTGTATATCTCCCACCAGACAGTATCACATCTCACCTGGGTGACAACACTGTGTATATCTCCCACCAGACAGTATCACATCTCACCTGGGTGACAACACTGTGTATATCTCCCACCAGACACACTGACGAGAGTCTGTTGTTGTTCATTTCCTCTGGCAAGATGTCTACCTGAGCAACAAAAGGAAGAACAGTAATTTTACCATCGAGCAAGATAGATTAGATTTAACTGTATTCATGATGCAATTTCTAACAAATATAAAACAAATCCAAAACACAAACAAATCAGATCTGTTTACTCATACACTTTGTAGTGTATTGTCATTGTGATTAGTGCTATAGTAAATAGTACTAGCTAGCTCGCGCTATGACGTACCTGATGACGTCAGCGCAGACCGATGTACTGACGCCATGATGAAGAATAAACCCATGATCGTATTCCAGCTTTTCGTGTTATAGATACAGAGATAGTTCAATATGAGAGCTAAAGGAACTACATCACACACGTAACAATTATTTTAAATTGGTCATTTGCAAGTTTTTAAACATATTCTTGACCACGCCTGCCGTACCTGAATGATTTTCACTTTGGGGCTGAATCTAGGCGGCATACCAAAATGGAGCATCCAGTTAAGACGGGCTCCCAGTAACACAATCACATCAGCTTCTTTCAGTGCTCTGGAAAACATCATCAACAGCTAAAACCAGTTTACTGGACAAAGTAGAAAGAGACACACTGAGAGAAACGATGACGAGCAAGTCAAGGAGCCTGACAGCCCAGTCCGTGAAGTCACATCTTACAGCCAGCACAGGTTGCTGGGGATCTACTCTACCCCGGAACAGTTTATACCACACACAAAGGACAGTCCTCAGCTGAGGTGTCAAGCTCCTCGCAGCGATAGCCTGTTCGCAGAACTCTCTATACTATCACTGCCACCAGTCAAACTCCCCACTGTGACAAGAGGCCAAAACCATGCTTGGAGTTGAGTGAGTGAGTGAATATGGTTTTACGCCGCTTTTAGCAATATTCCAGCAATATCACGGCGGGGACACCAGAAATGAGCTTCACATATTGTACCCATGTGGGGAATCGAACCCAGGTCTTTGGCGTGACAAGCTAGCGCTTTAACCACTAGGCTACCCGACCGCCCGCTTGGAGTTGAATGATCATTATGTTTACAATCAAGTGATGACTGTCATGATGCTGAATACACTTACCGCTGCTAAATTACTTTCTTTGTTTGTTAATTTGAATTTCTGTTTCATTAAATTGATACAGTAAGAATATAAGGGGGGAGTTGGTTGATTGGGGATCTACTCTAACCCGGAACTTCCACAGTTTATACCACACACAGTACTCAGCTGAGGGGTCAAGCTCCTCGCAGTGAAAGCCCTTTCGCAGATCTCTCTATACTATCACAGCCACCAGTCAAACTCCCCACTGTGACGGGTGGCCAAAACCATGCTAGGAGTTGAATGACCGTTATGTTTACAATCAAGTGATGACTGTCATGATGCTGAATACACTTACCGATGCTAAATTACTTTCTTTGTTTGTTAATTTGAACTTCTGTTTCATTAAACCTAGCATGTAATTGATACAGTAAGAATATAAGGGGGGAGTTGGTTGATTTTCCGTCAGTCTGCAATCTCGAACCAAACTGATTATACAAACAAACTAAATCATCTGGAAAACATGGTCAGTCCTAAACCCTTTTCAAAATGAAATATGATGGCATTCCCAAAGACATAAACAAAAGTATGAACGTTACTACGTTTGGGGTTAGAGGGCAAATTTCAAGATTCTTGTAATGGCCGCGCCCACACTGGTGGCAGCGATGTTACCGAGATAGTAACAAAGGTGTCACGTGCTGGGAAGGAGCTTGCTGAGGTGTATGCAATGGGAGACAACTCTTCACAGCAAAGTGTCATCGCGACAATAAGATGCACCTGACCCCAAGTCACATGACACGTCAGTACATATGCACTAAACCATGTTCCACAAAACTCAACAACAACAACAAGACATCCATACATACATAAGAACACTGACCTTGACCTTGCTGGCGCGACACAGAACGGGCTGTCATCAGGAACGACTCCTTTCCCCATGGGCGTGGGCAGGAATGGCAGCTGTGTCACGCTGACAAGCCTCTGTATGACATCCTCCGCCTGGGCATAGGCAGCGCCTGCAATGCATGGAGTTGCCATCGTTACTGACCACAAGCATTCACAGGGCGTCAAATATGGTAAACAGTACATGAGTAAATGTACAAATTCAAATTGATTCCAATTTTAAACACTTCTTCACAGTGAGTGAGTGAGTGAGTGAGTGAGTGAGTGAGTGAGTGAGTGAGTGAGTGAGTGAGAGAGAATATACAGAGACATATCCAAGTTGAGTACAGTTAATCCCGCAGTGACAGCTTGATGTGCGCAGGTCATAGATGTGTACCACTCAGAAGAAACCCAGGAGAACCGTCAATCAGTTCGCCAAGTTTGTTAATGGGTACCCGGTAGGACGTGACTTAACCTTGTAGCACCTCACAGGCAGCTTGGGTTGCATGCTCCCGAGGGAGCTGAGAATGAAAAGTGAGTGCACACTGATCCATTGCCCAGGGTAAGGATGTAGCACTTTGAACATGCCTTAGGGTGTGGTTTTGGCACATTATAGATATGCACATTATGAATCAGTAGCGCTTCATGGAGAACTTTGTTATGTACTCATATAAATCTGCAATATTCAGATGAATGGATCAATATATGCACCATGACATCGTTTCTATTATCACATTTCAAAACATCCAGGTTATATTATCCCCTTATTTGTAAATGCCACACCCCAGACTCCTGTTTTCCCAACACTCAACATTTACCTCTGGAGACTGCAGGGGACAAGTGTCATATTGAAAGTAATGTTTTAGTTCACCTTTGCCAATGACAATGAGAGGTCGTTCTGCATATGTAATGAGGTCAACAGCGGCCTTGACAGCAACAGGGTCAGCCAGGACTGCTGGTGGAGGGGGGCAACGACCTACTTCCCTGAGAAGCAAAACATTTAACCATAAAAACATTTAAATTTCGAAATACAAACATTTAAATAAAAAAAAAAAAATTAAATTCAAATATAGATTTTACCTTAAAAATCTTAAATATAAAAAACAACACATAAATTCAAATACAAATAGCATTTAAATATATTTAAAATAAAACATATACATTTAAACATAAAAACTCTTGAATATAAAAAACACTTAAATTAAAATATAAAAAACAACATTCAAACATAAAAACAAAAAAAATATAATATAAAAACATATAAATACAAAAACATTTAAATTTAAACACAAAAACATTTTCATATAAAAGAAAAAAATTAAATATACAAAAACCCCATAAAAATTCAAAGACATTTCAATATAAAAATAACATTTTAATACGAAAAAAAAAACACATTTAAATTTAAATATAAAAACATTTATCTTTAACAGGAATCAAGTGTGACCTTCAGTCAGAACTCACTTGTTTTCCATCCCTAATTATCCAGGGTATTTTATCTACAGTCTACAAATAGCCTGGACCCATTCACTAGCTACCATCTGTTTGGAGTCCAGCTGGACTGACACGATGCTAAGAATACCCCTGCTTGTTGAGAGCTGTCTTCAATACAACATGGAATGCCATGTAACTAAAAGATTTCCCTCCCAGTCTAACACCCAGGAAGACATTTTACAGCTAAAAGTTTATTTATAATAGTTGCTTGGTTTGAATAAATATATTTCATGTAACAGGTTTGAATGTCGATCTGTTGAACTTACACTCAGAAGAGACATTTTCATTGATGATTTGAAGCTCTTGAGTGAGAGACATTCTGTGCTGGTGATAAGAGTGACGCACATGGTAAAGTCTCAGACAAAGCTATAGAGGCTAAAGGGTCCAGGGTCCCGAATAAAAAATTAGATCTTACCGCTCAACTATCATAACTCCTGGGCCCCGTTCCACAAGGCCTCTTAGCACTACAAGTGTTGTAAGTCTATGTTAAAGTATGGGAGTTACGATCTCCTTAGCACTACGAGTGTTGTAAGTCTATGTTAAAGTATGGGAGTTACGATCATCTTAGCGCTACGAGTGTTGTAAGTCTATGTTAAAGTATGGGAGTTACGATCACCTTAGCACTACGAGTGTTGTAAGTCTATGTTAAAGTATGGGAGTTACGATCACCTTAGCACTACGAGTGTTGTAAGTCTATGTTAAAGTATGGGAGTTACGATCACCTTAGCACTACGAGTGTTGTAAGTCTATGTTAAAGTATGGGAGTTACGATCACCTTAGCACTACGAGTGTTGTAAGTCTATGTTAAAGTATGGGAGTTACGATCATCTTAGCGCTACGAGTGTTGTAAGTCTATGTTAAAGTATGGGAGTTACGATCACCTTAGCACTACGAGTGTTGTAAGTCTATGTTAAAGTATGGGAGTTACGATCACCTTAGCACTACGAGTGTTGTAAGTCTATGTTAAAGTATGGGAGTTACGATCACCTTAGCACTACGAGTGTTGTAAGTCTATGTTAAAGTATGGGAGTTACGATCACCTTAGCGCTACGAGTGTTGTAAGTCTATGTTAAAGTATGGGAGTTACGATCACCTTAGCGCTACGAGTGTTGTAAGTCTATGTTAAAGTATGGGAGTTACGATCATCTTAGCGCTACGAGTGTTGTAAGTCTATGTTAAAGTATGGGAGTTACGATCACCTTAGCGCTACGAGTGTTGTAAGTCTATGTTAAAGTATGGGAGTTACGATCACCTTAGCGCTACGAGTGTTGTAAGTCTATGTTAAAGTATGGGAGTTACGATCTCCTTAGCGCTACGAGTGTTGTAAGTCTATGTTAAAGTATGGGAGTTACGATCACCTTAGCGCTACGAGTGTTGTAAGTCTATGTTAAAGTATGGGAGTTACGATCACCTTAGCGCTACGAGTGTTGTAAGTCTATGTTAAAGTATGGGAGTTACGATCTCCTTAGCGCTACAAGTGTTGTAAGTCTATGTTAAAGTATGGGAGTTACGATCACCTTAGCGCTACAAGTGTTGTAAGTCTATGTTAAAGTATGGGAGTTACGATCACCTTAGCGCTACAAGTGTTGTAAGTCTATGTTAAAGTGTGGGAGTTACGATCACCTTAGCGCTACGAGTGTTGTAAGTCTATGTTAAAGCATGAGAGTTACGATCACCTTAGCGCTACGAGTGTTGTAAGTCTATGTTAAAGTATATGAGTTATGATCGTCAATTGTTCTAATTTCTTAAAATATTCTTCCTTACCTGACTTTGGCAGAATGTGTCTTCCCTGTAATCATGTCTCCGGACATGTCGAGGTAACACGCACCTGGGCGGCCATATGTACTCAGTCGGACAGCCTGCGGGAGAGGTATCGTATCAGAGTAGACTGTGGCATAATACAACATTAACCAATCTTAGGACACCCCCAGGTGATATAGCTCGTATCTGACTCGAGCCGACAATACACACGTTGTTACAGTCCAGTGTTGATGGCATCTTCTGCAGCCTGTCTACACTGAGACAGGAGTGAACGGGGGCGTTGTTCAATGCCGCTTTGATTAGCATTTCTGAAAGCCCGAAGTGATGCAGCTCTTGGACAAAGTTGGAGACACCATTGACAGGGTCAGCACTGAGCCAATGTATAGAACCGGGGGAACATTTCTTTTTGGTCTGAATTATAACTTCTTCTGTATGGAGCTAATAACTTTAGTTTGAGCCTCATGGAAGCTTCTAGGGCTGGGACGAGTCCAAATTTACTCCCCGGGTACCAGATACCCTATTACCCGGCCCTACCCGGATACCCGCTATAGGTCTCAAGAGTTGGGTACAAAATGTCCGAATGGGAATTGTTTTACCGCAGCCCTGGCAAAATCTATTTAGATACATGATCATGTATACACTGCAGTTGATAGACCCTTTATCCTTACTCGAACATATAAAAGTCAGAACGAATGCCTGCATAGTGAGAAAGAAATGTGAACATTAGCTATACTTGTAGTGTAACCATTGAGTTTTATTGTTAATGTCATTAAACAGTATGTCACATGACTAACCACGGGTCCGGGTAGTCATGTGGGTACCCGGGTCCTACTCAGGACCCACCCTACGAGAGTACCCGAGTTACCCGTCCCAGCCCTAGAAGCTTCGGATGAATATGTGACTTATTTCATAGAAGGTCCTACCTTCTCCACACAGTGAGGGATCTGGGTCAGCCGACTCGGTCTGGCAGAGAACTTGCTGTACACACGACTGGACGCACTCTCCACCTGCAGACCAGATCAGATCAGGTGAATAGGGAATAGCTTGGGCCAGTAAGAAAGTGGGTGAATGAGGTATGTCATAACAGGATGTGGCTAGTGTGTTTAACTGAGTAGTTGGTTAAATAAATGGATGGTTTACAAGTTGTGTGGTTAACTGAGTAGTTGGTTAAACAAGTGGATGGTTTACAGGGCTCTGGATGATTGGTTGGTTGGTTTGTTGCTTTACGCCACACTCAGCAATATTCCAGCGATATGACGGCGGTCTGTAAATAATCGAGTCTGGACCAGACAATCCAGTGATTGACGTCATGCGCATCGATCCACGCAATTTGGATACGATGACATGCATCAACCAAGTCAGCCTGACCACCCGATCCCGTTAGTCGCCTTTTATGACAAGCAAAGTCGGCTTTTACGGCAAGCATGGGTTGCTGAAGACCTATTCTACCCCGGATCTTCACGGGTGGGTTCTGGATGAAAAATGTAGCTGTCTCTATTACTAAAACAGGGATTCATAAAAGACAGAAAGGCTAATAATCTTACACTCAAAACCCGCACAGACACGAGAGGTATCGTACAGCTTGCACATTTGTTTTAGGCAAAGCACTACTTTGTTTCTATATATCTAACATCACACTCACCTGTGGGAACTCCTGAAACCCTCCCATAGCTTCATGGTTCTGATCACATGACCCACCAATAACAATCAATGGCCTGGAAACAATCAAGCTTCTGGTATAAAAGTGACACACTATAAGTTATAGCAGGATAACGGGGGTTACATGGGGTTTTATGTGTCCCGCATTAGCTTTAATACCACAAGCCGGAGGGACACATATAAAACCCCATGTACCCCGAGTAATCCTGCTACAACCAATATTACATTATTAAATAATTCAAATATATTCCAAATTGATAGAAAACTGCAGCTTGATTGAGCTGCGGTTAGCTTGTGCTATGTCACGTGACATCCATTGGCTCGGAAAAAAGCGTGCAGGTTTTTGCTTTGAAGTTGGGTATAAAGGATTTTTTCTATCTCAGAAATCCACGTGCAGCCTGTAGTGCTCATGGCGGGGTATAAGAAATTTATTCCCCTGCTGAGAAATTTATTACCCTCCAAGGCGGGTTACACAGTATTTTATCAAGATCACATTGACCAATCAGATCTCATCATTCTGACATGGAGGTATGATCAAGTTCTTTAGTTTGTTTGTTTGTTTGTTTGATTTCACAGGTCAGTTCATTTCTTATGCATAATGAATATTTCTTAACAACTTTGTTGTATATGTGATCATGTGATAACAAGTCTCTGTAAACATGATAATGCTGACCATGTAATGAGATAAAAAAACCATGTCACCATGGCAACAGAGTTTTTGTTTTGCTTATTGTAATAGTTAGTTCATCTCACCAGCAGTTCTCCATGGCGTTGGCCATCCCAGCTAGTGCATGAACCAGTCCAGGGCCAGACACCGTCAGACACACAGCCGGCCTAGAAGCACACCAGTCAGTCAGTCAGTCAGTCAGTCATGCATAGAGTGAAGGCCGGTCATACTTGTTAGTGTGGGATGACATTTATGAAGGGATTGGTTTATTTTTTAAGCAAGTGTTTTTGTTTCACGGACCACTTCACAATATTCCAGTTACTTGACGTGGTCTGTAAATAATCAAATCTGGACCAGACAATCCAGTGATTGACATCATGAGCATTGATCCACGCAATTGGAACATGATGACATACATCAATCAAGTCAGCCACCCTGACCCCCCAATCCTGTTAGTCGCCTCTTGCGACAAACATAGTCACCTCTTAAGGCAAGTATGGGTTGCTGAAGACCTGTATACAGTCAAGTCTCGTTAATCCGACACTCGTTAATCCGACAATCGGCTTTATCCGACACTAATGATGGGAACCGATTAAATCAGTGCTATTTAGTCCCGTTAATCTGACAGTCTCGCACTCCGACTCCGACACACATAATTTGCAACAAATTACCGAAATCACTCATTAATCAGTCTCGTGAATCCGACACAGTGATCAGCGTACTCCATGGTCATCTGCCCGCGAGTACACAGCCCCGTGTTTTGATGCGAGACGAGTCGGCGAGTAGCTGCATATTTCAAAGGCTGCAGAGATAAATTTGCTTAACAATAAACAATTACTGCTTTAATTAAACAAAACAGGATTAATCACATGCCTTGATTACCTCAATCTCATTAAATCGGATACAAGTTCTCGCTACCACTGAGGACATCCCATTACAGATCCTGTCAGATCGACCTTTCGCAAACTTTGACCGACCAATGAAATTACAAACAGGAAGTCAACATTAGCCACTAAAAAAGCAGCTTTCTCAAGCATTGCAGCACTAGTTTCAAATTGACGACTTCCATTCCATATGCTTTAAAAAGTATGTTGAATCAGTCATACATTAGAAACATATGATTAGAATACGTATACCGCTAACAATGTAACATAACAATATGAATATTGCCTTTTTCCTCTTTATTTATTATAACGTATTTGAATCGTTATCTATCGTGTTTGTGTCCGATTTTCGATGAAGAACGTTGATACTACCTAATTTTGTTTATCCGACATACTCGTTAATCCGACATAATCATATGCAACCAACAGTGTCGGATTAACGGGACTTGACTGTACATATATATAGGAGAGCTGGCTGGAACATGAGTTTTAGCGGGGTAGGTAAGCGGTACCTTTTTGTTATGTAACCAATGGCTGATGCAGCATAAGACGCCTGGAAATAAACAAAAATGTTTCATTTGTATTCATCAAATTTAAGGAAAAAGACATCTTATCATAAATCAAATCAGTTACTTCAATCAAATTATGTTACAATTATTCATCCATACCGATATCAATACATCAGTGACGAGATAACTTGCGAATGGTTCACAGCTGACATTGATACCCATGAGACTATCGATGGCTTCAACTTAATGCAAGCAATAAAATATGTTAACATTGTTGAAGGCACCTGTGTTTTCATTCATATGTTAAAACATATACTCGTATCACGCTCAACTCGACAAGTTTCCTGGCAATCTACTTATAGTAGAAGGTGAAATGTGGTATAACGTCCGATTCCAGACCATTTCACTGATATAGCAGAGCTCCAGATAACTTTTTGAGCAATTGAGTTTTTACTCTAGGGTTTCTATTTTAATTGGGTTATTACATTTTTCATTGGGTAACCAATATTCTCTCACTCATCTAATCATAACTCTATTGTGTTTTTCCCAAATAAGTGAACAATTTAAGATTTAAAAAAATGTTTTAGATGTATATAACTGTTCTAAATATATGGGCTTGACTCGAGAAGTAAATTAGTTCCTTAGTACGTGTGCTGAAAAAGCTTCATTGGGTAATTTTTATAATTTGAGTTCTTCATTCAATGCATGCGTTTCTGTACGCAAGTTAATAAAAAGTAATTGGGTTTTGAATATTTTTTTAGGGCATTTAATGCAAATACGCTGCTTATCTGCAGCTCTGTGATGTCCATGCGTGTGTTAGTGTGTGGCTGCTTGTACCATTCAACACTCATGGTGGTTTATAGTTCTAGCCCACTGAGATATCCCACTGAGGCACAGTATACTGATATTGAGCTGACATCATTTGCTTTGACAGGACAAGTTTGGAACGAACAGATACATGATATACCACCTCCAGACCGACCAGTCCTTGTCCCATTAAGACATTTTTTTCTGTTTTTCCCCATCTCCCGATTCCAGAGTGAAATAATAAAATGTTTTCTTGTCTCAATTTCCCCAGCCGCTGTGAAAATTTATGCCCCGATTTGATAAAAAAGTATTCCTACCAATGTACGCTCATAAAAATAGCAGGGCAGCTTGATCTTTCTAAAACTTTATTTCCGAGGCCAAGCAACTCAATCTATTTTACCCAAATTAATTTTAAAACTATTATCAAGTGTTTAAAATTTCATAAAATAAGTTACAATATTAGAGAAAAACAGGGGCTTGTTTTCTGTATTTTTTTTGCCCATCCACTCTGGTCAGAGATGATAAACACACAAAAAATTATGGATTGCCTCATCCTGAGCACCAGGCAGGGTAACAACAAGTACCATCACATAATGTTTTTTGGTATGACAGACCAAGGGCAAAATATGGCTGAGTGATCTAGTAAAGAACCCGGCTTGACCAGGAGGTGGTCCAGACATGGCTGAGCGATCTAGTCAAGAACCCGGCTTGACCAGGATGTGGTTCAGACATGGCTGAGTGATCTAGTAAATAACCTGGCTTAACCAGGATGTGGTTCAGACATGGCTGAGTGATCTAGTAAAGAACCCGGCTTGACCAGGAGGTGGTTCAGACATGGCTGAGTGATCTAGTAAAGAACCCGGCTTGACCAGGAGGTGGTTCAGACATGGCTGAGCGATCTAGTAAAGATCCCGGCTTGACCGGGAGGTGGTTCAGACATGGCAGAGCGATCTAGTAAAGAATCCGGCTTGACCAGGATGTGGTTCAGACATGGCTGAACGATCTAGAAAAGAACCTGGCTTAACCAGGAAGTGGTTCAGACATGGCAGAGCGATCTAGTAAAGAATCCGGCTTGACCAGGATGTGGTTCAGACATGGCTGAACGATCTAGAAAAGAACCTGGCTTAACTAAGATATGGATTTAGACACGGTTAAGATCCTGGCTTAACCAGGATATGGTTCAGACATGGCTTAACCAGGATATGGTTCAGACATGGCTTAACCAGGATATGGTTCAGACATGGCTGAGCAATCTAGTACAGAACCTGGCTTGACCGGGAGGTGGTTCATACATGGCAGCGTGATCTAGTAAAGAGCCTGGCTTAACCAGGATGTGGTTCAGACATGGCTGAGCGATCTAGTAAAGAACCTAGCTTAACCAGCATGTGGTTCAGACATGGCTGAACGATTTAGCAAAGAACCTGGCTTTACCAAGATGTGGTTCAGATATGGCCGAGCAATCTAGTAAAGAACCTAGCTTAACCAGGATGTGGTTCAGATATGGCCGAGCAATCTAGTAAAGAACCTGGCTTAACCAGGAGGTGGTTTAGACATGTGTCTTGTACACGGTAGACTGTTGTACTGACCCAAGCTTGTACGTATGTTGCATTTAACAGTTACAGCGTTATTCATCACATCTGGTCACAAATTAAGAATTGGGAGTTGTACTTATAATCATAATACTATCAAACATCAAATCTTAGCCACTAGTCAGAAGCCCGAGGCTAGTAAAATTATGATCAGTCTTGTTAGCTCAGCTTATAACATTATAACAGTCCATATATTAACAATGTTAACACTAAAATCTAATTAAAATATTGCCAAAAGACAGGTTTGGGCTAGCAGACACATACATCATATAGCTATTCCTTACCTCTAAAATATAAACAACTTACAGCTTGTTCATTTCTCATTGCGATGAATTTGATTCCTTCTGCCTGGGCTGCCATGGCAATCTCAAAGACTGGAACTCCCACTATGCCAAACATGTACTCAATGCCCTGAAACATTCAATGCCCATTTTGTTAATCCACAAGTGAACGAATATTATGAAAGCATTATTACCAACTAAAATTTCAGGCCAGAATGTAGGTCCCCAGCAACCCATGCTTGTCGTAAGAGGACTTAATGGATCAAGCTTGGTGACTTGGTTGATACCATAACATAGTTTCCCAGTTGTTTGGATCGATGCTCATGATGTCAATCACTAGTTTCTCTGGCCCAGACTTCATTGTTTACAGACCACTATCATACAGCTGGAATATTGCTGAGTGTGACGTTAAACAAATAAATAAATATGAGCAGAATTTGTCATCATCACACCTGTTGCCTTTTCTGGCAAACACATTATACAATAATGATATGGAATAAGTGTTTGTTATTAAATTAATACAAATTCACATCATACCCTTCCGAAAAATAACATGAAAAACAACTGAGGAATTTTGCACTTTCTCTTTCGTGTTTCATTTGTGTATCAAAATTTATTTTTTCTAAATAATATTTTTTTTAAAGATGCTTTATTTTTTTAAATTTCACAATGTGATATAGATTTTACGCATTTGTTTAACAAAGAGTAATGATGGGTTCCAGCAGTCAAGGCAGGAGCCCACCTCACCACGTAAACAAGGTTAATAATGATACAAGCAGCTGGAAGAAATCTAGTGGTTTGGGGATTAAATATTAAAATTTCACTTGTGAACTGGACCCACGCTTGCCATAAGAGGCTACTATAGTTGTAAGAGGCGACTAACGGGATCGGGTGGTCAGCTCCCTGAATTGGTTGATACATGTCATCATATCCTAACTGTGTGGATCGATGCTCATGATATCAATCACTAGGTTGTCTGGTCCAGACTAAATTATTTACAGACTGCCGTCATATAGCTGGACTATTGCTGAGTGCGGCGTTAAACACAAACAAGCAAACAAACAAACAACAATAAGTTCACCTGTAGATGTACGTGTGTTCACAATTTCTTCATTTACAAGACGTTGTAGGTACTGGCGTATTATGCTTAGACAGGACCGAGCGACGTAAGCCCCTTGTTTAGATAAAAGATTATTTACAGACTGCCGTCATATAGCTGGAATATTGCTGAGTGCGGCATTAAACAACAAACAAAACGTCTTAAAATAACAGCACCGGACAAAAATGGCATTTCGCTACTCATATTGACTTATCTATCTAAACAAACTTATATCTGTCAGGATGGTGAGAATAAATATTTGTACTGATCACGATTCACGACAGACATAAACAAGATAAAGAGGGCTTATATGAAGGACTTTGATCTCTTGGCGTCTTGCCGTTTATGACTGAAAAGGCCATTTTCACCCCGAAGTCCAGTAAGCCTAGGGGAACAAGACGACTTTGTCATTCGCTGAAATTTGGTGCACATATGTCCTGCTGCAACTGCAAAAAGATCTGGCTACATTTACCTGCGCCTTCATAGCTTGAGCCAAGATCGTCGCCCCGTCTATATCGCCCATGTTGTCTTGTGTAGTGCTCTCCGCCATTTTTCGATCATGTGACCACAGCGAAGCTCCTTACACTCATATGAGTTGACTGATAATGCAAAGAGTCTTACTCAGTACCAGGCGAAATGCAAGAAAGTGTGTATCTTTTGTTATAGGATCTCACAGAAGCTTTGGTTGTGTCATCTAGCAATTGATATGATGTATCTAGCCTTCCAGAAATCCCCCCCCCCCCCCCCCCATCATAGTCACAGAACGTATTAAAGTGTTCTCCCACTGCTTGCCCAACACAGTACGGCATCCAGACTGTAAGGTTGTAGGTCACTGAGTATGAAAACGGTACATAATTATAAATAAATTACACCAATAAGAGTTGCTAAAACAGGACGGAAAGGATTTAAAAAGTATTACAAAGGTCATCGAAACATTTAAAACTTGCAGCTTCTCAATCTGTGACATGTGCCATCCTATTTACAGCAACCGCAGGCAAAGACGTCCTATTAAATAGTGATTTGAGGTGGAGTTAAAACAAGATCTATGTTCACTTCATTTTCTCTCTGGTTCCACTTGATAACCTGAACAACACGTTTTAAGGTGTCGGACCGGAACATCGGATCGAAAAATCAGCAGACCTGCGACACCAGTGACATCGAATGGTTAGAATCACCGAAGCAAGTAAGACCTCCAATCAAAACAGATATTCCTTTTGGGAGCAAATATTGATAAGTTTACTACTTTGAAAAATCCCTTTTGGAGGGATATATTGAATATTTGGGGTAATTACTACAGAAAACATAAAGTTGACAAACAAAGTATTGACGAAATTTTATCAGAGCCATTATGGTTCAATCACCAATTTAAAATAATTTCAGATTTCTAACATTTGAAGAATTACAAAACCAATTTCAAATTAAAGGTACTATACTTGACTTCAACAGAGTAATGCTAAATATCCCTAAATCATTGAAAAAAGCAATAAATGGCAGTTTTTCTATCACAGCTAACTTATACATAAATAACATTTTGAAGGACTTGTTGATAAGAACAAAGGGCTCCAGAATATTTTATGATATACTTATAGCTACAACTAACTTTCCTCTGATTTGTGATAAATGGGAAAATGAACGTAATCAAAGCATTTTATGGAATAATGTTATCTCCAATTGTAGATTGTGTACCAACGATGTTAAACTAATAGACTTCCAGTACAGATTCATAAATAGAGCTCTATATACCCAAAAGGAATTATTGAAAATGAAGTTAATGGATGATGATATATGCTCATTTTGTGTCCCTGAATCTGAAAACTTATACCTACCCGGGTATCCACTGTAGGTCTCATAAGATAGGTACAAAATGTCCGATTTGGAAACGTCTGCCCTGGCAAAATGTATTTAGATACACGTATCTGCAAACACTCGTTAATAAAAGTGGAAAAAAACCTCCTTGGCAAACCTCGGAATCTTTCCACTTTTATCAACTCGTGTTGATATATTTGATATCAAAAGACACTCGGGTGAGATTCTCTATATAAAACTAATGCAATAATACTTGCTCTGTTGACATCCACAAACCACACACGCACCTCGATATCTTGATGCTGAGTAGCCTATATCCCAATCCAGTTCTCGCCAACACGGGACACAATAGTGTCGTTTGATTGCGAAATATATTTTCTGTCGCTTTTAGTTGTGATATGATTTGTTTTGTCAGTAAATCAATCTGATGACATTGTGACAGCTGTCATCCGTCATGGATACTCTTTAGTATTTGTTTCCTTCTGATCAACTGATACAATATACCCCTGAAAATGTAATCTATTTTAATTAAACCCCATAAATAACGAAGATTTTACCAATTTTGTGTTGAGGCAACAGTACATAGAATCATAAAATAATTTAAAAAATCACTTACATCTCCCATTATAGAATAGGTCTTCAGCAACCCATGCTTGCCGTAAGAGGCGATTATGCTTGTAAGAGGCGACTGACGGGATCGGGTGGTAATGCTCGCTGACGTGGTTGAAGCATGTCATCGTATTACGTGGATTGATGCTCATGATGTCAGTCACTGGATTGTCTGGTCCAGACTCGATTATTTACAGACCCGCTGTCATATAGCTGGAATATTGCTGAGTGACAGTCGTGGATGTTGATTTTGTGAAACGTTCTCAGAATGCGATATTGATTTGTGCCATAGTCCAATCATATTCAGCACAGAAAAGTGGGCTTGATGTGGCAAGGGTGACTTCACTTGGGCTGTTTCGTGGTATTTCTGTTCTATATACTGTTTTCGTTTGTTTATCATTTTAGTTTGGGACGTTAAGTATTTTCAAATATATCCAGGGACAGAGGGCTGGACTTTGTACCCATGTTTAGCTTAAGGCGTTTCCTCTGACAGCTTCTTCCGCTGAAAATGCGTGAATGTTTTATAGTGCCTAGTCATTAACCCTGGGAACCAACATCCACATTTATGACATAACATGATATAAGAGGCAGGGGGAAATGGGGTTAAATGCGTGTGTGAGATACAATACTGCAGTTTATCACGAATACCCTACGCAGTCACCGCCGATCAGCCATTGTTTTATCCTCTTAATGCCGAGTGCCAGGCACGGCAGCAACAAGTACCATCTTTTAACATCTATTGGGAGGACGCGCCCGGGGCTCGAACCCACAAGTTTCCGGTCTGCGGAAAGACACTCTATCCACTAGACCACGGAGGCGGTCTCAATGATATACGATTTACTTACCCAAAAAACGATTCTCCCAATAAAACACTTTTCTTTTGTTTATATTTTTCAAAATCAAGTCTCAGCGATGAAAGAAAAATACTAGTTTGAATGTTAAACACCTTAAAACGAAGATGATAGGTATTGTGTATGTAAGATGTTTTACCTGAATTTCTTTGCTTTAAACATCGGAGGCATAACAATATTTATAGTGAGTGAGTGAGTTAACATTTAACGTCGCATCGGCATTATTTCAGCCATAAAGCGACAAGAACAAGTTGATATACAGTAAACTACGTTTATAACGAAGACGGATATAACGAACTTAAGTTCCAATTGCATAGATCGATGCTCATGGTGTTAATCACTGGATTGTCTGGTCCAGACTCGATTATTTACAGACCGCCGTCATATAGCTGGAATATTGCAACAACAAACAAGCAAACAAACAAACAAACAAACAAACAACAATAAGTTCACCTGTACGGTCAGATGCACGTGCGTCCACAATTGCTTCATTCATAAGGCGGACTGGGTACTGACGTATTATGCTTCGACAGGACCGAGCGACGTAAGCCCCTTGTTTAGATAAAAGTGAGGAGAGTGAGTGAGTATGGTTTTACGCGCTTTTAGCAATATTCCAGCAATAACACGCGGGGGACACCGGAAATGGGCTTCACACATTATACCCGTGTCGGGAATCGAACCCGGGTCTTCGGCGTAGCGAGCGAACGCTTTAACCACTAGGCTACCCGACCGCCGCTAAAGTGAGGAGGTTAGTTTTACTACGTATGTTTTACAGTATTAACAGTATTACAGTATTACAGTATTAGGTATGATTAGAGTTGAGAAAACAGTTCATGAAACTATTACCGTAGGAAACTAAAGACCACTTAAGCACGTGTACGCTCGATGGTTTACATGTTTTTTTCTTATTACTTTTAACGAGAAAACTCTTACATTTTTATCGAAATAGACCGAGTTGGTTGGCTATATACGACTCAAGACTGGTGACTTATAATTTGTTTTCCTCGACAAGCTATACTCATTCACCATGGGGCGTCCACGTTCGCCTACAGTTCGTTCGAATGCAGTATACCCGAACAAAGTTATGCACTGACCGTAGACGAAAGAAACTGGAGTAGAAAGAAGGCTCCACCTTCTCCAGTGGGTCACGCACCCGGTCGGTTAAAAAAGCGCCATTGTCCAATTTAGAGGCCAGACCAGTGCGCGGATCTTTTAAACTCCATTCATATCGGCGTCATAGTACTTCCTTTCATGGAATTAATTTCTATCCCTTGTTCTCGCTTCATCGAGGGTGGAACCAACGTGTCTAAACACATATACTTTGCAACAAAAGAGGAACGCAACAGTGATTTTATTTGTATATATTGTATATCATATAAATAATATAAATTGGTCTTTGAAAGGCATTTAGAAGTGATACACATAAGGAGGAGAATATATGGATGTCAACTTCTATATTATGAGGAACACAACGTAGATGGGTCTTAGTGGACTTGCCGCTAGGGAAGGTGACATCTATGTTAGCTTTAATTTGTTCTTGTTGAGGCGGGAAACCTGATGAGTGACAGGGCCTTGGTAGGGTATGATGATTCTGATGGGCGAAGGAGATGGTTTGGGTCTGGGGTCGGAGTGTTTTTGGTTGACATCGTCATCCCATGGAAGCAATCAGATCCCGAATTGTCGCATGGGGAATGTTCACCAAATATGCATGCAGTGCATGCTTGTGCCAACTGTTGGAGGTTCTGTGGTTGTTGCTGACGTGCTCGCAGTCGTTGATCCAGTGCATCCCATAAATGTCCGATTGGGTTTTAATCTGGAGACTTGGAGGGCATGGCAGGACCTGGATGTGGTAATTCCTGAAAAAGGCTGCTGTCATGTTTGGCGTTGTCTTGTTGGTAAATGACGTTCGCTTGTTGCATAATGGGAAGGACGTGTGGCCGAAGAATCTCACCCCTGTGACGCTGTGGCGTTAACTTCCCCAGAACTTGACCAAGTCAGTTCTACCAGGGTAGGAGATTTCCGCCCACATCATCACACTACCACCACCAAATCTGTCCACTTCCTGCATGCAGTTTCGTTCATAACGTTCCCCGCGACGCCTGCAAACACGACAGCTACCATCCGCACGGTGAAGCATAAAACGTGACTCGTCACTAAACCGAACTTGTCTCCATCGCAGCCATACTCTGTGACCTTGACACCATTGACGTCGCAACCGACAATGCACGTCCGTCAAAAGAACACCCCTAACTGGTCGTCTAGCTCGAATACCTTCAGCGCATAAACGGTTCCTCACTGTCTGGGTTGATATCTTACGCAAGCCTGGTATTGCCGTAGTTGTAGAGGTGTTCG